TGTTTTCGTGTACGATAACGCTTCAGAAGCAATGCGAAAGAAGTATGCGCACCTATTTCCAGAAGAGTGCCAGATCGTTACGAGTCTTTACGTTGACGAGATGAGTGTTTGGCTGCAACACGAGCTATCCAAGATGCAATGCGTGCATTGCTGCAAGGGGCCAACATTTTGAACAATATCTGCATTAAGCAAATGACAACGTGAATAAACGTAAAAAGTAATGTGTGAATAAATAATAAATAAGTACATAAATGAAAACTATTTTTTGCCTTTTTTTGCAATTTTCTTCAAAACGAAGTAAAAACGAGATCTCTGAAGGATCTTTTTCTTATCGATTCTCTACACGCTCCTGAAATTTGGTCGTTAAATTCGGAACACCCTGTATATAGTGTTTTGCGAATCGCCATGGTTGTTGAGATACTTCCGATGGATTAATAAAATGTTTCCAAAAGTTTATTGGTTTCTAATAAAAAATTAATTGCGTATTAAGAAATTTAAATAAATAAATTTTAATTAATTTTTTTAATAACAATTAAAGTTAAATTATGTTTGTTTTTTAATGTAATGAAATATCTTTCGACATTCTTGTAGTACATGAAAAAAAAAGAATTTATTGATATAGCATACGTATCATTTTAATTATTCGATCTCAAGGTAATTCAATTAACATTTGTAACATAATCCACGAACCTGTCACTGATACCTAAAGCGGTGAGACTCAAACATAAACAAACATGATCGCATTGAGGAACATATGTACATGTAGGTACATACATAAATAGTAGTCATTGAAATACTTGAAAAGGAATTCAACATACATAAGGCTGAAGTACGTTATTTGACGTTGTTTTCAAGTACATATATTTATTAAAATAATTATTCAAACTGCATACCATCTTTCACAATACAAAGTTATATTCTTTTCAGTAGATTGTTATTGCGTATTCAATTAAACTATAATGTTTTTACGTTTGGATTTCACTGCTTCAAGTATCGACAGATCGTGAATTATATTGAAAGTATTAGTTGAATTATCTTGAAATCGAATTATTAAAATACATACATAATGTTATACCGTTGAATCCATCTTTTTATAAATTAATTAAATCCTAGGTCTAATAAATGTAAATTTTGTTTGGATGTGCATAACTAACAATTTTATTATTCATATTAAAACAGTACGTTTTCGACGTAACTCAGTCCTCTTCAGCTGTAGATGTATATATGTACGCATTTTTTACAAAGAAACTAACCCCACGCATAAATTATTAATACAAGAATCATCTCACATTTCTTAATACTTCAAAAAAACAACAACCGCCTTATAACTTATTTTTAGATAGTCAAACTATAAATTGACGTGTTGCAATAGTCATTTTTCCATTTTTTTGAACCAATTTCTCGGTGGTTGGCGAGAACAGGCAATCAAGGTTTTAATGCAATTTCTAGTCGGTACAATTTTCGTATCTCAATATCGCAGATATAATAAGGTTGTAAATCCATATTAATACATGTGTATTAGAAAACTAAATAAAATAAAAATAAAAAGTGATAATAAAATTATATCAATTGAAAAACTGATAATAGTAAAATTATGATCATCTTTTCATGTATTACAAAATGGAAGGAAAAATATATGATTGCATTTAAAAAAAACATGATTTGACTTTGATTTTTCTTTATTAAAAAACGAACAAATTAAACATTCTTCTGCAATTAATTCTCTATTATTATACAAACCAATAAACTTATATTAAAAACATTTTGTCGTCAATCCATCGAAAGTACCTCAAAAACCGCGATGACTGGATGCGATGTGAGGAACATCCTGCATAATGTACAAATATACATATATATATATATATATATATATATATATGCATATGTGTGATAGCGAGAGACGAAGTTATGGCCGCGCCGTAATTTAATTATATTCTGTACGATTACGTCACATAACGTACTCATCTAACGAGATGCGATGACGCGACGCGCCCCGCGATGTTTACATTTCGACAGAACAGGTTGAACTTACGAAACGAGAAGCCGCGAGTCATTTCCCGCTTGCCACAGTTCACAGATGCCAACAGTGGGCAGATCCACATGGACAGATCCACTTCTATCCACCTTGCCTGGCTCCCGCCAAGGACAACAGAGTCGCAACCATCGACGTTGATTCAGACCAGGCTTGTCAGATTGGGCTACTTTTCGCAATTTCGCGGACACGAGAAGCAAATTTGCGTTGATTAAAAAATAGCTTCTGTGCGATTGGTCGCAAATTGGGCTGCCTGCCTCGGTTTTCTACCGCGCGAAAATTGAACGCTTTCCACTTGAATGCATGGCAATGGCCAATCGCGAGACCGACTCGTTTTAATGGCTGTTATATGGATGGTTAGTGTCTGGCGGTAATTGGTCGATTTTATGGTTCCTCTATAAATCAATCTCTATCGATTTGTTAATACGTTTCCTAGCGATCCTAGTACTCATTACGATACTGACATAAGGTGGTATTTTCCTGTATAAATTTTCCTCCCCTTCCCCCCAAAAATAATCTGACAACCCTGATTTAGAAGAGTGATTCATGACAGACGTAATTCTATAGGATAAAATCGGCAAATTTGGAACTTTTCTGGACGAGAACTTGTCCTCTCGCGAAGGAATTTCGCGCGGAGACACGCGAATAACGGATGTCTATATAGATATATGGTGTTTGTTTGACACTCACAATTTTTGCGAGCGTCATTTGTTCTTGTTTAATTTCATTTGTTTCATCTGCAAACAAGGATGAAATGATTCCAAGAACGCTGTGAGCGTCAAATGGAATAACCGCATCCTTGACGGCTTACTTGCTCAAGATTGAGCAATTATCTCATTGCAGAGAATCAATCGTGAACGTTTCTACAAAATCATTTTATCGCGAAAACTTTACGAAGCGCATATAATAATTTTTCTCACTCTGCTCTCGAGCATTCGATAACTCATCGCACACTCCGTACAGAAGGAAGCGACAATCGCTTGCCATCGTGTTGCAATTTAACGATAATCAACAAGACTAATCTCGAGGGTTACTCAGCTTGTCGAGGTTCAGTCAGCTTAGAAATACATAAAATTGTCTGTAAATATCGTCATTGCGGAAAATATACGAGTATTTAAAACATAGAAGTCATAATGGTATAAAAACGTCATCATGACCTTATTTGTCACGTACAAGGGAATTCACTTATATATACAAATGACAAATAAAGTCACGCGATGACGTCCTATGGTATCATCATGACACTGTGTGTTTCACCTGAGATGCTGAACGCACATTGCGCAACTCATTATGAATATTTATTATAAAAACTTACACACAAAAGAACAATTCGAGTCTCACTACACATACTACCGTTATTATTTCCTTTCGTTACTTGCATCATTACTTGCACGTCCGCCGAAATGGATTCGCGCGACCACGTAGCGAGATATTTCAGAGAATTATTTCACCACAACGTAAGCAAGCCTATCTGTATCTGTCAATCGGTTCTCGCGCGGGTAACTTCGCCGTAGTGCTTGAGCAATACTCCATCCTTTTTTTCCTTCGCGAGAAAAAAAAACTAACTTCCGAGCCTCGAATAAAGAGGCTCGGATACGCCGATTATCGGATTACGAGGGTGAGGCGCGAGCGCCTTTGACGACGTCGCGCGTCTCCAGGTCGAAGAATCAGGTCCGCACTCATATCCGCACTCGTAACCGCCGTTGACATATCAGGTAGTAAAAGCAGCAACAAGTGGTGCGAGGCATTAATTGCGTACCAGCAGCACTCGCTCGAGGAGTCGTGATTGCGCGGAAGTATCAATTTCGAAGGGGGAGGTCTCACGGAGTAACGCTTACTCGTGTCGCCGATTCGTTGCCGCGACCTTCACGGCAACGAGAGATTCCGTTTCTCGGAATCGGAACAGCTCGTTCCGGTGATCTCGGTTTGTCTCGAGCGGACAATTTAGGGAGGAGGCGAGCGTTTAGACTTTAGACGCTTTCAACGCGATCGAGTCTCTTCTCGACCAGGGTGATTCGGAAAAAACTGAAGTTATTCGATAGTGATTATATCTCTAGGGCATATAATAAATATATATGATTTATTGGTATTTTTGTAAAAACTATTCGGTAGGAGACTAACAAGAAGATATCCAGGGGACTGTGATTTTAATAAAAGTAATGTTTTTCACATTTTATATCGTAAACTATCGCATGTATCAAGTGAACTTATAAATGACAAATATGATCTTATCTGTGTCATAATGATATCCTTACGATATCATAATGACTTCTGTGTTCTACCTGGGACATCGGGACATCGGGAGTCAGGTAGGTGACAGACTTATAGTTTCGTAACTCGTTGGTTTTCTCCACTTTCTATTTCATGGGACCCATCGGGACTTTCCGAGATCGCGAGAGAGAAAAAGAGAGAGAACAGGAAGGTCGCGTCGAGATGCGCGAGACTACATCTCGCGATTCTAACGGCTGACAGACAGACATACTTCAAGACTCCCCGACGACCCGCGACGCGCGTCTCCAGATGAGATTATGAGAATAACGACGCGCGACACCGACATCGTAATCCGACTCATCGTCGACGAGTCCATATACAGCACTTCGTTCGAGGAATACATCCTGAAAATATCTTTAGGACGCAAGACGTCCTAATGGAATCCTCTGGGATGATGGGATGATGTCTAATGAAGTTTAGGTCCATCTAAGGGAGGAAAGGGAGGAAAGGGAGGGGAAGAAAAAAAAGTGTCGAGCTCGGAAGCGGTGCAGAAGCGCATCCTCCGCCCGCGCGTGGGAAAACTCGAGAGATTATCATCCTTCTCTTTCTCTTTCTCTTTCCCCTTTCCCTCCCCCTCCCCCTTTCCCTTTCCCTTCAGATTCTGATTCTTTTTTCAGATGCTCCTCTTTCTTCTCTCATCTAAATAAAGATATCTGTCTATCTATCTTTCACAGACACTTACGTTCGTGATGCTGGGCTCTCCGGCAGCTGGTCGAGGGCAAGGTCGCACCCGATCCGATTCTTCTCCGTCTCCCTCCCCCCTCTCTCTCTCTCTCCTTCTCTTTCTGCTGGAGCACAGAGTTAAACACCAAGGGCGAGATAGAAGCACCGGCGTTCCGACGACGACGACGGCCCGTCGCGCTCGTCAGGGATCCACGGCCGCGTCTCCGCCGCACGTCATTCGTAACAGCGTCGCACTGGGGACACCGTTCCGCCGGAACAATCGCGAGAAAAGAAGCTGCTTACTCGGCGTCGTTTGCCGCGCATCTGCCGAGTGCTGTGACTGCTGTTGACTGCTGTGGCTGTGAGAGTCGTGAGAGAGCTCAGAGCGGGCGGTTGAGGCTGGTTGAGGCGGTTCGGTTTGGACGGAACGCGGGCGACGAGAGACGCGACCAATCGCAGACCACCTGCGCTGCTTACCGCCAGTTCCAGGTTCCCAGTACCGCCGCGCCGCCTGCGCAATGTGCATCAGCGCTGATCAGCAGCGCGGTCTCACCGAGTCACGTGAGTCACGAGTGACGTAGTCACAACTGACGGCACTGACAACGGGCCATTTTTCGCGCATTTACCGAGGTGACTTCTAATTTCATCGCGCCGTTCTGCGTGTTGCGTAGATCGTAATCGCTCGATGAGTACATACAATTACGCGCGGCGACAATGAGGGTTCTAGCTTTTTACGTTTCTGGTTTCTGTTGAGATTTTTGGAAATACAAATGCGTTGAAAAGAGAACAGGTGCAGCCCATTCTGCGCGCGTGCGCGCTTCGTCCAGATATAAGCCCCGAATCACGCATAGCGCGAAAATTTGAAATTTTTTAACTGTCGAATCACGATCGCGGCTACACGAGTCGGGAATGATATTATATTTTACTCATCTGCGGACTACGTTTGACCATAATTAGACGGTACACTGCAATGCATTTATTCGCTGGATCATAGTAGCAGTTCGACTTATCGACATTTATTTTTTACTCAAATCCTATCAACTTTACAGAAAAACTATAAGAGAAAAAAATCATTAATTTTCTTCTCATAGAACTTTGAGAATTTTTTCAGAATTTTGTATCAACTTTTTAGTACTGCATTTTCTTATTTTCGATAAGTCGGGACGCTGCACTGTACAATCCACACGGCACTGAATGTCACCAAAATGTGACCAGAATATTACATTTGAAATCTGAAATATTCTGGTGATCTCAAAAAAAATTCTGGTAATGGAATAGAATGTCTATATGTCCGCATCTGGTAATATTCTGGAGACATTCAGTAATTTCTGGAACATTCTGTAATATTGGGTCATCTAAAAGGTATCCGCGGTTTTTTGTCACTAGATGTCTGTTGATGGTCATATATCTAGTGACAAAGTACCGCGGATACTTTTTAGATGACTCTATACAATAATACGCAGCACAGAATGTCACCAGAATGTCAATAGAATGTCGTCAGAATATTTCAATGTCTTTTTTTACAGAATATTTTATTCGAAATATTTTTACAAACATCTAGAGATATATAGGATATTTTATTTGAAATATTCTAGAGACGTTCTGTTTGAAATATTACGTTTGCAATATTTTTTTAATATTCTGGTAAGCTAAATAAAGTTATGATCAAAAAAACTTCATATATATACATATACAAATACATTCTCTAGAATATTTCATTCGCGACATTCTAAAATATTTCAAATATAATGTTATCGCAGAAACTATATTAATAATAATAATAATAATAAAACCCAACGTACTATTTTGAAGAGAGGTTGCCAGAATATTTTATATGAAACATTCATGAAAGAAATTGGAAGCAAAACCTCTCCAAAATATTAAGGAAATATTGTAATGTAATATTTCAAATAAAATGTCTCTAGAATGTTTCAAATGAATTATTCTATAAAAATCATATTTTAGACCAACATCATATTTAAATAAACTAAATCGTATTTAGACAAACATTTTAAAAAATCATATTTTATGAAATATTCTACATGCAATGTCTCTAGATATTTGCAGAAGTGCTTCAAATGAAATATAATTAACAAAAAGAAGAGCATAAAATCACAGCACAAAATATTCTTTGTAATATTTAATATGTAATTATTTAGACATTTCGGTCATCATGGCCACAATCTGGCCATCTTCAGTAAATTTACAAATATCAATTACAATAAAACACAGAATTTACATAAATTTAACATTAAAATTCAGCGATCATAAATATAATTATAAATCAACGCATTCTTAAAATATAATTTTATAAAAGACATTTGAAATATTTTCATAACATTCTGGTGACATTTAGTACTGTGTGGGAAGTTATAATAAAAAAATATATAATGGATACAATAATATTAAATACATAGAAATGAGGAATGCCATATTCAGTCGACGCGGATCTTCGTATCCAATAATATTTCTTGTAAATATTATTATTTATAAAATTTTCTATTCAAGCTAACTGGGCGATTATTTGTCGGTTTTGAAATACAGTCCTACACTAAAGCTGGAGTAATAATATCAATTTGACAATCAATTTAATATTATTGCTGCAAATAAGCATGTAATTGGAAAGCTGGCACTGATTTGATAATAACTAATAAATGACTAATAAATTAATTATATTGATTAGTCAATTATTGAAATAAATATGAAAATGTTCATGATACATTAATGGAAATAATTTGAAAATAACATGATTAAGATGTTCTTTGCGATGATTATATACTTGTTACTCTTATGAAAACATTAGTGCAATGGGAAAACGCCAAGAAAAACAAAATTAACTTATTATATTTTCGATTTAAATATATTTCCGCCATTGCAAAGTGCGCACTGATTCTAGAATGTCTGTATGATGACTGACTAAAGTCGACTTGAAAGTCTTACAAATGGGATATTGTGACATTGTATGACTTACAAACGTCTTTACGCCTAAAGTTAGGGACTTAGGGACGTCCATTTTCTAGACGTCTAGCAGCTATAGAGTGCATTCCGATATTCACTGCCAATACTGAAAATCTATAGCACACGTATAGTTACTGTATAGTTTCAGCACTGACAATGAATATCGGAACGGACCCACAGTCGACTCAGAAGTCGGTTCAAAGTCGACTTTGTGCTGTTAGAAGTTATAGAATTGATTCTTTAGAATCGACTCATTCTTCCCTCTTGAATCAATTATGAAAATCAAAATCAAGAATCGATTCATTTTTCAGAAAACGGCATCACTATCGTATCACTAATATGCCCTAATATCAGAAAAAAACCTGAGAGAAGACATGAGTCATGACGGCCCAAAACCAGTAACCGCAAAATGCTGCCGCTCTCTGAAGAAGTGAATGTTAACTACACAACAATATCTATCTTTTTGCAAATAAATCGCTGAAATCGTTGAAATCTTTATTAATTTAGACCCGATTGCACCAACATTACTTTGACTTTAAGCAAGGTTTAAAACTCTCCCTCTCTGTCTCTATCTCTCTTTCGCTTTAAAACGAGACGGAAAGAGTTTTAAGTCTTGCTTAAAGTCTTAATAGATTTTAGTTATTTTAAGCCGGTTCTACATTAGTTGCAAGCCGATCGAATATGAAGCGTTTATTTCAAAATGCAAGTTTCAGATTGGCTGTCGCAACAAACTTATGATCGGCTTGCGTCGAATGTAGAACCGACTTTAGCGATTTCAACTATCCATTTTCATCAGGAGCACCGCAAAAAGGTGGATATTGTTGTGTACATCCACTTCTTTAGAGGGCGGTAGTGCGCGGCAGCATTTTGCGATTACAGGTTTTGATATGGCACTATAATATGAGTATTCCCATTCGCCATTTTTAGTCCTTTTCTCACTCTCTTGTTCCTTTCCTAAATCCCTTGCTTTCTCTCTCCACTCCGCTAAAAAAGATTGAAGAGAGAACAAAGAGTGGGGAAAGGACTAAAAATGGTGGATGCGAATATTATAGTTATGTAACTTATATTATAGTGCTCTAGTTTTGGGCCGTCATGTCTTCTCTCAGGTTTCTCTCTGCTATGTATCATTACAAGAGAGTTCGTTCGCTCGCCGTTCGATGAACCTTTTATATTTCTGTGCATGTCACTTCCTTGACTGGAATTGTCAATTCATTGGCGAGCCTTTAAGCCCGGCAAGCGTCCTTTACCCCGAACAAGAAGAAGAAGTCGCCGCTGTCTTTCGCTTCCACGTTCCGAAAACGTTTGAAAAGATTTATTTGCGGCAACATGTTCGTCGCACGATGCGCTCGGTTGTTTCCCTCATCGAAGGTACCCATCATTTGAATAGCGATCGTGTAACTTTTCTCTAGAGCGAAAACAGGAAAATTGAACAATATTATGTATGTGTGTGTGTATCTACATACGTCGCACCATATAAAAAGTTTTCGCTTTTCGCGTTCCGTCCTAAAAAAAAAGTTATGCGCTACCCTTACCGAACCGTCAACATAACCTCCAAATGTCTTCTAATGTCTATTTCTAACGTATCTATTTTTATGTTTTAATGTATTCAATGTTAAGATTTGAATCTTGATTTATCTCGTTATCTTTTTCTAATTCTTATAAAAGGAAAAGAAAAAAATGTATTAAACACAATTTCTGTTTATAGTTTGTAACTATTATTGAAGCATTCACTCAATAATATATATATCTACATATATATTCGTACAAGTTTTAACCAGAATTATGGAGAATTTAATATAAACTGAAACGTTTGATACAATTTTAATGGATCGTAATTTATTATTAGTACATTGAGTCAATACTGAATTGACATCGTACCTGGTACATTGCACTGTATTCGTTAATTTTTATTAGCCGAGATTAAAGTCAATCTATAATGGTAGACATGGATCAGAATCATTCTCTTGAAGCTATAATCGCATACTGTGATTTCATTAACAAGCACTTTCACGCGTTTCAGAATGCGTTATTACTGAACCAAAAGGTAACACATATATATAGGGATCTTGGTATCATCAGGCTGTTATCTGCAATTTCGAAGCCATCAATGTCTAGAGATGTCCACACAGTATCTGAGCACCGTAGGTCTACGGAAACTTTACAACCAAAGACAGGAGGATTTTTTACAAGAATATTGAAAAAAATCGGTATTCTAGACGTCCAGAAATATGTAATTAAAAATTTTTCATTGTCATTCAATTGAGTGATAAAATGAGAGTTTTCGAAATTGTTGTATCTTTACAATCTGTAAAAGCATTCTGTGACTTTTTATATCCATACGTTCAAAGTTATCGATGGTAATGTTAATTGAATATTATTACAGAGAAATATGGATATAGGTTATGAGATATACGAACATGTAATTGGTCAAGTAGATTACCCTTTCTTCTTTAAACGTAAGTTCTCTATTATAAGTATTGTAATTCTAACTCTTGCATATATTTTAAATACGTTCTTTGTAGATTTTAACATGCCAGATACGTTCTTCGCTTGGTTTCTGGTGACAGAGCTTCATGTCTGGATGATAATGATTCGTTACATGGCAAACGAGAAGGATGGAAAAGCTATCAGGAATTTTGCAGTAGCAGCAATGTGGCAGGACACACAAGCCAGGATAGAAAATCTCGGTGTAAGTAGCATTGTGATTGTACTTTTAATAAATTGTCATATATATACAGAGTTGGCCATATTCGACGGAAAGATGTTTTTTTTTTCAATCATGGGAAAAAAACACATTTTTTGCTGTTCATTTTAAAAATCATTTAATAGGGTTCAAGGTCTTTTCGTCGAATATGGCCAACCCTGTACATAGTATCCCATTTTTAATGATGACCTCAAATTTCTCTTGAATAGTACATTTTAGAGAAAAATGTTTCAGACAAAAGTTTTGTGACTTCGAGGGGAACAGATGATATTGATTTGACCTTGGATGACATTGTCAAGGTCAGGGCAAGGTCACTTCGAATTTTTTTAATGGAACCTTCCATTTTTCATTATATATTCTTGTAGCTTACTTCGAGATCTTTTCAAAATACTATAATAAAATATTTTTTTATTAAATACTTTGCATTATCCAAGGTGTCCGACCGATGGCTGAAATCTCTTGAATGTTGTTCAGGATCATGACCTAGATAACATTTGTCAAGATTAAGATCATTGAAGATTGTACTTCTTATTTTCATTTTTACATACAAATGAATTTTTAGTGCAAAAATGAAAATAAGAACAACCTCCAATGACTTTGATCTCGACGAATGTTATCCAAGTCACAACATTCAATAGGTTTTAGCTGTTGGTCGGACACCTTGAATAATGTTAATACCGGCGATGCTATAATTTGCAAGCCTTATAATTCGAGAAGTACTTAATGAAAATGAACTTATAGTATTTTGGAAAGCTCTCGAGGTAAACTACAAGAATATGTAATGAAAAATGGGTGATCCTATTTAAAAAATTTAAAGTGACCTTGCCCTCACTTTGACAACGCTACTCAAGGTCAAACCAATAGTATCATCTTGTATCCCTCTCGAGATATATATATATATATATATATATATAGATACCATGATTGGCATTATTATTCGCCTCCTAGGAGATTTTATTGGGATTGTATAGGAAAAATTAATTTTTTATAATAATTAAAAACATAAAAGGAATGTATTTATAAATATTTATTGAATATAGGTATACTATAATAAACTAACCAGATATAATTATGTTTAAAAACATATTTTATTTTCGTATAACAAATCAAACTAATCAAGACTCCTTATAAATCAAAGCACTGGAAAGAATAAGGGCAGTAGGAGTCAAGCGCAGAAGACGTCGCGCAAATAATATATTTATGAAGTGTGAAACTTCTTTATTCACTAAAACGCGCTTACGTGTTTCGGCTCACTTTTGAGCCTTCCTCAGAGAAAACATAATATTTTATTTTAATGCATATTTAGTTTTATAAGCTCCCTTTCCATGAAAATTTACTTGAAATTGAATCTAAATTACATTTAAACAGTATTGGATAAGTTAACGTTTTTTTTTAAACTAAATTAAATTAAAATTAATGGCTTACAAAATTAATAAAATTATTTAAAAGTTGAAGAAATAAAAAATTAACTTAATAAAAGTTAAGATTGAATTAACTTAAGTTTTAAAAAGAGTTAATTTTGAAAAAAATTATTTTTGAGATAAGAATGTCTTAATTTTTCTTAAAATGAGATTATTTTGATAATACTTACAATATAGATTATTAGGTAAATTTAATTTTTTTATTCACATATAAGTTACATAATAAAAGTCACACTGTAAGACATTTTTCAAAATCTTGCGAGAGAGAAGGATATATATTTACATTATTTCTATGTCTTTAACCTTTATCTAACTTTCTTTAACTGCCGAAACGACTGTTCACGCATGTTTACGACTACTACTAGATATTTGTTACAAAAAGTATACATAAAAATTTTGAAAATGGGTGGATGTGCAGCACTGTTTTACAACAATTCTTCATTTAAGGCTCATTTCATATTTATGTTACTGTAATATAATATTTATGACAGCTTAGTGTGATTCAAATATGAATAGGAATTGACAAAACCTAGCGAGAATTAAAAAACTGACTATGGTGTGACTCTTATTATTATAAAGTTTCTAATTATAAAATCATTGAACTTTTTTTACATTAATTCTCTAATGTTTAAAATTTTATTAATACTATTGTATGCACAATTCATGGATAGATGACCGTCTACGTCTGTGGCTACAATTAAACCTTCCTATATTAAAATCTATTGCTTGCAATAAAAATATACATATAACTTTTTTACTTAATTTTTCCAAAACTTTCATGATGTGATATTTCGATTTGCGATTTTCCGAATACCTTATACAATGTATATATACTTATACGCTTATAATTGTTATATTATTGCAGCTAATCAAAACCAAACTCAAAAATAAACAATTACAAGAAATATCACATCAATTCAATGCTGCTATAATAGGTTACGACGAGGGCATACAATCTGATGACAAAGTATTAGCAGGAGCATTATGGAGAAGATTCTTTCAGTTGGAATGCAATAATCCGGAACACATTGAAACACTTCTAATTTATGTTAGGAAACAGGTAAAGCTTTAGGAAATAATGCATAACTATATTTTGTATTTTATTCCATGATATCGGCATAAGATAACTTGCTAAAGTTAACTATATACAATTTTTATAATTATACATTATGTGAAAAGTAATTTCTTTTTTGTTCACTTTTCAGATTTGTTTGTTTGACAGTTTACCAAATGATGAAATTTTAAGAAAACCTATTTTACAATTAATAGACATAAAAAGTTTATGTAAGCATCAATATTAATTACAATTAACAGACGAAATTAATGAAATATTATGTTTTTGTAAATACATAATGTTATTATGAAGAGTTATTATAAAAATATAGTAATAAATATAATAATATAATAACTTTTTCGTAAAGTATTTTCTCTAAATTAAAATGCTTTTCACTTAAAACATTTTACATTAATAATCCATCAGGTTAAATTTGGTCTTTAAATTAAAATGTTTTTCACTTAAAATATTTTATATTAACCCATTAGGTTAAATTTGATCAAATGTAAATTCAAGACTATTAATTATCACATTTAATTTTGTGATCTCCCAGATTCACAATTACGTCGCATATGAAAACTCTCATGCATTTTGCATCGCATTCCTTCGTCAGTGATGGTTCAGCTTGTTTAAAATAGTTCCTGAATCAATTATTGTTAGATGAGATAGAACACTGGGCAGACACAACAATTCTCTATACATTACCTGTAGTAACGATTTAGCAGCTTCTCGTCATTCAGTAATTTAAACAACCAAGCTTGTAATGAATCGTACGTCAAGTCGGAAAGTTCATATTCCTCTTTAAACGAATATGACTTATACCATAATGGCCGCTGATCAGAGTTAATATTCGCTAAAGTCAAATTGTATATCCAATTCTCGAAATCTTTGACTTCCTATAATAGAGTTTAACCCATCGTGTAAATGTACATTTTATCGAAACGTGTATTTTACCGGAACAATGTAATACTTACGTAATTTTTGCTGTCAATAGTGTAAAACTTATAATTGGGATTTACATTCTGGTAAGTAGTTACGCTACCACCGTTCCAAGCGACGTTACTAATCTTGCTATTATCATCACTGCCATAAATCAGCTGTAATTCATCTTTGTGCGTATGGCCGTTGAATTGCGCTCTGATTATGTGGGCAAATCTATTAACAATTTTGACGTATTCTCTTTTCCACGTAGTTTGACAATCCGTATTACCAGGAGGAAGATGCGCTAATATGTGCACATACTCTCTATCCATTTCAGCTTGCAAAAGCATATCCGCCAACCATTGTAACTGACCATCAGGATCTCGCGGTTGATATAGTTGCCACCTGCAGAAATGATTCTATACAAAACCGCGTAAAGTAAAATATTTGATTTATATACTTCCTGCATTTAAAATAAATGTAATATGATAATGTAAAAAGAGTTAGCATAACAAATATTGAAGAGATCAATTATGTATATTACTATATTGCTGCATTGATAGAAAATAGCAATTTTTTAATAGAGTATTTTTAAAATTCTTTCCGAATTGGAACGTTCTAATTAGGGTAGTGAATATACATAACTTCATTTTATCCATGTTATACCTTCAATAGAAGAAAATTTACTTCCTTTTACAAAGTTAAGAAGTAACTTTATTTACAGTTTCACTTGCAAGTCACACACATCCATCTATACCTTATGTTAACTAAAAATTTTTATCAAAAAGTTACTGTTATCTAAACCTAAACACTCAATTATAATATAATTCTTTAAAATTACATCATAAGTGTAAGAAATTTAGAAGAAACAAAACAGGAGTTATCAGCGTTAGGATTGCGTACTTGTGGCAGGATGGAAGTCTACCAATATGGAGAAAACCAGGCCTCGGTTCGAATTCCGAAGCATCTTGATACTTTTCTCTTGTTGCTTATTTTTTACGTAAGTTTTCAAAATTCGAACAGAATTATTTATCAGAATTATGACACTTTTCCATGTATTGACAAATGTATCGTTTTTCACAATATATTAATCATTCTTTTATCAATTTTTTTTCATTATCTTAAAAATGTTAATTCTTTCATTTGTATTGTCAGGGTTGCCACAGACTTGAAAAACTGAGAAAAGTCAGAGAAATTGAAATTGGCCATGGAAAATCGGGAAAAATGTAAAAAAGTCTGGAATTTTGAAATTTGCTCACAATTTCCTTAAACTACTACTATTCTAGATAATCGTTATAATTTTTTAATATTATATCTGACGTTTATAGAAATACGTTCAAAACACTTTAAACGATTTTAATAAAATAATTAAAATTTATATTTTATTCAGTATTTTTATTTGATCGCTCTTTTTCATAACTGCATTCTTTTTTTCAATACTAATTTATTTATTTATTTATTTTTTTTGCTTGAATTTGCACCCAAAATTTTAGTGTGCTATTAACTTTTTTTGCGTTGTTTTTAATAATATATACTAGCTTTTCCTATAATTCTTGACTTTAGATGTGTTAAAATTTATATATTTTATATTGGAAAATTTTCCATTTTCATCTGGAAAACCAGGAAAAGTCAGGAAATTTTAAAATTTATTTTCTGTGACAACCCTGGTTGTTATGCAAATAATTTTTATTTTATTTGTAGATTGCAATATCATAATTCATTTGATTGATCTACTATGTAGACTCTCTTATCTTATTATTAGTAATATTTTCGCTTTTTCAGAGATATCAGTCAATAAATACTTTTATATAAACGCGACAATATATTGTGATGCATAAGATAATTCACAATATTAATTGACTAATATCTTAGATTGATAACGTTAATTACGATATTGCAATCTACAAATAAACTACTTGTATGTCAATTAAAAAACTGATTTAATATGCTCACCAGTTGTAAGAATAACACACGTTATTGTTCAAAACTATAATTCTAAATCCTTTTTTAGGCGAAACCGTATAAAATCCGCCTTCTAGAATAGTAGGACGTGTAGATTCCGGTAACCACCCGAAATCAATCCATAAATCAGCCATTAGTTCATACAGCCATTGCGTGCTTATCTCATTATTAGTAATAATCCTAGGTGCAAATCTAAAAGAATTGTTCGACACTATATATATTAATCTCTATACTAGTCTCCCAAATACCGTGGTCTATTACGTCACCAGTGAAGTAAACATAGGAAATATTCTACATAAATTAATATATTAATTAATATTCTCTAAAATAACTTTCGGTTTTGAAGAATTATAAATAATAATATAGATATTATAAATATTTATAATATACATATTATAAATAATAATATGTAGATTTCTTGCGTACTTGATGTTCAGCTATAACGTGATCTAGGACGTCAAGAACGCTATGCCACGGACTGTCGCAATAATGATAATCTCCCCAATAGCCTGCCACCTTGCCGCTTGTATTTGTGTCGTTTTGTCCTTTTCGGCAACAAGTTGGCTCATTGCAATATGCATTACCATAAGGTTCGTAGTTAGGATCGTAATGAATATCTGTTATTTGCAATATATTTATGGTTTCATTGCTCTCTTCCGGTTTAATATATTTTGGAGGACCATCATCAATATTAACTGTCCAATTAAACTCGTTATTATTAAGTGGACAAAACGGTGATTCTAATAAAACTCCGCAAATTGTATCTGCCGTTAAATTAGGCTTTGAATCTATGATATACAAAATTGTTGGCTGCAAATAAAATATTCAGACCCATAAAAAGAAAAATTAATAATAAAAAACACTCTAAAAATCTTATCGTCTCAAATATATAATCTTCGTGAATTCATTAATTTGAATCGAATCTTATAAAAATCTTATATAAATCTTATAGAACCCGATAAAATACGATAAGATAGAAATCCTACTGTTGTTTTCTATCATCTTTTTTTTTATCAGGGATAGTATATTGAGTATATTGAGTATATTAAAAATAATTGATGTTAAAGATATTATATTGCTATGAAGAAATTTTTGCATATTGATATTATAATAAAAAATTTTCAATTTAATTTAATTTTATTTGTAATAACAATTCAATTTACTTACCAAATTGATAGTTATCACACCATCGCAGACTTGTGGAGATTGCAATTTCAGTAGAGTACAAATTTTAATCATTTTATTCTTTATATCTTGCATTGACATGCCCTGTCTACGATAGTTTATAAAAGTATTTAGGACAGACTTACATATTATGCAAATCTTTTCGCTATTTTCACCGTCGAAACTACGCCAATCTTTACGCAACAGATTAGTTGGAAGAGATAGATTATGGATTAACTGTTGAAATTCTTCAGATTTCTCATCTATTGTTATCCAATTATTAATTTCATGTGTAAAATGTGATATTATGTCATCTGCAAAAACAGATAAAATCAATATCTTTCAAAGTTTGCAACAAAACATTATACAATATATATATATATATATATATATATATATATATAAATTAATACGAATATGTGTACTATTATTTTATGCAATTCCGTTTTAAATAATTATAAATTTAATGAAAGCAAGGACTCCATAAATTTAAAATAATAAAAAGTAATAAAGACTGGGAGTCAAAATGGGCATCGAAATCACATCAAGGTTTACGAAATAAACTAAATAAATATAAAATAATCGCATTATTAACTGCGTTGACTACCACAGCCTTTATTACTTTTTATTATTTTAAATAATTATTTTATATGAACCGATAAATAATCTTACGATAGCAAAAAAAGACGTTTTGGCTATTTTCAACATCTAACATGAAAAAGTTCCAACATGTGCATACAAATTATATATCATATTAAATAACTATTTAAGCGGAGTGGTATATTGCTTGTGAAAACTTTGAGATCATAAGAGAAATTATGATCAAAAATAATAATGCTATCATATTTATCGATAAAAATTTATTAAATGAGACCTCAAAACATTCTGAGATTCAAGCAACAAGAACTATTGTTATTTAAACATGTATAACTCGATAAACATTTTATTCAAAACCTATTTGAAATCAAACTTTATTATTTATATCGGACACTTCATTGCTCATCAATCGCTAAAAAATCTTCCAATTATATATATATATAAGTAACAGTACAATCCTAATTGTTATTTAATTCTCGATCGATGTCTTCGATGATTATTTAATTTTTCTTAATAGATGCGAAAGCATTAGATTTATTGTCTTTGATATTATAATTTCTTTTTGTTTTTTGAAGTTTCTCTAAAATAAGAATATATTTTATACACCTCAAAATTTTATGTTAAACGGAAACTAAAGAGCTTCACATCTTTTATATTTTTTATATCGAAGTACATTCTATTAAGTGTCAAGGTTGCGCAAATAATTAATCATGAAACGTACCGTAAAGGATCATCATTTAATTGGTCATAATCTGTAAGAATTAATCAATTATAGATTTCCCCTCTCACTGTGATTGGTCAATTCTTACAGATTATGACATATAAATTAGCAGATTAGTATAAATGATCTTCAAGAATTAGTTAATTAGAGCTGAAGATTTTTGAAGAATTTTGTACTGTTTTGGTTTATTCTTAAAGATCATTTATATTACTTAGCTGTAATTTATAAGAATTGACCAATAGTCGATTATTTCCCACTCATTCGATTGTGATTATAGTCAATTCTTACAGATTACAGCTAGTATAAATGATCCTTACAGTTACGAAAAATGTGTGTGGGAGTCTCTTTAGAGGGTCCGTACACGTCGTATACTTTCCGTAGCTAATAGCTAATTGAGCTAATTTTTAACGGTATTACGATTACTGCTATGAAAAATGTGTACTGACTCTCTTAGGATCACAACACACAAAAAAATTCAAACAGTAAGATATAAACAGTCAGAAAAATTGTTGATGGCCTTATGCTATGACCTTATAGTCTCTACTGTGATTGGCCAATTCGCTTATTGCTTACGTTTTTTTTGTATGCCATGGTCTTTAGTAATGTGAATGTACAATAATAAGATATTTATGTTGCTATCAAGATAAATAAAAATAGCAACGATATAGGATAATATAAACAGCATGAACATTATATTAAACTTTATAGCATTATTTTATGTTATAATTTAATAATTTTTTGTTTTATGTATATATAATATACCCAACAAACGAGAATGGATTAAAATGGATTGACATTTTTTTCTATTTGAATGCGTATTTTAAATAGCAAATACTTTTTTTAATTGGATTCAATTGGATGGAAAAACTGCATTTCTTATTCAAAATTTTGAATTGAACAGTATTCACAATGCACAGAAAAAGCTAATATTATTTTTGGATTGAAAGACATAGAGATATGCTCCATGTAATTCTATAAATGAATAAAAATGCATTCAGGATTGAAAAGCATTTATTTTAACATTCGTGAATCAATATTTCTAAAAATTTTGTATAGATGAGAATATCTCTTTTAAATATCTATTATTTTCTTGTATATTTAATTTTATATATATATATATATATATATATATATATATATATAAACAGATTGTATATTTAAAAGATATATGTATATACAAAATCTTTAAGATTAAATATACAAAAAATGTGCTGTTTCTTTATTTAAATTCTAATATTTTATCTAATAGTTTATCGTACTTGTCTTGCTTGTCACGTCGCTGTTTGCAACTTTTAAGAAAAGTGCAAAAAACAATAGTCTGCAGAACCTCATGTTGATGCGATCACTTGATCACTGTAGCACCACTGTATCACCAGAGTTATTGAACAGTTATATAGTGTCAGTGTTATTATATCTTTCAGATAATTTCCCCACTTCTTCTCAAATAGCTTTCAAATAGCTTTGAGGTTCAATATGTAAGAGTGATAGAGATGGTAGATAATTAACCCCATCAATATACTACATTATGACCAACACAAAACAAATAAGAAAAACATTATCATTATCGCGAGATCAGATTGTTTTAATATTTGTAGTAAGTAAGAATATTTCGTCTTGATAAATTATGTAACGGAAATTTACTTAGTTTTTAATGTTACATGCTGTATCATTATAACTGAATTAATAGTATGATCATCTAATTAATACAAGATAATATCATCATCTAAACACAAACAAATAATGATGTTAATGATTAATGGATGAACAATTAATTTCATTAACTTATTCATACAATATGAATTTAAATTATAATAATAATTTTAAATACATAATATCGTGACGAATAACTTGCGTTTTGGCTGTATGCTCCTTCTTTAATTATAGTTTATAAGTATTAAGCCATTATTTACTTCTATATTTAATTTCATTAAAATGTAATAGAACTGTAAAAATCACATCAACTTAGTTTCATTTTTTTTATATTTTTATTGATTCATAAAATATATCAGCAAGACAATAAATTGAATTATTATTTTAGATACATAAAAATATACTATTGGGATTTCGTAACAATCTTTCTGTATATCATATTTATATCAATTTACACGTGTTATAATGTGTTTACAGAAGATCGTGAGTACATTTCTCAGGTATATGTGCAAAATTATTTTTTACAATTATGTACTCTTATTCAAAAACTTTAGGTATTTCAATCTTCGATTACAAGATCATCCAGCATTTCCTCGAGAGTAATCTGCGGAATGCTCGGGTCTATTTCGCTAGTGTCAACAGGAATGTGCTTCTGAACGTCTCTAAATATATTGATGTTCTGTCTCATTTCCGGATCTTCTTCTAGCTCATCAAGGAATTCATTATATTCACTGCAAAATGCAATTGATATTGTAAGACAATTTGCAGTACAAATTTGTAGACTTTTACATCGGTTTTCAACATACTTATTTTCTGTACTCATACTGGTTACTTCGTCAGTAATGTGTTTCAACTTCCATACTCGTGCCTTACGACGAGCTGCCTTGTTATGGCCGTAAAACTTCTTTACCAATATGATATCGGGTATTGAATCTTCACTTAATTTATCAAAATTGGTGTCATTAATATTACTATCTTTCAGAGCATAGCTGTAATAAATGTAATGAATTTAAAATAAATTATCAATGGAATATTGTACTATTCTTTTAGTAGAACATCTTTCAATTGCTTATATAAGATGTTGAAGGAAGAAATTTGCATCTCATTCTATTCTTTTTAATAAGGCCATATTAAATTTCTTAGCCAATGCAATTTATTGGTTTAATTTAAATATTATCGATTCATTTGTAGTTTTGAAGGGAAACAAAAGTTCTTTTCCAATATCTTTTAAACAATTGAATGCTCTGCTAAAAGGATATAATATCGCACTGTAGTAGTTGTTATTCAAACATGTATGACCATGTTTTTATTCCCATGTCTTTATTCCCATAAAGATAAAATCTGTATTAAAAACAGATGATAAACCAATCTATTATTATAAAAACAAGTAGTAGGTGTTCAGATGTGTTTTCAAACGTTTATGTTATTTTTAATTCTCCTACATTACATACAATAAATTTACTGTAAATTACATAAACTTACCCGAATACTGAATCACCTGGTTTAAGTATATGGCCTAAATGTGTACGTGTGTGAGTTGGATTATCGTTTATCCCCAATTCAGATGCTTTCACTAGCCATACGTCCGCGATGATGTGCTTAAAAATTAGTTATTAAAATTCAAATTATCAAAAACGTAAAAAGGCTAAGGAACCAAGCTTGTTGTTCGTGCTATACAATATTTATAAGTTCATTGCGGAATAACTATAAATACATACATTGCGGAACAATTATAAATACATACAAACATTTTGATCTTTTTACATCAGATAGGTCATCATCAATGTGATTAAATTATCGCTACCGGTTTACATTTCAAAATTTTCGTATAAAGACCGAGATATTAAGACTCTTGTACTCCGAACGCAAACATAGTATGCAAACTAGTTTTGTATAGCACGAACAATAAGTTTGGTTCCTTAGCTTTTTCTACGTTTTGATAATTCGAATTTTATTCGTTGGTATTCGAATTTAATTCCTTTACATTGTATTTAATTTAAAATTTAATTCTTAAAAATTTTTATCTTGAATGAATTACATATTAAATTTCTTATATTGTCGAAATATTTTATACAGGAAAAAACTTACTTTATTAGAAATAGTTCCTTGTCCTGGAAAAATTTTTCTATCTTTGTATTTTATTGGTTCAATATCCATCACGATGTACTCTGTTAATTGTTTTGGGTCGCATATACTATTGAAGTTATTTCTCCAGTAGACAGTCGAACTAACTTCAGCAACTGAATGAAACATATCACTGATAACATTAAATAAGTGTTAAGATTAATAATTAATGTTACACCATAGCTTACTTTGTCCCGATAAAAAGTCTATAAGATGTACAGCATTTGTAATTCGATATACCAAACAAATAGGATTAATGCCACCTAATTGCTGAGCCAACTTCCGTGATAGGCAAACTACGCTATCTTTGGAGAGCGGAACAATTTCAACGCTGTAAATGATGCGATAAAGACATTACAATCTAAATACGTCGCAAATGTATGCTGTGTATATTTACCAAAATGTAAACTTGTAATTGTATAAATTACTGTGACAATCATGTGAAATTAATCTCTTCGAATGTTGATACTGGCATGGCATGACCGTCATTAAAAAATCAACCATTTTTCTAGCTGCGGCCTCATTTGCATAGTAAAAGTCCAAACCCTCTGTAAAGTTAGAACATTTTTATGTATCTGTTATTCACTTAATCCAAAATTTTTACGGTACACTGGAAACTCTTTACAGCACACCGGTTAAAAAACCTTGTATCAATAGTATAATATAATATAAAAAAATTCCGTAAAACGCAATATTTACCATGAATAGGTTTTATGCCCAGTGTGTGCTCATGTGCTTTATGTTTCAATATCAATTGCTCTAAGTAATAAAAAGTTTTCTTATTTGTTGCTCTCTGCCGGACTTGCACCTATAAAACAATATGAAATACATTAAAAAAGCTACATAATTGTGTATAATTGTTCGACATATTTGAATTTCTTTTAGATTCTTTTTGCAACCATGAAAACTTACGCATGCACGCCAGTAATCTTTAGCTTCCGTACGGTGACAATCTTCGCACAATTGATGATTCACGATGTATTCGACTACAAATACTTGCTCCAAGACTGTTCCACCAATTACTTCTGCATGAACAGTTAGTTTTACCTAAAAGAAATATGACATATGATATAAAATGGAAATAGAATTTAACATTTAAAAGTAAGTTAATTAATGTAGACAATGATTGTATAATTACTGTTTATAATTAATATTTACAGGGACAGTGAGACGTAAATATTATATTCCACTTTCTTCTTCATCTTAATCTTTTTAATATTCCTTATATATATTTAACTAACATACATATTGATATAATTTATACTTCTGAAAATAAGTTTCCAGAAAACATTTTTTAATAAATTAAGCACTATGTTTTTAATTATGAACAAATTAAAACGAAAAATTAATTAGGCCACATATAAACTAATAAAGTTAAAAGGCTGTAAATTTAAACAAATATTAGACACATTTTAATGTGTAATATATAATAATTTATTATTTATATGTTTTACTTGCACAGTTTTTATTTAAAAAATCATGAATATATAGAAAACATTTTTCCTTAGAAAAAAAAAAACATTTTGTTGTATATAAATAATAAAACATTTTATAAAAATATAAAACATAAAATTCAATATGACGGATAAATTCCTTAATCTCATCAGCCGATTTTCACCTAATATTGCAAATATTAATCCATCAAGTTTTAAATCTATTTGTGTTTTCATTGTCAGTATTACACGTAACTCCAGCAACTTTGCTTGTATCATCTACATAGAACTTACTTTCAATCTTTTAGAATGTGGCTCTGTCCATATAAAACCGGCGTCTACTAGTTTCACACGGTTCAATCCCTTTAACTTTTTCAAGCACAATGACAAAAGTTCCCTGGATTCCAGAGCAGCGTGAATCCATTCGGAAGGTGGCTGAAGATATCTGTTACATACATTAACTTAATCGAGTTAATACGTAACCAAGATTTGAAACCTTTTTAAAAATCATACCTCTCACAACCCTTGCAAAATTGTATAGTCGCTTGTTTAGGGATACCTTCTGTAATATCAACATGGGTTCGTAGACATCCAACGCACATGTTGGCGGGATTCGGCTCAATAAGGGTCCCACATTCGCAACAGAGACTACGAAAGAAAAAGTCATATTTATTCGATTGCAAGATTAATTTTTATTTTTTGTGTATATATATATATATATATATATATATATATATAAACCAAAAGATAGAAATTAACTAATCATAGTTGATAAGAAGAATAATAGACTACAATTGGTCAATTTCTCAATCTTTTGATTTCTAATTCATTACTTATGGCTTATTATAGAATCTTCAATAGTAAAAGCTTGTCAATAAATCAGTTATGGTATTACATACAAAATTCTTTATACTTCAAAAGCAGTTCAGTTTTTTACTTATGTTTACTAAAGTTTTTTACTCTACTATTACTATATTGTATATTATACTATATATTTATTATATAAATGCTGAAGATTTTTTTGTAAAGTATGTGTACACACACACACACACACACACACACACACACACACACACATACACACACACACACACACACAGAGAGGGCTTGCTAAAAGTCTGGATATACCCAAATATCTCATAAACGATGCATTAAAAAAAAATATATCTTACAAAAGTTCTAAGGCTTAAAAAGACGCATTCAATGATAGTAGTTATTTGACCTAGGATGAAGTTGTCAAGATCAACATAAATTTTTTAAATGGAATCCCTCCTTTTTCATTACATGTTCTTGTAGTTTATCTCGAGAGCTTTCCAAAACACTACAATTAAGTTCATTTTCATTAAATACTTTGCGAGTTATAAGACTTGAAAGTTACAGTACCGCCGACATTAGCATTACGTAAGATGTTTAACCGACGGCTAAAACCTTTTGAATGTTGTTCAGAATTATAACATTGTTCTGAATAATCATTTGTTAAGATCAAGGTTACTGGAGATTGTTTCTCTTATTTTCATTTTTGCACTAAAAATTCATTTTTATGTAAAATACTCCACACCTAAATTTAATAAAAATACACTTATTCGATATTTTCATTTAAAATGAAAGAATCTGGCAAAAAAAAAATTAAGTGAATTAAGTTATTAAGCGTTAAAGTTGGAGACTTTAGAGATTATCTATCATCCCGATTCGATACAGCCCTATGTATATGTTCTGTTCACTGCTTTAAAAACACAAATTCATTGCTTTAAAAACACAAATTCATTGTTTTAAAAACACAAATTCATTGCTTTACAAATGCGAATTCTTTACATTAGCAGTGAATTTATGTTTTTAAAGCAGTAAATGTGTTTTTAAAGTATGAGTGAATTTGTGTAATTAATGCAGAACATATACATAGAGCTGTATCGAATGATAAATATCTTAATCTCTAAACTATAATAGTAATAAGTAATCAATAAATTTAAAAAACAGAAAGACAAAGAGTTACAAGCTTAAAATAATCGTTATAAAATAAAAATTTTTAAATCGTTAATAAATAAAACATATCATCTAGTTAAAAGGAATGTTGTAATCGAAAATATTCCTCATAATAGTGTATGTAGATTATACACATAACTTGTTTCTTCTATTACGTGTCAATATAATAAAATAAAAACGTCGTCTATTCTTAGGCAATACGATGAGATTAAAATAGTCATTACTCTAAGACGCTCAAAAACAATACTGTTACAGAGACAATAAGAAACAAGTTATGTTTGTCTATAATCTATATATACTATTATGAAAAATACATGGTTTTCGATTACAACATTCCTGTAACATTTATTCTAAATTGAGCGAGTTTGATTATTAATAATACAATCAAAAATGAACTTTGATTTTTGTATGTCTTAACTATGTAATATTTCTACTGTTTTTCTTTACATTGATAATGATCCAACAGGGATCGAAACGTTTGTTTTGTTTTGTTTGTTAGCAAATTAAAGTTTATATTTTAACTAGATGATATGTTTTATTTATTAACGGTTTAAAAATTTTTATTTTATAATGATTGTTTTAGACTCGTAGTCCTTTGTTTTTCTGTTTTTTAATCTCTAAAATCTCCAACTTTAATGCTTAATAACTCGATTCGACGAGGCCGACCGCTGTGGTTTTTTTTTGCCAGATTCTTTCGTGTTGAATGAAAACACATCGAAGTATATTTTTATTAATATTTGAGATGGGGGGAAGAGGGGAGTTATTCTAAATAATTACATCATAAATAATTAAATCATTTATTTTCTTCTCATAAAACTTTGAAAATTTTTTTTAGAATTTTTTATCAACTTTTTAGTACTGCATTTTCTTATTTTTACTAACATGAGAAAATACGGTATTAAAAAATTCTGAAAAAATTCTCAGAACTTTATAAGAAGAAAATTAATGATTTTTGTCTTTTGCAGTTTTTCTGTAAAGTTGATAGTAATTGAGTAAAAAATTATTTAAGACTAATATTTGGCAATTTTTAGTAATTAATATCTTGTTAACTATTGCGAAAATTGCAAAAGACTTTCCATAAAGAACTTTCCGTCTCAGTTTAGTCCGCTCCATCTGCACAAAAACGATTGGCCAAAACTTACGGGATACCCTGTATATTTGTATAAAATAAATATCTTAAAGGATAACATTTTGTACATATACATACATCATTCCTTTCTTTGCATCCTCAGAGGTTTGTTGAATGTACTCCATTTTGTGTACTTGTCACTGAAAAAAAAAAAAACTGAAAATTTTATAAAATATGCTTCATGTACTCTTCTCCTCGTGGATGCCTGTCTTTTTAATCCCCCAATTAAACTTGAAAGGCGAAGAGAGTATTTTCACACCAGATTGTATTCTAGATATAAAAATTCGAATCCTTCAACAAATGCCAATTTACAACGCTTGAATAAAAATCTCTCTGTCTGTGATTATTTACAATTCTATCTCCAAAAATCCTATAGAATTAACTGACAAAATCTTAAGATACCTTCGCTCCTCTAACCTCGTTCATCTAAAAACCTAACCTAAAAATCGCAATGCGCCATGAAATAAAATGATGAAAAGAAAGTTTCTTCTCTTCTCCAATATTCTTCTTCTTTTGGAAGGCCCTCTGGAGTGTATTCCAAAAACTCGACTCTGTCAGCTTATAGAACCAAAAAATCGTGGACATTACCGACGGGATTGTGGATATTTACTACGTAGTTCAATGTCAATATTTTGTGGACATAGAGGCGCTTCAAAATAAGGTAACAACTAAATCCCACATCTCATTCCCGCGGCGGGTATGGCCGTTCGCTTCTCGCTTTCAAGGCTTCTGTCTGGTTTGAAATTATGATTTATGTAATTTGACTTTGATGAGGCGAAAAATTGGGAAAAGCAGCTGTTCGTCGGACTAGGACGTCGGATAAAGCTCGCCACGTAAAAGACATTGGATAGCGACATTGACGCAGCGACATGAAACATGAAATCGGCGTTAATCGTTTGTTGCAGACGAGCGAGATCACGAGGTATTTCGCGGAGGGTTGCAGAAATTAGAAATCAGAATCCCGAGGATGGGCTCCGGCCAGAGTGCCCGCAAGTTGACCATCTCGAACGAGGAGGAAGTCGGGGTGATCAAGGTGTCAAACGCGATCGTACAGCGTCTCGCTCAGGGGGAGAGATCAAAGTCGCACAAGCCACTGCCGGATGAGAAACCTGCCGCACCGATCCAAGACCCGGTGAACCCCCCTGACGCCAGTGAAGCGACAACTGGGCAGCCAGTGTATTATCCAGAGTTGACGGTGTCCGCTCTTCAAATACAGCAGCAAATGGAAGAGGAACTGAATCGGCAGAATCAGTACTGGCAGAGGCGTCTACAAACTATTGAAGATAGTTACCAAAAGATTAATCGCGTTTTAGAGGAAGAATACAAAAAGGCAGCTAACGAGTCCTCTGTTGCTAAGTCTGAGGGTGAGTTTAGATTTATTTCTTTACAACACCTTTTGATTTATTCTCTAATTTGATCTCCAATCATGTATATCGAGTCTTTGCTTCTGCTGAGAAATCATAGTTGAATGAAGAAAAATAATAGACTATGATTAGTCAGCTACTTAAGACTTAAAACTTATAGGTAATAGTTTACTGCAGAAAGTATATTCAACAAGCCATATGATATTCAATTATGAAACAGCCTAAGATGTTTAGATTTTAGATGTTAATGCATAGATAAAATTAATTTCTGGATAATTTACTACTTTTGATTACTAAATAAAAAAATTATACTAATGTATACAATACTTTAGTTCAAGATAAAACTAAACGAAACTTTATACAATGTGATAAATAAGTAAGCAATGTCATAAATAAGTTTATAATTTAATATAAATATATATATACATATTGTTACAGGACAAACAATTGCAAATATCCAGAATGTAGTGCAACCGTGTTTAGAGAACAGTAACAAAGTTCTGAAGTGTTTCCAGGACCATCCCAAAGAGACTCTGAAATGTTCAGATTTGGTGGAAGAGTTTTCAAATTGTGTCTGGAAGGTGCATACATGCATGATCGAAACGCGTTCGTAATATATTCTATTTGCGCATTTCTTGGATCATAACATCTTCAAAACAGGACATTTAGTTGACAGATAAATTGTATATCAAATTGTAATGCCTAAAATGCTTGTCTCAGCAGAATTGTTGCTGATGAAAAATAGTATAAAGCAAAGAGTACATGAGGAGAAATGTAAAAAATAAATGAATATATATTGTGATTTATAACAAAATGAGATGATTGTTACAAGATAAATATACAATATTTATAGAATACATATAGAATGTACAAGATAAATATTGTTGAGCATTAAACAAAAAGTAAATTTCTTTCATTAATATTTATCCAAATTTAATCAGCAATAGAGTTTCATAATGCCATGTGGCACAATTTTTGTTTACTAGAATAACGATTTGGTAATTATGCAGGAAAGTGTATGAAGACTAACCTGAACAACTCATTTTGAGGTTCTATATATATATGTATAGTTCTATTTATAGATCAAAAATATATACAGTATAACCCAGAGTGCACGACCCAAATAAAGGCCTACAGCAGCATAGCATTTATATAATATGTATCTATAGTATATATAATTTTATATAAATTGATAAATATAAAACGAGAAAACGTTGCAAATGCAAGTCATTGGAAGTACATTTGTGATATATTTTCTAAAATATGTATGTAAAATATATATATATATATATATTCTATTTATACATTATAATACTTGCCGAATGTATATAGCGTGCAGTAATCAATTATTTTCGTGCAGTATAAAATGATATCTGATGATGACACATATGCCATCAAGAGACCTGTTCTTTTTAGCTGAACTTCTTATCTCATATTTCATCTTTTTTTTTTCTTTTACGTATGAGAAGAAAAAAGAAAAGATAAACTATGCAAATTCAGCCAAAAAGAACAGACTCAAATTTATACCACTCCTCCAAAAAGAAATACAAAGCAACTATAACGAAAACTTTAATTTATGAAATTCTTAGAATTACATTATCAATTATCTCTAAAAAATTAAACGGTAATATATTAAGAATTAAGAGGGTTGTAAGCCTTGTGCACAAGCAGTGCACAAAATTGGAAAGAGGATGTACAATATATTCCGAGGCACATTACACCACCACACAATAATTAATAATATTTGCGTACTTCTTAACGAAAGTATATATAAATGTGTTTTAATATCAAGTGAGTGTGATTCTTGTTTAAATTCGTAATACAAATTATAATATAACATAACAAAATTTTAGTATTCACGAGCAAATGATTGTTTAAAAAAACGAAGAAAAAGAAAAACGAGTAAATCTTAATTATTTAATCGGTTTTCTTATCGCCATTCGATTGCGTAAGTTTCGTATATTCCTTAGTCAAACGATCGTATTCCTTCGTGAGTGATTCCGCCTGCGATTTTATTGCTTCTTTATCCTTCTTTTCTTTAGTCAAATTACTCTCGAGCTCCTGATTCTTCGCTTGCAACTCTTTAATTTGAGTTTTCAATTCCGAGACAGCTTTGTCATGTGCCTCGTTGGAATCATTCTGCGCACTTTCCCCAATTGTTCTCTGGGACAACAAGCTCCTGGCTGTGGTCGTCGCCGACTGAGCCTGCCGCATGGCTGCCTCGTTTTGGGCGAGTAAAGAAGCTTGAGTAGATATCAGGATGACAAGACGACGTATCACTAAGCTCAGAAATAGCGCAAAACCGGATATGTAGAAATTCGTATTAATGTAAGCAGAATAGTGACATAATTTGTGGCGCGCGCGTAATCAGGAGTTACAAGAATACGAAATTTTCAGTAATATACAAAAAAGAATGTTGTGAAATACAAAAGTGTCAAGGATGTATTTCAAGATTTAAAAAATCACCTCTTAAAAATTTTCAGAATACATAAAAATCACTGTGTATAATCTACCTTGCATTTCAACATTTAACTGATGATGATGGTCTGTGTGATCTAAGCTCGTGGAGTATTTCCGCATTTCTCGTATGGCGTCCAGCAGAAAGAGAACCAGAACACCCAGCAAGACCACAAAATAAATAGAAGCCTGATTATTTAAGCTTTGCAAAAAGCGAGACTTGAAGAACTTTTGCCATCTAGTCGGCGAGGCTACCGGAAGCACCAGGAGGAGGACGATCGCAACCTCAATATAGAGGAAACCAGCTATGAGCGTCCACTGCAAACTCATGTTTGCCTCTTATTCTACCCCTACGTTTAGATACCTAAAAAAAATTATAGAATATACATGTCAATGTAATTTTCATATCTCAACATCTTGAAAATGTATAGAAATCAAGTATTTATTGGAATTCCTTCTTGCCAACTGTTGGAATCTCATCTTTTTCTGATAAATAAAACACTGTGCTTAGCATCTATAAAATGCCTGTGCAACAGGATACTTTAATCTCAATTCTATTCATAAAAAGGCATAAGGTAGAGATAGCTAGATAACATAGATTAACTTTAATCTTGATTTAACTTACTATCTTCTTCCAATGTTTAAGAACTAGAATAGTTTTTTACCAATATAGATTAAACTTTCATGTCGATTCAACTTATTTTTCTCTTCCTATATTTTTAAGAATTGAAAAATAGTTTTAAAAATCGTTTTTTTTTAAATTGTGGAAAGAAAATTGAATGATTTTCTTCACGAAAAGAAGCAAATATGCAGATTTAAAATTACAGCTAATCTACATTGATAGAATGGTCACCTCTTCTTTTTCTACTTCTAAGAATTAGAAAAAGATGGAAAATAAATTGAATTGACATTAAATTTAATCTGCACTAGTAGAAACGAGCATTAGCTGAATTTCTTGCACTATTTTTTTCTTTTCTAAAGTAGAGAAAAAAGAAAAATAAACTGCAAGTTCAACTGGGGGAAAAAAAAACAGGCTGATAATTTACATTTCGTACTGCGACGCAATTATTAAATTAACATCTCGAGGAATGCATGCAAAGAAAATTGACAGGATGATACGTGATTTTGAATCGGATCATGATCAATCATGACGCAACATTATTGTGATGAAATGACACGATTCATGAAATGACAGGATTCATGGAAATGTCGTCGATCGACCTGTTGACCACTTTCAAAGTCGCACCTGTCACGTTTCGGGTAAGTACTTGGTAGACACGATCCGTTCGCAAAAATAAAGTACGTCTTCAGGTAAAACGAAGCTCAACAATTCGGAGATTGGAGTCGTCGGCTCTCTGGCACGCCTCTAAACTTAACACATACATATGAAGATCTGATATATTTTGGAATAGCCATTTAACGAATGAATCCTCGACGTATTTATAAGCTAGCGATTCGTTTGCCCGGGTGACCGCCGGTGAATTTTACTTGTCAGTGAAATTCACCAGGATTTTTAATTCCTTACGTGGTTCCCCCTGTGAAGACGAATGTAACGGCAAGAAGATTGAAACGTCGTCGGCCTCCGATGATTTATATGTGACGTGCAAAGTACATACGAGTAGACTGTAGACTCAAAGTGCGAACGTCTCGTCAGTCGTCGGTAGTTTTATAAATAAACCGTACCTCGTGACGTCACCCAGACTCCTCGCAAAATATATAATTTTCTACATCGCTTCATTCGCATCTCTGTTCTCTTTGTTTCTTTTCCTCTTTCAGTATCCCTCTTCTCTTTCTGTCACGACATGCACGACATCGACAAATGCTTTAAAGCGTTTTTGGATTGGTCAATTTGTAAAATTCTTTCGTCTGATTGGTTTGGTTCCATCAAATGCTTTAAAGCACTTTTAGAGTTTCACGCGTGATGCGCATGATGCATCATTTATCCTTGTTGTTCATCGAATGTTAAACAAGAATAAATGATATATTGTATTATGGGCCAGTCCCACCAACTCCGATTAACTCAATCGATTGAATTGGTCAGTTCGAGAATTCTTCTTTTCCGTAAAATGGAAGAAAAGTAAAGTACAATAAAAGGAACAGAGAATAGAGAATAAGAATTTCAACTTATCAGAAATCATGTATTGTGGAATACACAGTTTCTGATAGGTTGAAATTCTTATTCTTTGTTCTCTGTTCCCTGTTCCTTTTATTGTGCGGAGTCCTTAAAGCAACCGATGAAATACTATTAGGGTGAAATCACACGATGCGGAATAAGACTGCGGAATAGAGAATGCGTCATTAAAGCAATCAATCAGTGCTATCTAATCACTTCAATATTCACAAGAACGCGAACTCCCGTAATGTCTACTGCACACTGGACACGATAAGCGATGAGCGATGAGTGATATCCAATGAGAACTTTGCTTTATCTTATATGATACACAAAGCAAAGCTCGCATAAGAATGTCGGTCTTTAATTGACACGGAGCGCTTATGATTGGTTCCGCTCCTGTTCCGCGTTACGTTATTCCTCTGCATAGGAAGATACCCTTAGGGCGCATTCACACTTTGACGGAAAAGCGGAAAACGGAAGAGTAGCAACCGCGTTAGCAGTCGACAATTTCGGCTTTTTGTACTACTTACTATCAGCGCGAATTCTAATTGGCCACTGCTTTTCCGCTTTCTATTTTTCCGTCAAGATGTGAACGCGCCCTTACAATTACAACCACTTATAACTACGCTTATGTCTATTGTAGAATAGGCTTTACAACTACAATCATTTAAGATATATCCACATAAATTTGCATAGCCACATAATAAACGTATGCATAAAACAAATTTTCCAATCATATTTCTCTCATAAAGACGTAAAATATGATTGGATAATTTTCATTATGAATATGTTTATGTAGTGATGCAAGTTGTGTGGATATACCCTCAAGCGGGGAACACAGATTCTTGCATAACGCATAGAATGATAAGAGTGTTTATGCTATTTCACTGCATGGGTAAGCAGTGAAGATATAAAAAAATCAATCAATCAGAGTCTTTTATTTCATGGAAATGAAGGAAATAAAGAATTTTGATTGGTTCATATCCATTAACGTCAACCAATAGCGAAGCATTTTCTAATCCAAGTTGGTGCAAACCCGGTCGGGCCGAAAATTCTGTTAGGATCTGAGCACAAGAACTTAGAGACCGTGTTTCTAAGAGACGGCAATAAATCTTACGTCTACAACTTAAGTTTCTAAGTAAGTATTACGACAATTCTTGTGCTCACACCCTTAGTTTGCAAGCATCTCTCTCTCTCTCTCTCTCTCTCTCTCTCTCTCTCTCTCTCTCTCTCTCTAAATCTCCGCCGTCTCTGTCTATAAATATCGCATCAGGGAAACAGGCTGCCAACTGTGAAACGCTAAACATGAGGCGAATAATTGTTTTCTACAGAAAGCGAAACATAAAGTGTGTTAAACAAGGAAAGATTCAGTACCAATTTCACAACGTGAAACAGGCAGGTATTCATAGTCGATTCTTGCATATAAGACTATCTTAAGTACAATCTTAAGATGTCATAAATAATACAATCCGAGGACTGTACATTCATCTGAAGACATTATTTAAGACTGTTTTAAAATAAAAATGAACTATGAATATCGCCTTATGTTTAGCGTTTCACAGTTGGCAGCCTTTTTTCCTGACGCGAAATTCATAGACAGAGGCTTAGTTTCCACCGAGGATTTAAATCGAAAGAATGTAAGAACCAATCAACTACAGTTGAGTATTCTCCTGTTACAATCGAACAATAGGGGAATGCTCGAGTTGGTTCTTAGGGTGAAATCACACGGTGCGGAAGAACGCTGATTGGTTGCTTCTATGACGCATTCTCTATTCTGCAGTCGTTTTCCGCACCGTGTGATTTCACCTTTAGGGAGCTCCGCACAATAAAAGGAACAGGGAACAGAGAACAGAGAATAAGAATTTCAACCTACCAGAAATCATGTATTGTGGAAACAGTTTCCATAGAAACATAAGTTGAAAGATCCGATTTAAACGATTCGGTGGAAACTAGGCTAATGATTTTACACGAGTGGAATTCATTTATTCTTTTATTCTTACACTTTGGTATAAATCAATCATCTTGAAGAATTTTACAACAGTTGCAAAGCTGCTTTCCTTGCTGGGCTGCGTTCGACTGTATATGTCTTGAAATGAAGTGAAAATTATAAAAATGAACAAATTCACTAGAATATTCATAATTTAATTGGTCAATATCTAGTAATCATTGTTCACTTTTATAATTTTCATGTCATTTCCAAATACACAATCGAGTCCCTGAATCGTCGTCCGAATGTCATTTTATCCGTATTGTTAACTTATGTTAAGGCCATTCTATAATACATTGGTCGTATCGTAGACGTCGCAAGTCACAAGCATGTTGCTTCAGCCAATCCGATGCTCTAATTTTAAAGCGCTTCCGACGCTACGATACGACCGATGTAGAATGACCTTTAAACAAAGATAAAAGAAATATTGTATCTGGATGCACCAAGAATACCCAGATAATAATTCTGAACGCAGCCATTAGGTCTGTTCGCGTTGCATGAAATCCCCAAATATTTTTGCACTTAAAATAAGACAAACATACACCCACTTGCCCTTGAAAAGAGAGAAAGCGAAGAATCTAAGTGCGGAAACAGTGCAAGCAACGCGACAGACCTAAATCTATATATTGGGTCATCTAAAAAGTATCCGCGGTTTTTTGTCACTAGATGTGTGTTGATGGTCATATATCTAGTGACAAAGTACCGCGGATACTTTTTAGATGACCCAATATTTATATGTATTACATGACCGATGCATCGTGCACCTGTCAATCCTGTTCGTAGCTTCATTGTTTACATGCTGAAACCCGTCGGATCGATACCGTTTGCACGCGCACGAATACGAATACGAATGCATCAGACTGATGAGCTTCTAACGATGCGTAAAGGTATGCGTACACGTGTCTGATTCGCCATAGGACATATTTAATAAGCGGCAAACGCGTTGCGCGTGCCGAAGAAGAGAAGGAGCTAGAGAAAAGGGAGGTGTATGTGTGCGTCGTATCGTTGTATGTGTCGTATGTGAGCGGGAAAGAAGCGACGCCGCGGCCGGCACGGCGCGCTGGCGATGGATCACTCCTAGTCACTTCCTTAACTTTTGTTCCGACGACGCGATAGAACCTCGAGGATATATTCCCGCGCCAACTTGGGACAATTTATGGGACACAACGTCACCAGCTGGGAGATGATACGTACGCGGGAGGAAAAGTCGAATTTCGACATTTTCGACGGTACGGACGGCACCGAGGTTCAGCATACGATTATGAACAACATGGTAGACGCCAGGGCCTGTTACAAGCCTAGCGGCAAAGTGAGTTGTCGAGTTTAAACCTTTAAACAATCGCATTTAAAACGAGACAACTTTGATCAAATCCTGATCGAATCCTGATGAACCGTATAGTGCAGTAGTGAAATCGTTTTCTTAACACGCAAAGTTTCTTACTTGCGTACACAACTCGTCGTTTTATCCTCATCTTTTTCTCCATGTGTCAAACAAATAATTAACGATTCTATCCTAATAATTTATATTAATAAAATTACTTGGATAGAACTGTTAATTCTATTGTTTGCAGTAACCCTATAATCCTTAGCTGGCGATCACTGAATCATTCAAAATTGAATGGATATTTATTAGTTTCCAAAGATTATTTGTATATCCCTTTTACATTATTATGAGAGTATAAAAATCAAATTCGAAAATTGCTACTTTTTTTTATTTATAATATTTATACACAGATCTACTTTTTCATTATCTAAGAGAATTCAATCATTTGCGCTATACTAGATTAATACTCTAAAAAGATATACTCTATATAAAGTATCTGAATGTAGTGATATAATAGCAGGATGTCCCCAAAGAGAAGTCATAGATTTTAGGACAATAAATAATAACTCGAAAAGTTCTAATAAATGTAAGTGCGAAAACAAATGATTGCCAAGATATCTCCTTGTTTAAACGATAAAATATCAGAATTAGAGATAAACAGACATGATTTCGATCAAATCTGTTTGACAAACTTACTGTTTGGATGAGGCGCAACCTCATATTAAGTTGCTCTTCAGAAATTTATTCAGAAATCCATCTGAAATTTGTAAACAATCGTTTTTCTTGTTCTATATACCCTTAAAGTCTATGATTCTTTTTTTAGATTAGACACCCTGTATAATCAACTTTGACAATGCAGTAACACATGTATATTCTGTTAAATAATGTGACAGCATCATTATTACGTATTTAATTGTTTAAAATATTAGGTATGTTTTTTTTATAGCTAAACTAATTCATACTTTTTGTACATCAAGTGAAATAAATATGTACATGTTTGAAATTTGTCAAAAATGAGAAGAAAAGTTCTGGTGCAGTCTATACAGCAAAATAAAAAATATTTAACTTTTATGTACTTTTATGTACTTCTAGCAATTTTCATCGCTCTTTTATGTAAGCATATATTGATCTAGTATAACGCATAACAATTGAATTTGCTGCAATAGCATATATAAGATATCCCATAAGTTGTTGTCCCAACCGCTTTTATATAGATAGAGCGGATTAAATGAATCCTGAATCGAAAAGTCCTCCTATCATTTTGCAATTTTCGCAATAATTAACGAGATATTAATTACTAAAAATTGCTGAATATTGTTTTCAATAATTTTTTACTCAAATATTATCAACTTTACAAAAAAATAGCGAGAGATAAAAATTATTTATTTTCTTCTTATAAAGTTCTGAGAATTTTTTCAGAATTTTTTCAGAATTTTTAATTCCGTATTTTTTCATGTTGATAAAAATAAGAAAATACAGTACATACTAAAAAGTTAATAAAAAATTCTGAAAAAATTCGTAGAGTTCTATGAGAAGATAATAAATGATTTTTGTCTGTTGTAGTTTTTCTGTAAAGTTGATAGTATTTGAATAAAAAATTATTCAAGATCAATATTCGGCAATTTTTAATTACTATTACGAAAATTGCAAAATGATAGAGGATTTTTTGACTCAGTCCCCTCTACACAAAAGCGATTGGCAAAAAACTTACACCCTGTATATTCAAAAGTGGCCCAGCTATAATTCTCCAAAGGGTTCTGCTAATCCTATTCTGAGAATTATATCCATTTCTACCAATATAGAGTAACTTTAATTTCGATTTAACCCACTTTTTATCTTTTTTTCTAGTTCTATAAGAAAAAAATTAAATTAAGATTAATGTTAATTCATGGTAGAAATGGACATTTTCAGTATTGCATATATTATTTGATAAATTAATCAGGATTCGGTTGAAGTAGTCCGTCAAGTATTTACAGGAAGTTATTTGTATGGAAAATTTTTTGCATGCAGCTCTCTGTAATTTGCATAAATTTCGTATGGCTATCATGAATTTCATGTATTAAATGAAGGAATAATTTTGAATCGATTCGGCAATAGAATCTGTAGCGTCGACGAATCATTGTATCTTAAACATTAATTTATTTCGTAGGATTGTTGTTATAATTTGTCGTGTGTGCGCATGTGATATACAGTTGGCTCCAGCCTCTTCCGTTTTTTTTATTTTACGTTTACTATATGACAGAGACACATAAAAATGTATATCAGAGCGATGGATATATGTTCAGGTTTGTAATATTTACACTATGATTTATTTAGCGAGATGTTTTTCGTTGAAAAACTATGCATTTTTTACCTAAATCAAGCTTATTTAAATAAATCCTGAATTATCCCAAGCTTCAGAGAATACAGGATATACAGGATGTCCCATGCTGAAATTAATTCGCTCTTATTCTGTAACGTATATCGGGAAAATTAAAAGTGCGATTAACAGAAGATATCTGGCAGTTTTATTTGAGTATATTCTGTATATTCTGTACAATAGAAAATTTCGTCTAACTTGACAATTTTATTTAACTTTACAAAAAAAAAATGGCGAAAATTAGATAGTTTAATGATATTTTCGTGTTGGAAAAAAGATAATAGAACCAATTTTTATACCTAAGTCATGGAAGGAGAGCTTGAGAGAGTTTAGTTTCAGCAACTTTCCATCCAGAGACCAGCCACTTGGCTAGCAAATTCAATAAGCCCTCGATCATCATTCAAGAAATAATTATATTTCTGTTTCTCTTCCATGTATTCCTCATGAATCATCGATGCGTAATGGCAGAAATGAAATAGAAAACGGAAACTTGAGTCCACTTGTAATTTGTGTTGCTGAATGGCACTCGCAAAAGTATCAAGCTCTCATCAATATTTATATTTCATTGTTATCGATACCGGCCCGAATAATGTTGCTATTGTCGTGTTGAAGGTGCGAGGTAGTATCACTGCATGACACTGCAACAAACAACAGGCGTCAAGTTCTGCGAGCACTAAGCACTACCAGCACTAGATAGTCACTCGCCTTTGTCAGTAGAAGCGGAACGGTCGGCGTGGCTAAACACATTCGCGCTCGATAGCGCTCGGCTCTCGCACAGTAGCTCTTGTTCTGTAGTTGTTCTTTTCTGTGCGACGAGCGCGTCAATCGGTCGATCTCGTAATCGCTCCAAGCATCACGAGGAAGGTGAAGAAACGCAAGTTGCTCGCATGGCGCATCCGGGTGTACGTATCGCAATTTAAACATTAGAGCAGCCTTGCATCTGGTAGGCAAAACAGGAGGTACAATTGCCTCTGGACTATCACGTACCTGTACGTAACTCCTGATTGTTCTTGACCTCTTTGAGATTTCATACGTAACACTACCTACCCTCGGTCGTGAAGATGAATCAAGTCAAAAGAAAAGGCAATCTACCCGGCAGCCGAATAGAGATTTCGCGTTCGAGGACATGCAAAAAACTGGCGATCAGAGGCTTTTGCGAAAAGAGCTTTTGCAAAAACGTTTTAACTCCAAGTTGTATGATGTACAGCCCACATGGCCTAGATTATATAGATATAGCATACGTGATATAAGCTTGTTATACCATCGAAGAAATCTCTATCTCACATATTAGGTGCCTGCAGTGGCACCGTCAAAATAAGTTATCCAACTTTGACCGCGTTGTTTGTACGAGCAATAATTAGAAAATTTAACGACTCAATCATTGGAACAGTTGATGTTTGGCGAACGGCCTTCAAGGGTTTTTCCGCGTTGAACCGCGTTCTCTTCGATGGAATACTATAGTCATTCAAAGTCTTTCAAAATTGGAGGGAAAGCGATTGTTACACTGTCTCAGAAAAGAGAGAAGATCTCGTTAGCAGGATCATCACTGTCTCGATGCGATCGTTGCGATAACTCGGGTCTGTCTAATTACGCGAATTAATTCAATCCCCATCACATTCCCTCCCTTAGCCCAAGTTTATTAGGTACACTTTAGTTACACGAAAATTGCGGCCGCGCTTTGACGCGCCGCGCGAGCTTACTCTCATAATTTTATGAGTTGTTTGTTAATTAGACGCCTGTCTCATTTTCCTTTGTTTCTTCTAGTAAGCGTGGCGAGTGAGAGAACGGCTCGTGTAGTTGGTTTACGATATTATCCACAACCAGTGATTCTTTTTCTCTCTTTTCTTGTTTTTCTCCCTCACTTTCTCTTTCTCTTCCCTCCCTCCCCTTCTCTCTCTCTTTGTTTCTCCAATCACCTGCACATGCATGGGTCCCGGCTTGTCGATTACCGCATCCTCGTTGTGCACTGGCAACAATCGTTTCACCGCGCACGTGTACTCGTCGAGCACCAGCTGTCCTGGACACCAGATCCCGATCAAACATGACCAACGATAGACGGGTGAGTATTATCTCTCTTGCTCTCATAGAGTTTCATAGAGTTCCATAGAGAATTAAAATCAGAGCAAAAACGCAAAATTTTTAAACTTCTAGGCTAATTCAATGTGTCCTTTGTTTCCTGTTTCTTGCTGTTTGTCTCTGTTTGCCTCTTGCCTTTTTGGTCAATAAGATAAGAGACAAACAGAAAATAAAAAGCACATTGTAAAAGCCATTAAGCATCTGCATATATATGACAGATCAACAGTTTGGATTGTCACACATTTAAAGTGGACCTTATAGAGATTTTGAGCGAAGGGAGTAATTTTTTTGTTTGACCTGCATTCAAAAAATGATCCTAAACTTTACCAAATTTATGCTTGTGCACGTTGACCGAATTGTTTATAGTTTTTAAAACGGCTTTATGTAAAAGTCGGTGTACTTATATAGCGGAATCTCATTAAAAAACCGCAATGCTTTTTTTTAATTTCTGTCTGTTCAAAAGTAGCGCAACTTACTCTATAAATTTTTTGGAGTAAAATGAGTAAAATCTATAATCTCAAAAAAGAGTGTACATTTGCCACTATTATTGAAGAGTGCAAATTTTTTAGTCTTTCAATAATGGCAGTATTTTAACTCTTTTGGGGTGAGATTTCATTCCAAGAAGTTTAGAGTTTAGAGAGTAGAAAGCATGATTTTCGAATTATTACTGTATTATGAATGAGTGAAGTAAACATTTTTTTTATTCTATCAACAAAAAAAGTGAACTAATCTCATACAAATCGACGAAATTATTATAATTCGAAAAAGATGATTTTAAAAAATCAAATTCAAAATTAAATATATGCACTAGCATGCGTCCAACGATTTTAAAAAGCGTAATTTTTTTAAAACAAAAATGACAAAAATGATGAAAATAATTCATCATATTGATAATATATATATATTCTTATTACCGATAATTATTTTTAATTAGACAATAATTTTCTATCAAGTTGAAAAATATTTTTTTCCCTTTTTTGAGAAATTTAACTTTTAGTTGTATCTACTTAAATAAGAGAATGACATGTCAAAATTTTTCACGTATATCCTTCTCTTCTATACAAGTATAAACTGCAGCATTTCATGCGTAGAATAAATGAGGATATAAAATATCACATCTTTATTGCATTACCTACGTAACAACGAGGAAGCCGCAACGACGTGATTACATAATGTACCGGTTATTGATTTTGATTACGATACCTTGCACACTTAACACACAAGGTGTCCCAGATCTACCGAGCAGTTTACCGAGTATTTTACTTACGTTTCCTTTGATCAATTTTCATCTAATCTTTTCTCTACAAAAATAACGATAATTTTCAATTTACAGGCAAATTTTTAGGAGCTATAAACGCAGATCTTTCATTTAATTTTAAGTGGATTTTTATCCGTAATTTCATTCAATCTAAATTGGCGTAAAAAAATTCAAATTTATATGAAAAATAGGTTCGAATAGATTCGGAAGATCCTGCGCGCCTGATATATTTCGCCGTGATTCTTATGCAGTTTTTGCAGTTCACTTGATTATCTTCTTTTTTTTTCCTTGGGAAAAAGTCGCATAATTCGATCTATCTCACCACGCTACGCTACACATCGCGGTAAAAATACGTCGATTCACACGAATTCAAGAGATTTCACATTCGCGCTGTCAATTAGTCATAACTGCATGTGATTCATTATTGTTTCTTCAAGCGCAATTTCAAAAAGAGAAGAACGTAAGTTAAAAAAAAATCTTTGTTTAACACTTAATTATTCACGTAGTATGTCCAGGGAATCCTTGCCTTATAAGTTCACTGAGTGTATGAACGCTATTTTATATACATATTATATTTAGTGTAAATTGTTTCGTAATTAAAAAACATTTTGTTACATTTATATCTTTATCTTTATTTATTTATATTTATATCTTAAGAATGTTAAATTGAGTAGTAATTAATTAATTAAAAGTAAGAAAGTTAACAACTTTTACTTGGTTAATTTTAATGAGTTAATTTTTAACTTCGATCCATTCCCAAGTTATTTTATAAAATACATTAACTTTAATTTATTAACTTTTTTCTAATTATAAATTAAAATTTTTTTCTTTGATTACTAATAAGTATTTGTTTTACAAATTACATTTTAATTTAATATAAATAATTTTAAATTATTAACTTTTAATTTAACTTTAATTTAATTTTAACTCAACTTTTACCTAAGTTAGTTTTTGTTCGTGCAACTTTTAACAGTTAATAGGCCTAAGTTAATAGGCCACTAACTTTAACTTTGATTTAAAACTAATCAACTTTTACTTATCCGATCCTGAAAGGATGTATAGAATATTACTAATTTTTATTTAATTGTAAACATAAATGTAACGTCAATTCGTTTTGTGCAAACTCTCTCAATCGTTATTTTTGTATCTCATCGCGCATCGTCTGTTCTGCGTCAATTCCTTGGACTTTGTTCTCGGAGGCAATCGTTGAAAAATATGCAATTGTCAGTCGCGATAACGAAATGTCTGTATTTTGATATTTTTCATTCGTAATGCCGGCAACTTTCTTTTTTTACGGTTTCTGAGCAAGAGAGAGCCTTCTTGAAAATCGTGAATGATATTATATTTCTCGCATTGTATATCATATTAGCATGACGCGCTTTGTTTTTTTCTTTTCTTCTTATTGACATGATTTTATTATTTCGTAAGTAATATTGCAGTAATATTGCAGTAAATATTCACAACGTTGTTCCAACGGGCCTTGCGGCGATCGGAATATATAGAAGTAAAATTTGAAAGAGAACTAGAGATGAGTAATGAAGTGGTTAAACAATAGGGAGGGTATCCGAGATTTCGGATTCGGATCGAGGGATGTTTGTAATGTTTGGATACTTGAATTTAAAATCGAGTAGCAATAGATTATAGATGTAGACTTGTGGATTTAAATTTAATTAATTAATTATACTAGAGTTTAAATGGAAAATCTGATTGAAAAATCATGAAGAAGCATCAAATTTATGCCGTTAAAAAGTTTCTAGATCTATGATTACTGTCTGATTCGATCCTGAAAAAAATTCCCGATCCGAATCCGAGGCTCGAGTATCCGCATATCCCTACCAAACAGCCTTGGCGGAAAAATTTTCACGAAAAATTACATAGATTGAGAAAATCCAAGAAATCCTTCCTATACGTCTTTTGACGATATATTGCAAGTTTTTACAGAACGTTTTTTCGTATCTTGTATCATAAGATAAACAGCGTCACTCTACGTCCCACGAATATCTACAAAAAATTAAGGATATCTAAGGCAAACATATCTCACTCTACGTTCCACTATGAATATCTATGAAAGATTAAGAATTTTTTAAATCTTGTCTCAATCTATATATTAGGTGTTGGAATTAATTCGTAGCGTTTTACAAGTGATGGGAAGTACTTTCATTAATGTATTTTTTAATGCTCATGTGAAATAAATAACATTCTTTCATTAAAAAACGCTACGAATTAATTCCAACACCTAATACTTTTTCTGTACTAATTCGTAAAATTTCCGCCAGGAAGGATAAAAGATAAAGTAATTGTTAGTTTTATGAACTATTTAGACGTGATCTTTAGATTAGATATCGATGTATCGTATTTAGTAAATTATTGTATTAGCGGTTGACTCAGTTAAGTTACAAACCTCCGCCATACTGAATCATGACGTTATAAGCGAAAAACGACACGTTAATTTTTATTACTGGCCATTAGTAAATAAAGACAATTTGGCTAAAACGAAATGATAAGATTGCTTTAAACTTTAAAACATTTGTAGAAATGGACGAAAATTATGCTTATTATCAACATATCATTTCTTGCTTCTAACGAGTCACGATTCAATATGGTGACTACTTCAAGAGCCTTAAATATATACATTTTAATATTTTGATACGCATAGTTGATCGTTCTATTAGCCTTTATCCTTTTTTATTTGATAAAATGGATGATAAATGATATTTATAGTCGTGGTTCCGCGGCGTTCGAAGCAGCAAGTTTCGACACGTTTACGGCGTGCCAGCCAAGAGGGAGAAATGTTACGACAACATCAAGATCACAAAAAACGCCCACGATTCGCAATTCTGCGCCGTAAATCCCAAGTTCCTGGCCGTCGTGACGGAGGTTGCGGGCGGTGGAGCGTTTCTTGTGTTATCATTGGATCGCGTGAGTAGTCTGTGCCTTATCGATTTATCGATTCTAGTCCTGCGCAAGAACAAAAGTATTAGCTAACATCGCATTGTGGGAGTCTGAGAAAATAAATTCAGATTTTTTTGTTTCTCACGAAAATTGTTTCACATAATGATATTCTAAATATCTTACAATTAATTACAGATTTTCATATAACATATTTATGTCGCGTTATGTCAGTACGTAGTAATACATCAATCATTTGTCACACTTGTTGCAGACCGGACGACTTGACTTCAACGCCAGCCGAGTAACTGGACATACCGGTCCCGTTTTGGACATCAAATGGAATCCATTCAACGACAATATCATCGCGTCCTGTTCCGATGATTGCACTGTAAGAAAAGTTTTGCATACAGAAAGTATTTCCACTTGCGTCTCCAAAGCTCACGGGAGATTTCTGTAGAAATGTAAACTACATGGAATGAGATTAGAAGATAAAATTTATTTCAACTGCTACATATGTGTGTTTGTATGTGTGTTTAACTCTCCTATGCTAACATTAAAATCTGTAATACATAAGTTACTGATTTAATGGATCTATGAGCTTATATTGACTAAAAGGCGTTTAATTAATTTTAAAGAACCAATGTGCTATAACTTGCGTAAAAAAAGAATTAAATTTTAATTTATTTTAATAACTAATTCAAATTTGCAGATGCAATATAAAGAATATAAAGAATATTGAGTGAATCTAATAGACTATCAGCTCCTACTATCAGCTCCAAAGGATTAGAACTAGAAGTAAACACGAAGATTTTTTTTCTTTATATCTAGATAAAATTGTGGCATGTACCTGATGGCGGATTGTCAAGGAATTTGACCGAATGGCTGGTGGAGTTGCAAGGACACAAACGACGTGTCGCTTATATCGAGTGGCATCCGGTAGCAGAGAATGTGCTTTTTAGCGCCGGCTTTGATCATCTTGTTATCGTGTGGGACGTGAACAGATGCGAAGCAGTTAGCGTCATCGATAGACATCCTGATGTGATTTATAGCATGTCTTTAAATCGTGACGGCAGCTTATTGGCGACCACTTGCAAGGACAAGAAATTACGCGTTTTTGAACCAAGGTCCGGTATCGTAGTTTCGGTAAGAAAGGACGAAATTTATGATCGTAAACATATCTATTTAATAAAAGTATAATATAAAAAGTACAATATAAAAGTTACAATATAATATTAGTAATTTCTAACGGAACTGTTTTCAATTTTCTTAACTCTAATCGCATTTGCCTCTGTTAAATTAATTTGACGTATTGTTTCAATCACTGGATTATTCTGGTTAAACCTTTACATGGAGAATGTGTGCTTGCACAATTTTACATGGAGAATGTGTGACTCTACATGTTCAATTAATTTTATTATCATTACGGACAAATTGCGATCGAATGTAATAGAAGAATGTAACTACGAAGATGACAAGACTGAAAGCATTGCATTATTACGACTGAAAATAGATATGAAGAAATAGATCTACCACTTTGCGTAACTATAATTTGCAGAAATTATATTTAACCTTTTTATGATTTTTATTAAATTTGCGTTAATTTATCGACATGTATACATTGAAGATGACTTGACAAATAGGTCGAAACGTATGTGTTTTTAAGAATTTAAATATACGAAAAATTTGGCTCTTAGCCCTTCTGTTATTCATTTTTGTTTATATCTATTTAAACTGTATAAGCTCATCTTTAACACTCTATCTTTAATAATCATAAATATAAAAGAATATACAATATTTATCTCTGCTAAAAATTATGGTCTATACACTTATGGTATATACACTTTGCTTGTATGAATAAAGGTGCACATTCAGCATACAGTTACGTCATGTTCTATAGATAATAATAAGACTCTAAATTTTTTAGAACATTTGAATTAATTATATAATTTATAATTTTCTATCTTTTATATGTGAATTTTCACAATACATAATTTTAATTGCGCATCAACTTCAATGCGTTGACTCTTACTTGCCTTTAGTATCTTTAATTATTAATATTCTATAGAATTTCAAAAATAAATTTGTGCATTTATCAATAAAAGTGAGGAGTAAAATACTTCATCCTAGCTCTTTCTATTAAATTTTAATAAATCTTACTTTTAATTTTACTTACTTTTAATAGGAAGGAGTATGTCACGCTGGCACGAAAGCTAGCAAGGTAGTATTTCTTGGCAGTTCCGGACGTCTTTTGACTACTGGATTTAGCAGACATTCGGATCGACAATATGCGATATGGAGTCAACATGATTTAACTGTTCCACTGACGTGTGAGACGATAGATTCATCGAGCGGAGTGGTTTTTCCATTTTACGATAATGATACCAACATGGTGTTTTTGGCCGGAAAGGTAAAAACATATGACATATGTAATTCGGACTGTTGTAAAACTCACTGCGTTGTATCATTTTCTACAGGGTGATGGTAATATTCGATATTATGAAGTGGTTAATGAAGCACCTTGGGTGCATTATCTCAGTCAATTTATATCGGGAAATCCTCAGAGAGGATTGGGAATAATGCCGAAAAGAGGCATTAATACCTCTTTATGCGAAGTATTCAGATTTTATAAGTTACACGCGACTCGTGGAATGTGTGAGCCGATCTCGATGATAGTACCACGGAAGGCAAGTTTACTTGCATGGTTAATACTTTATATTCTTTTCATTTTTTTTTAAAAGGTGCATATTGAAGAAAACTATGTTATATGTTATAGAGTGATCAATTTCAAGAAGATCTATATCCTGATACAATTGGAACGTGTCCCGCATTATCAGCTAGAGACTGGACCAGCGGCATGAACAGCCCACCAGTTTTAATCTCTCTTAAAACAGGTCTTATATTTTTATACTATATATAAGTATATATTGCGAGTGTCATGCGATCTGTCCCAAATATTGTTTAGATTTTCTCCAAGCTATTTAGTTTGTTTTTATATATAATATTTTATTTTACTTGTTTTTATATATTTTCCATTAATACGGTATACAGTAATAAAATTCTATCGAGCAGTCACATTAATAGATGTCATGTTATTCTTAGGCGGGAGTATCTCTACGCATAAGCCACGAGTATACAAGCCACCGCAATTACCTGCGACCACTGATCTGAATAATAAAAAGAAATTTGCGTTCTTGTCTACGGAAACGATACCGGATTACAGACCGGTGGAATTACACGATATGTCGGAAAAGAGCCAAAAAACATCCAGCAATCAAAGCACAAAGTTTCAGCAACTTCAGCAGAAGTTTGGAAATGTCACTATACAGGTATGAGCGTAATACATACTTGTATATATATATATACATACATTGCATTTTTTACATAATTTTTGTATATATTTTATATTCGTAAATATTTTTCCTATCAGAAGAATATTATATCGTCTTCGATTAATGACAATAAAGTTATGGAGACTGTGGATGTTCCAAATAATGAAGCAGAACTTCGTTTGGCATTGGCTCGTCAAACTGACGAATTGAGACTGGTACGACGGCAGCTCGCTAATAGCCAACTGCGTGTTAAGGAATTAGAGGACCAAATACGAAAATTGCAGCGTCAACAATAAAGTTTAACTTAAACTCGCTTTGGCATCTGCTTTGAATAAGACTCTTACAGCTTTACTACTACACGTGATTATCAATGTCTTGCGCCATGTCTAACGCCGAGACATTACCATGTCTCCAGATCAATACTTAAGGTTTCTAGAGCATTTAAGCACCGCTAATAATGATAAAGAGCCTAAGCTTATGAAAACTTTGTACTAACACGCTTAGGGGACTTTAGCTTTGTCATATTTATACACAAAGAAATATTCGCACAGAATAATTTTTACTAACTTTTCTTAGAATATCTACAATTTTTATGTAGAATGAAATGTCACGTTAATCACAAGGGAACAGGAGGAACAGTTAGCTGCATTTGTTACATAAAAATTGTACCTGTTTACGCACATACTTAGATGCGTAAGTCGGATATTAAGAAGTTAAGAGAAACACAATAGACAAAATGGCAGCGTAAAGGTAATTCATGGTATTGTCAGTTAAATGACATACTTTACTTTTTTTGAAAACGATATTATATTATACTACTAGTCTGTTAATCAATTGTTTATTTTTTCTATTACTGTTTTTGTATGTTTATTAGTTACTTAATTGACGTATTATTTAATATATTGCTTTATCATTAGAGATATTTCAAAAGACAGTATTTCTTTGCGTATTACGATTATTATTGCTTCTATTTGCATTGTAAATTTATCCTTGCAACGCTTAAAATGATTTTTGTTGACGATCTATTATACACTCTACAAAACTGCTATGTCATATTATATCTATTAGTAGTATGGACTAGCGTGTTAATGTATTAAGCGTGTTAATGCATTTTGCTATCGCGTATATTTTTCATCACTGCCATCCACTGCCGTGATGTCGATGGCAATAAGATCTCCACATCTATGAATGCAGTGATATCTAATGTCACGATTAACTAAAAAAAAAAAAAAAAAAAAATTAGCTTAAAATTCTCTTTTATACAATAAATGCATAATGTAATGTTCATGCAATTAGCAAAATCATTAAACAATGTACCTACAATCGATGATATAGTGAAAACGATATTTATGTATGTATATTTTTAAAGAAACTCGACGTTTAACGCGATTCAATGTTGAATTCACCTGAGCTAACTTAAGGATGTATTATACACATTTTAAAACAATGAAAATATTACGAAATACTTTAGCATTTAATAAAAGTTTGGCGACAGTTTAGGATCTGGATCAAAAATGATTTCAAAAGTAATATTTTTTTTATCTTTGATGTAATGGAAATGTATGGAAATTGTTCTGCAAATAAACAAAATTTGTTCATTTGCAAAACAAATGATCTCTACATCACAATGAAACTGCATAAATAATTTTGTATGTTTAAAATATTTGTGCAAAAAGTTTAGATTTCATTATTTTTTAAACTTTAATATTATAATAAAAACTAAAAAACTTATATGAAAAACATTGTTCAATAAAAATAAAATGTTACAAATACAACTTTTATATGTATATCGTTTATTCAAAATATAAGTTAACGCAATTGTAAAAGTGAGTAATACATCCTTAAAGGGGATAACAAATGTGTTAGAACATTTACTTTTAGCATTAGTTTTGTAGTTTTGAGAATCATACAGAATTATATTTCCGCTTAATAATAATAATCAAATCGTGTAATCATTTATACATATACATCTACGTTTATATACGTATTTTTCATACAATTGTGCAATTGAACTGGATAAATGTAGTACCTGGATGCTATATTTCACATATCGCTTGCGCATAAAATTTCATTATTCGTAAAGTAAGGATTATCTGAAACACTGATGATACACCAATATGTGACGTAGCATTCCCTAGTCTTTCTTTACTAGTTGTTTATTTTATCATTGTAGCTTTAATTACCCATAAATCAGATATTTCATTGAAACCTTCTTTTAGATATACAACTTTTTCAAGAGCATGAAGTGTGTTGCATTACAAACAGTGCATTTTGTAGGCGGTAAAGTACATATTGCGAGGTAGTTTGTAGTTATATTTTCGATATTTACATTGCAAGTAATTTCTATGATATTTGTAAGGAGATCATTCATTTTTGTGACAGACGTATTGTAACGAATTTATAAATTTTATTACAAATTGTAAATTTACTTTTGATGCAGTATCGTGATTTATATATATTTATACATGTCAATTAAATATGTTACATCGAGATCTCCAATCACATAATATCGTATATTAAACAGAAAAGTACCAAAGAGCGTCATTATCTCGTAGATTACAGCCCAATTTATTATCAGCGTATGCCTGTTTAAGAGATTTATGTACGAGAACAAGGAAGATGTCAATATATGGCAAGCAGGGATCTCATAATAAAAATAAAAGGAAAAATTTATAAAATTGAGTATATGAAATATTATTAATATATAAAATATTTTATTCGTTTTGGAATTTACGAACAGTAATCAATTTAATTCTATGTATTACGTCAGTACATAGCAAAGTAAAAAAGTGCAATATATATTATATATATTATATTTCTCTGATATTAATTATGTGTATATCTCTTATAATTATACAATACTCTTTTAAAATTGTTTATCAATTGAATGGACGGACATATTTCGTATATAATTAAATTATGAAATATATAAAAATATTAAATATATAATAAAATATACAATTACACTATTGTTTTTAAAATAATGAAACAGTGATTTCTAATTATATATATAGAAAAAGAGAATTTTTAAATATAATGATGCTTTTTGAAATTTATCTTCGATCTTTTTTGGCAACTTTATTTTCAATAAATATAATTTACGTACGTATATCATAGAATTTCAATATTGGCAGTGTATATCCGAACACAGCATGTGAACGAATTATTGGAGTATAAATCCTATAAGAATATAATTTGAGTTTCAAAAAATATGAATGAATAATAAAATCATGATAAAATATTTCAATTAAAAGTAACAATTCTATTACACAGGATTGAAATATAAAGTTGCGAAAAAGATCTTAAAATTGATTATATTTTCTGATATTGATAAGAAATATCTCATAAGCATCATACTCCGTGATATTTGAGTTGTCATTGGCAGAAGAAATCTAATATCAAGATCAAAATTTAATATTTTACATTAGCATCTAAGTATAAATTGATACTTGCGATTTAAAAAGGAGTAAAAAAAGGCATTAGAAATTCATTGACATAATGAAATAAATTTGTCAAATTCTTAACTAATCGTCAAGCCTCTCACAGAAGCTTCTACCTGTGAAACAGCTTTTTCCAGGCTACTATTAAACTCGTTGGCATGATCCATGTATACATTATATCTGGCATAAAAGATATCGCTGAATTGCATCCATCTTCGGAACATGTGAATACGCAAGTGCGGTAAGTCAGCTTGTCACCCGGTTGTTTCACATAGTCGCAATAATTCCCCATGTGCACGGACGAGCAAAATCGCTTTGTACCAATGCCACCTGTTTGCAGAAGTATATAATTTAATTATATAATATATTTATCCTAAGTGAAACTACTACTTGTTTAATTAGAAGAAGCTTAAAACGTTTCAGAGAAAACTTGATGTATTTTGAAACATATAATATCAAAGAAAGGAAGTTTGTTCAAAATATGTTCATATATTCTTTTTTGTTAATTTGAATTTGAAAGTTAGTTTTGAGAATGAGTAGAGTGAATAAGCAGACACGTGCATATGTATATCTAAATAATCAAAAAAAGATGATGTATATGTCGTGCAGAAAGAAATATATACATATATGTGTGCGTGTATATATATATATGTACTTCAAGCAGATCCTCCAGCTTAAAAAAGTGAAGGGAAATTACGTAACTTTTCGTATCTTTCAACGAGAGTGCAAAGAATGCAAAATACCATTGCCATCTTCTAAAAAATAAACGCTGAATAAAATTTAAGCTGTAAAACTATAATTTATTATTAAAAAATATCTTTTTTTATAATAAAAGTGAATATGTGGAAAATATTTAAAAAAAATTGTTTGTAATAATTATTCAAATTTAATTCTTTCTTCAATCTATCTTCAAAATATTATATTTGGTGTACAATTAAATTACTTAAAACTCTCCTTCTCATAAGAATTTAAGCTATTTTAGAAAGTTATTTAAAGAAAATTGTAAAAAAATTTTTTAAATCTGAAAAAATTCAAGAGTGCTTACATATTATTAATTACAAATTTATTCTTAAGATTTGATCAAATCCTTATAAGTAAGATTGAAGAACCTTCTAAACATATTTTAAGGAAAATAATTAAAATATAATTTTTTTGTTAAATTAATTTCAAAAGAAAATAGAACACATAAGTAAAAAAATTCGTGTCAAAACGATCACTTTTAAGAAAAAGAAGAACAGAAAAGAAGAACAGAAAAAGAACATCGTTTTTCTTATTCGTTCCAATAATAATATACTAAGCACCATATAACAATATATAGATAAGAATCAATGTTAAAAAAAAAATCTCTATGACTTTTGCAAACCTCTTTATATATTTTAACCTTAGAATTTTTTGGAACTATATTAAAATAAAGAATTACCTTTCTTTATTTCAATAAGTGATCGTTTCCATGTCAAAGATTTGGCATTGAAGGAACATTCATGCACACACTCGACAATAAATACAGATTCTTATTATAAAAACCTCCGTAACGGCCGATTGATTTGATGCAATAACGTGCGTCGTACACATGACTACAATTTGCCGGCACCAAGATATTTTTAACCAATTCGCTATCCATGCATTTCCATTCATCCGCCGATGTACATTGATAGCAATCCAAGGTCATCACTTTTAATTTTAAGAAAGCAATGATTAAATTTCTAATTAAAATTATATGGCAATCAATGTTACACAAGTTTTCCAATGCATAAAATAATAATTATGAAATAACTCTTAGATACACAGCCATAGAAATGATCTACTGCAATGACATAAACAGGATTTTGATTAGTAGGTAAGTGAATTTTTTGCAACATGAAAGAGCATTGAAATGCAAATTATATTATAATATATCATTTTTGTAAAATACAATAATAATCAATTAAATAAATTTTCAGATTTGAAAAGTGACTATACTTTAGTCTAATCATGTAGTGTGTATCAAAATATTTTATAGAAAATATGAATTAAATAAATTTGATTTCTGTAATTTTATTTAAAAAAATAAAAAATGACAAAAAAATTATTATTTTAGCAACTTTCCAAAATTATAGGATAATTTGCTGCAATTTTTCAAGTAAGTTATTGTCACATTGAATTCGTTTTAATCTTCATCATCAAAAGTAAATTAACTTTATAAAAAATTATAAAAATAGTTACAATATTAAAAAAAAGATAAATTTTAAAAAATCATTCAAATCGCATTACAACTGAAAAAAAAGACAGTTTTTATAGATTGTAAGACGAAAATGACAAAATGATATTTAATCATATTAAGAATACATTCTTTTGCCATTTATTATTCGATTAGTCAATAACTTTCTATCGAGTTGAACAATATATAGTTTCCTTCTTTTCTAGGAAATTTAATTCGTTGAGTTGTCGTTTTTAAAATAAGAGAGTAATATGTAAAAAATCGCTTATAATGGTTCAATTTGCATTTCAAGATCTCAAACATAATAAATATGTTTCAGCAAGTTGAAAAGATCTGGAAAGAATTCGGTTGAGTTTAATGTAGAGTCGCTGACATGCTCGATTAATGTCTGTGTGTGAAATACAATTGTTAGAAAAGTTAATCAGCTTTCTCTGCATCACCACTATGTTAGTCTGCCAAGCAAAGGCTGTAGAAAATATCTTCGTTGTTGTTTACCCTCGAAGCGGCCTATGTGCTTGACACAATATTGCGCTGCATAAACATCGTCGCATGATCTAGGCTGAAGATCATTGTCACTCGTCAGGAATTCATTACATTGAAATGGATACTTGGTGCTGGTGCTGTTACATTGGTAACATTGTATGCTGTGTCCTGAATAAAAATATTATTAATTTGTATCCGAAGAAACAAAGGACTATGTTAAGCCAAAACGCTGGATGTTTCATGCTGGATGTTTTTAAAATACGTAGTTAAATAAAAATACAAAAGCTATTTACTCAAACGTTTCGATTTTAATATCATTAAGTCATTCAGTGAGAATATAAATTGTGATAGTCATAAGTGATTTCATAAACCTAAAATACATTGATGTATACAAAGAGAATAATAGTCTTCTTTTTAACTCTTCAAATTATTATATGCATATTACAATCTACATAATCGATTCCGTGTACTGTTGTGCAAAATAAATAGAATTGAGGATACACTGGGTGCGAAACCATGTATTCTTTGATATAGTAATTTCAAAATCTGTCTAAAGTCATACTGCATCCTCGTATTCAATACCCATACAGCACAGAAAGATTGCAGAAGTATTGCAGATTGATTTCACTGAAACATTGCAATATTGCATGCTGGTTGCAAACGTTGCTGAATCATTGTTGCAAAATTCCAACAATGTTAAGACGTCCGCTTTTTGTTATATTGCAGCAAAACATTCCAGCAATATTGTAATGTAATGTATTTAGATAAATTTTTTACGAAGACTCTAAAATGAAAACTATTTCTATACATATATCTCACTAACTTTAATTTTTCTACAATTGCATTTCTAGTGATAATGCTTTCCAAAAGCAATTTTTTATGATAAAATTATAAAAATATTCCAATAAATATAGTATTAATTCTGAAGGATAAATTTATTCGTAAGGATAAAGCATGTATGTATGTGTCCCGAACAAACTATATTATTACACACAACTACATTATTACACACAAATATTATCCACATTAATATAATAATACAGTCGCTTGATAAATCATGGAGTTAATCGTGATTCCTTTTAATTCGAAACCATTCCGAGTCAATTGAAATCGATTAAAAAATGATGGTATGATTTATCAATGAAGTTCAGGCGCTGGTTTATTCTTGTATTAATTTCACATCAGGCATAGATACATCATCGATCACATAATTAATATTTCGATAAATCAGTAGCTTAATTGCTTATCATTTTATTTGATAATGATGCATTGATTGTATCCAAACTCGACATACAATTTTTTGATTTTATATTTAAAATAAATATAAAACTTAGCTAATGAAATGGCCTTCAAATAATAGATCAATAAATTTTTTATTTAAATATAAAATGAATTATATTAATTATTATATCATAAAAACGGCTGTTAAACTAAAAGACTGTACTACATAAATATTGTAAAAACTTATATTTTTATATTATTATTATTGTAACAATTAAAGAATTACAGTTTGACAATGTTTGTGGAATATTACAAGCATATTACTGACATTTAGCAGGCATGTTGTTTATTTACATTTCTGTAATACCTCTGCAATGTTACATTGCAATCTGTACGTTACAGTAATATTGCTTCAATCTTCTGTATGACACTCACACAATTAAAACATATCAGGAGACTCGGTAGTGTCTCTCGTCAAGTTTATTTCTATAGTACATTAATAAAACATTCTTTTTATATTATTTATATTATGAAGAGGATAATACCATATTATGAAAGAGACGTTGCAGCGTTCCTTTAGGAAGGAAGTCGCTTATGTAATTAAAAATTGTTTTGTTTAAACAAATTGATGTTATAAAAAAATACATATATTGGGGAAGAATATAGATTTTGCAATTATGAGATACAATCATATCTGTAAGGCAGTGTACTTGATGCTTAGATATGAATATGTCCATATAGTACAGAATTTGCAGCAATATCGCTGTAATAACGCTGCAATATTGTTACAACATGCAATAGTGCTGCAATGTTGCAATTTTTGTGCTGTAAGGGTTAAGCACATATTTTTCAACTCGATTTATGTTATATATTCATTCAGATACGTCGTCGTCGTCTTCGCAAAATCTTGTCTCCTTTTGCTACATTTTCTACATCCTCTTTCTATATTTTTTTCTACACCTCTGCACTTTTTGTACTTATTTTCTACACTTTTCTGCACTTTTTCGATTTTTTTTCTTTTTCTACATTTTTTCCGCACTTTTATTGCACCTTTTCCGCATTACTTTTGCACCTTTCATATACCTTTTCTGCACTTTTTCTATATCTCTACCACATCTCTCGCATCTCTCCCGCATTAATTTCGCATTTTCTGCACCTTGTCCGCATCACCTCTACATCTCTTTTGCATTTCTTCCGCATTTATTCTATACCTTTTCGCATTGTTTCTGCACATCTTCTGCAATTCTTCTGCATATCTTCTAAGTTACCTGTTAAGTATCACTTCAGCACCATTTTCGTACCTTTTCGGCACTTTTTCCGCATTTATTCCGCATTTCTTCGCAACATTTCAGTATGTCTTTCGCATCTCTTCCGCACTTTTTTCGCATCTTGTCTGTTTGTGTACATTATTTATTTACATATCTATTTATACAGGATACCCCATAATTTATCCGACGACGCTCGAGGGCAGGTAGAGCGGAATAAACTGACTCGAAAAGTTCTCTCCATTTTACAATTTTCGCAATAGTTAACAAGATATTTTTTACTAAAAATCGCTGAATATTGGTATACGATAATTTTTTCTCAAAAATTAGCAGCAAAAATTATTTTCTTCTCATAGAACTCTAAGAATTTTTTTCAGAATTTTTTATTAACATGAAAAAATATGATATTAAAAAATTTTGAAAAAATTCTGAAAAAAATTTCAGTACTTTATGAAAAGAAAATAAATAATTTTCGTTTCTTGCTGTTTTTCTGTAAAGTTGATAGTATTTGAGAAAAAATTATTGAAGACCAATATTCGGCAATTTTTAGTAATTAAGATCTTGTTAACTGTTGCGAAAATTGCAAAATGGTAGAGGACTTTTCGACTCAGTTTAGTCCGCTCTACTTGACAAGAGCGTTGTCGAATGAATTACAGGACACCCTACATATCTATGTTATCTGTGTTATCTATCTAATCTACTCTTCTATTCACTTTCCCATACTTTTGGCACTTCTTTCCACATTTTTTCACATTCTTCTACAGGATGGGGCATTTTAATCGCCCCAGAAGAATATTTCAGAAACTAAGAGAAATACAAAAAAAAGTTTTATATAAAAATTGTAAGTTTCCTTAAGGGAAAGAAAGTGGAAATAATGGATTTTGGATAGTGGGCACTGCTAAGGTCAAGGTAAACATAATTTTTTTTAATGGAATTCCCCCATTTTTTATTGCATATTTTTGTTTGCCACAATTGTTGATATCAAATTTTGTATACATATCATTTTTGTATACATATTTTGTATACATATTATTTTGTATACATATTAGATTAACATTTATTATTTATTTAATTTGGCATGATATAAAGAAATGGGATTTAACTTGTCGCCAGTTCTTGATATCCTTTATAGGAATGATATATATCATTAAAGTTAATATTATTTATTTAATTTGGTATCCGAATTACATGGAATTTAATTTGGCGCCAATTATTGATATCAAATCTTTTTTACGAATAATATATATCAGAGTTAAGTAAATAACAAGAGATAGTATCTCTCTCTCTCTCTCATGTGTTTTATTTTTTAATTTGAATAGAATTTAACTTGATTAAGATTGTAGCATCTGAGTTTTAATTTTTCATTTATATTAATTTTTTTCGAAGAGTAATAATTTTTGACAGAGAATTAAAGTTGTCATTATTTGGATTGGAATAAAAAGATCTTCAATAAGAATATCCTTAAAAAAAATTAAAACTACTATTAATTGAGTTGGATACTTAGTATTATGTACAAAGGATCGGTTTCACCAACTCAATTAAGCCGAATTGGTGATTAACTGTCAATCATAAGTTGTCAATTCTACTAAACAGTAAATACAATGAAACTGGCGAAAATGATTCTTTATGAAAAGTACACACACTTAGCGTTTTTTTACCATTTTTTAAAAAGGTATATTTGTATAAATAACAAGAGACAGTACCATTTGTTTTACTTTTTAATTTGATGGAATTTAACTTGATTAATTAAGATTGTAGCATCTAGGTTTTAATTTTTTATTTGATACATTAATTTTTTTCGAAGAGTAATAATTTTTGACAGAGAATTAAAGTTGTCATTACTTGGGTTGGAATAAGAAGACCTTCAATAAAGAATATCCTTGAAGAAAAATTAAAACTACTATTTTAATTGGTTGAATATCTTGTTTACAATAGGAATGTATGCTTTATGTAAGCCCTCAGTGTCAGTTTGAAGATTAAGGCTATTTTTCTATTTTTTAATATAAAGCATCTCAGAAATTAACTGCTTACTGTAACATGATTCTTCGTCAAGAATTTCAATATTGTTCCAATCGAAATCATGTTCACTATCTAATCTATATTCGGTTATAACTGAACGGGAAGATGTGTTCCAGCGTATATGATTTGGATGCTCAGCAATTCGTGTTTTTAGCTGTCGTGCTTCTACTAGTCTGTCCTACATATGATGTGTTTATAGGTCGCAATTATTACAATTAATTTTATAAACTACATTATTTTTGGACAGACGAGGACGAGGGTCTTTATGTTCCTTAATGTATTTCTGTAGTTTATTTGAATTATAAAATGAAACTTTAATATCATTCCTTCATTAATTAAATTTTTCTGTTAAAGACGAAATAAAAGGCACTGTAAATCACGATAAAACGGTTGATGGATCCACGTTATTATTAACTCGATCAACCGACGCTACACTTCTAACTGATGTTTTTTAGTCTTTTATTAATTGTGGGATAAGTTTAAGTGGATAATCAGTAAAATCATTAAAAGTTATTCAGTAAAATGTTTATAAGTGTTAAATTGTTTATGTAGAATTCAGAATCTGACGTAAGATTCTATCCATCAACTAATGATTACACTCTTCTTCTGAGATAATGGATGGTTAGAGAAGAAGAAATTTAAAAATCTCCCTGAGAAACTAGATTTATGATACCAGTCAAAAGTTAAAAGATTATCTTTAATCGTCATTTTAACATCAAGAAAATTTAGTGAGTTATCACCAATCTCCAGAGTGAGTTTTAGACGCGCGGGTAAGATGAATTGAAACAGAAAAGTATCAATCTCAGATGATTGAACTGCAGCGCGTAGGTTATCGACATAGCGAAAATAAAAAAGAACATGATGCTTAAACATACTCAATGCCATCTTTTCTAATCTTTGCATTACCAAATCAGCAATAGGTGACAAAGGAGAACCCATGGGCATGCCAAAATTCTGTTTGTAAATACAATAATATTATCAAATAAAAAATAAGTGGAATCTAAAATTAATCTCCTTTTTAGGTATTTAATTTATATTTTTTCGAAATAAAATTTCAGTTGTTATTGATACAATCTAAGGCTATCTGTTGGAATGTTTATAAAAAGAGAAGCCACATCGAATAAAATTAATTTATAATTCTGTTCAATCGGCCTTCCAATCTTTTGGCGAGCAAGCTTTTTTCGATTCCTCTGTTTAACGTTCAAATGTTCACACAATATGCGATTATGATGTAATTTTTTTCACAATCAATATTATTAGTTCATGGTAACATCTTTATATTAAGTAAATATCTGAAGAGGATCTAATTCAAAGACTGAAACATGTAATATTTCGTTTTTCATAATTTAAATTGTTATTGCCTTTTATATGTCCTATTATTATATTTATTTCTTATTAATCAAAGACACTAATATTATTTCGAATATAATAACTGCTAATACTACTGTAATAACTTCAGAGTCTATTACTACAGTAAACAATTTAAGAGTAAAAGATTTAGTATTAAGTATTAAAAATTTTTCTTTATTTCATAGAAAAATATTTGTCTGTTAAATATGAAATATATCAATACTAAAATAATAAGTTGAATATATTGGATCAGTGCAAAAGTTTGTGCCCAATTTGTAAAAAATGTTAAGCAATTGTTATTGAAAAAATCGCCTTTATTAATCAATGATGTATTCGTTACCCCGTTCTCGACAATCATTTTTCAACATTCAATCAATTTACCACGTTTGAAAAAATCGCATGATTTTGCGTCAAAAATTGTGCGGTAATGTGATTTTTGACAGCCTCCACAGAATCGAAATTCTTGCTGTCGAAATTCTTGCCATAATGTTTTGTAATGACCAAAACAAATAATAATCGGAGGATACGATGTGCGGAGAATATAATGGATGCAATAAGATTTCCCATTTCAACTGTTTCAATTTGTCCAGTCATTTTCGAAGTGTGTAGTTTGGCGTTGTCATGATGGAAAATAACGCCTCTACGATTAACCAAGTTCGGGTTTTTCTTTGATTGCTGCATTCAATTTAGTTAAGTGTTGCCAGTACTTCTTTGACTCAATCGTTTGGCCAACAGGAAGTATCTCAAAATATATAACACCTTGACAATCCCACCAAACGGATAGCAAGACTTTCTTTGGATGCAACTCGTCTTTGACGACTGAATCTATCGGTTCATTTGCTTCCTTCCATTTATGTTTGCATTAGACGTTGGCATACAGGACCCATTTTTCATCGCCAGTTACCAAACGATTCAAAAAAACATCTTTTTTCAGGCATCTGAACAAAGAAACGGCTGCGGTCCAATTTGTTTTTTTTTTTTTTTTTGGACAAATGCGATACCCAAGTTGAGTTTCAGAGTGAGTCCCATTTTCTTTAAACGCCGAAACGCGATCAATGTTCAGGGCCTCAGCAATTTCTTCCATCGAAATGCGTGCATTGTTTACTATTAATGCACAGAATATCGTCATCGATGATGGAAGGATGCCCAGAACGAGGTTCCTCTTCAAGATTAAAATCACGATGAAATTTAGCAAACTTCTTCACTTCTTCACCTTTCGAAGGAACTGATCCAAATCAAAACCTCCTGAATGTTTTTGTAGCAGCGCCAACGGTTATTCCTTTCCAAAACTCAAGCATCACAAGTCAAAATGCAACTTCTCTTTGTCCATCTTCAATGATTTTTTCATGAATGATAAATTAAATTCAACTAAACAAGCACTTCTGATGCTCAAATGACACCTATGACTGTTATCTTTCCAACGATATGCATACATAAACAATAATAGAGTCGCCATGTTACTTCGCCAGTTCCATCTATACGAATCGGACACGAACTTTTGCACTGATCCAATATATAAAATTTCTTTAATTTGCGAAAAATAGTTTATAATTACAATAAAATATTTATTGAATTATTTGCATGAATCGAATTATGAGCAAAATGGGCGCGTAAAGTATACTGCTGCTAGAGATCTTGCTCATTTCCAATTTTTTATCTTTACAATTTTTTACTTTATTGTTATTGATGTAAACATTTCTTTTCAATTTCTATGCCTATCATTACGCTATCTATTACGTTTCTTTCTCTCACGTTTCTTTAATGTGTTGTTACACTTAATACACTTCAAACGTCATCCGTACTTTGTATAGTGTATTATAATTGTGAGAAATTATCCCATACAACATTATCTTAAAGGATGTCCAAAGAACATTTACCATAAGAATATCTTCAAGATGCTGTTCGAAGGACTGCGTTCTAAGGGACATTTTCAATAAAAATACTTGAAATATTATTTCGATTTCACTTCTTTTTATAGAATTATCTTTGATTTTTTTCTGTAAAATATATTTGACTCCTTTTTTACATTTTATTGTCTTTTTCGGTAGATTGTTTCGTTACAAGAAGGAATTAAACTTTATAAAAATAACGATACAAATTGTATTAACCTTCCTCTTATGAAAGCCAGTATGAAAAATCTGTTAACTCTTCTAGAGACCCAGATGGCAGTAAATTATTTCATCCTTATTGTTTACCAATATTAAATAAGAATTGAATGAGTCACTCTGTCATCTGAGTCTTTTACTGAAAAATAAATTTTCTTTGTATCATGATGGAAATATATTACACTTCCACCATGCTTTGTACGAAAAATTTCTTTCATCTAACATGTGTTATATTCCGATTCTTCAAATGTTTCTCGCATTGCGCGTAACGTAAAATTATATATTGCTGTCTTAAAATCGGACGTAAATTAGATATAGATTGTTCGAAGCGATCTGAGCTTGAGAGCTTTTTCTCCCCGAAGGAGAACGCGAGTGTTTTCTACTTTTCCACGACTTTTCGTTCTTCGTAGCCGCGCTTAAAAGAACTTACGAGACCCCACCCAAAGCGCATTGTCGCGTTAACCTCACCTGTCTCTACCAGCAACGAGAGTATCGTCAGTAACATGCACGCCGCGATGTAGCGTCTCGTGACAGCCATTCCGATTCCACGGGTCTGATTGCGGTCTCCGGATCGCCTTCCGTAACCTCGACCGTCGTTTCCCTGTCACGAAATCACAAAAACTCAAAATGACGTAATGACAGGCACCACTTATTTTCCATAATTCAGAATTCTTTTAGGAGGATTACTTGGGGTTGGAGTTTGTCGGAGTTCTCCAGCTCCACCGATGTGAAAATCAGCGCGAACGATCACCTCAACGACTCGAAGATGTCGCGAACAGTCGCAAAGTTATACAAACTGCAAAGTTGCACCCTGAACTTAATTTGATCTAAGCAAGTAAGCATTCGTGAAGCCTCGTCAGCACTCGTGTTTGTGAGGTGGGCGCATTCACCTTCACATACACATGCATATATACGTAGTTGATATACACACACACACACACACACACACACCAACCTTGCTTTTTGCACGCATGCGCATTGCACATAAAGACACCAAGCAGTTAAATCTTGGCGGGATGAAATGGAAAGGTTAGTTTCACTAAAATATAATAATATAGGATATGGTCAACACGATGCTACAAATGCTTTAAAAAAATTTTTAAATTCTTTTTTCTAATTGGTCAACCAAATGCTTCAAAACACTTATTTATAGTGAGACTTTGACTGCAGTCATAATACTGCAAGTAACTAAATAATGTGAATTAGCTTAAATATTAACCAATCAGATTATAGTTTGCATGAATTTTATAGCTTTTAAGGAGATATAACAAAGATTTTTTTTTTCAATTTTTTTTAAGTAACTATAAGTTTTAGAAAAATATAAATTGATATATCAATTGGACACGCTTTGAAGACATTTTAAGAATTTTTATATGTAAAAATTAAATATATGACGATGTTGCACAGCATTTTAAATCTATTTTACAATGTGGTTTTTGTTTCCTGTTTCTTGATTTTTACTATTTTTTACATCTTGTCTTTTTGCTTCTTATCTATATATTCTTGGTTTTTTTATTTTATATCGTCCGAGATAAAAGTTAACTTCGAAAGAAACAAAAAATACAGTTGCAAAGAAGAAAAAAGCTAAAGGTAAAAAACAAGATGTTTTATTTAAAAAATTACATCTAAAAATTAAAATTTTATTCTATTATACCTCCTTAATTTATCATTCTTTATATTATATTATTTTTCTTCATTAAAATAATTTAACTTTTTATAATTGTATTTGAGTCTTGTCATATGTATAAATTTTACTTTAGCTGACTTACACTTAATTTTCATCAAAAATGTCTTCATAATTACTCTTTATTGTTCAGAATCATAATTGTTTATAAAATTGATACTTTCGATTTTCAAAAAGTTCTTATTTATAATTTTTCATAAATTTTGCTTTTTATAATTTCATAATTATAATTTATTTACATTTTCAACACATTAATCTTTCTAATGTCTGACTAAGCATCAAATTATTAAAAATTGCTTGTCAATTTAATTTAATTTGTGATATTATTACAGTAGTTTATATAATTGCGTTTATAAATCCGGAAAACCAATTCAGTGCGCAATTCGAATGACTATAAATATGGTACATATACATGTATATATAATTCAATTGAATTATTTAAACATTAAAGATCCGATTTCAATCGTTATGTACATTTAATTTCTAGTTCGTATTGGTTGTTTATGGTCTAAGATTCTTATTGTTTATAACTTACAATTTTTCTCAATTAATGTTTTTTATAATATGACAAAGTGTCTGAAAATAGCTTTTTTTTTAATTTTAACTGCAAATTTCTTGAAATTATGAAGCAATTTAAAAATTCGGATTCGTATTCAGTGTCCAAAAAACTACGGCAAATGACTTGTCTTGTTCTAGTGTTGGAAAAAAAGATTATTTTTTTATTGAACTATAATTGAATTATAATTTTCCTGAAGTTCCATGAAATTTTTCTTCTTCCTTTTTCATTCAATAGTCCTATCAATAGTCGCGATCAAAGTAAATTATAAATTGCAAAAATAATAAAGTGCAAATTTACCTTGGTATGTATATGTTTTATTTTTCCAACAAATTTTCACATAAATAATGTAACAGTTCCTACTTTGCATATATATGAATGCGGAGTATTACAAGATTACAGAAAAACAAGATTACATTTACATTTTCACATAATATAGAATACTATAATGTACATATGTGAGACGTTTATCTCTCTACTATGACTACCTTGAAATTTTTTGTTATTCAATCCAAACAAAAATATAACTCCATTAAAACAAAAAACTTTTAACTTATGAAAAATAATCACATTTACATCATAATTTTGCCAACGATAGAATATCCTCTTCCAAATAATTTCAATTAAAAACTTATTTTTAAAACGAGCACTAGTTGCAAAGAAACTTAAACAAAAATATAGCTCCATAAAAAAAACTTTTAACTTGTGAAAAATAATCACGTTTACATCATAATTTTACTAATGATATCTTATTCAAAATATCTTATTCAAAATAACATCTTTAGTCAAAAATTTATTTTTGAAACGAGCACTAGTTGCAAAGAAACAAACATATCGATTGATCAAAGTGGAGTTCTTCTATGTATATAAATAATAAATATCGATAGATAGTTGAAAATTGAACAGTATTTTACAATATAATTGAACAGTATGCATCAAATAAATATAAATACATAACATAATATATATTTTTATGACTTAAGTTTTGCTCCTCGAGCGAAGAGACAGTTTATCATTTGATGAAAAATCCGAAACAATGTATGTATACAACGATAAAATACACACAGTATATCACACATCAGGTTGGGTCATCAAATAGTACAAGAGATTTAACATTTTGCATATTGTATGTGGGATATATAAAATACACAACACAATTCTTCAAGAGTATATTCCAAATGGTCCTCTCTGAGGAAGATTTTACATGTATGATTTTACATGATGTATGTTACATGTACTATTTCAAGTAAAATATTCCTCGGAGAGGACATTTTGAAATGTAGCCCAAGAAATGTCCTAAAGATGTCCAGAGGATGATCTTAGCTCTCCTAGGTCTAGATTTACAAGATAAACATTAAAAGCCATCATTTTTTATCTAACCGCATCATATCAAAGAATTAATGAACTTATTTATTTATTACTTATTCATTGATAAACTAAAAAACCAAATTAAAAATAGCAGTTAAAATAACCAATTGGAAAGCTGTCGGCATTCGGCTCAAATCAAAAGATTGCTTTGGTATTTAGAGCTCTAGTTCTAGAACATCCTATGGGAGTTCGCAAGACATCACTTGGAGAACTGTGCCATATCAATCCTTTTACTCATTTTCATCCACTTTTTATCGATTAAAATCACGATTTATTGTATTTTGTGTACAAAATGACAAAAAAGAATTGGCCACATAGTTTTGTCTGTTTAAATCATTATAATAAAAAATGTATATTATATATTAGTTATGCTTTATTAAATACCAAACTCTACACCAAAACATTTTTATCGTTTTTTACTATTTTTATTATTTGATTTACCAATCAAAGATCACTCGCTATTGTCTTTATAAAAGATTTTATCTGTGGAAAATGGATAAATTCTGATAGCAATAATTGCTGATGCATTCTCAAAACGTCTTCAAACTTATATCAAAGCTAAAGATGACTATATATTTTTTGCATATCATTATTTTGGTATTTAATAAGATACGACTAACACTCCAGAATTTATTTTTTTTTGTAAATATGTGTTATGATTTGATAAACACAAAAGATGAAAAGAAAGATGTTCATTTTGATCTCCGGTTTACAAATTCTAACAGAAAATCAACATCTTCTTTTGTGATCAAACTTTTTTGTCACTCTGTATAAATTACAATTTGCAAAATATCTCTCCGAAAAGAGACACAGGAAATCAATGACAATGTTGATTTCCTGAGTCTCTTGAGTCTAGTTTTTTTTTTTTAGAATTTGTTTTTCATATTCTAATGAGCTCATTTAAATTTTGTTTTGTGCTCTCCTACAAAACTTTTCTTAACGGCAGTCTTATTTATTTCTTTCAGGTTGGAAGACTGTTCGGTTTTTACGTGTAGCAATCTTGGCTGTATCGCGCGTTCCTTTAATGCTCTGCCTTTTATCGCAAGTATGCGGTACCTTTGGGGATCGCTTCGCACTGGCCTCCTCTGCGGCGCAAGACGGTTCCCCGATCTCGGGAAGAAGCTTGGATGTTCTTGTAGATGAGACGACTTTCAGTCTCTTTGCGCCCTGTCTCACCACTGCTGTTTCCTCGGAAGGCACGCGCATCTTCGCCGAGCTGTTCGTCATTAGTTTTTTATTCGCGGAGTTTAAACGCGGTTCGAGAGTGTCCTTGATTGTTGACGCGATGTTAGATTTGCTCGACCGAAAGCGATCAATCGCCTTCAGGAACGGCTTTGTCTCTACTTCGGATTTGATTGCGCAAATTATCGCGCTGTTCTCTACATTGTTGGCGCAGTGATTCTTCAACGCACGACGCGTGAAAGTCTGCCGAGGTTTCTTACTACTCTTGATCCTCTTCACTGCCGTGTAAAAAGAGGAACCGCGGCGAAGGATGCACTTCTTCACCAAGTTGCCCTCGCTCCTTATAGCATTCCTCGCTCCCGTCATCGCGTCATTCAGTCTCGTTTCCAATTCCTTCAGGATGCTGCTGTTCCGCCCAATGGTACCTTCGTTATCCTGTAAATAAAAAGACATATAATTGTATGTTGTAGACTTGGAAGATGCGCCTCCGCACATCACAAAAATAAATACTCATGGTAATAACAAAAATAAATGCATGTGTATGTGTGTGTGTGTGTGTGTGTGTGTGTGTGTGCGTGCATGTATGTGTGAGAGAGAGATTAATTTTATTTGACTATTGCTGTGATTGCAATTGTTTACGCGATTATTATATACGATTAATGCAAAAATAATGACTTACCCCCTTACGATTAAGCACATCGAATAAATGCGGCACGTACCATACACTTTTAAAAAGACGAAGCATGTCTAACATGTTTAAAAATTTTAAAGAAAATTATAAAGTAAGCAAAAGTAGCAGATTGCCCAACACAACTAAAGCCATTTTGCCGATAAGAGTTATCAGAAGGGATTATCATATTTCTATTAAAAAAAAAAAAAAAATCATATTTCAATATTTTAGCAAACGAAAATATTTATTGACGCATGCTGCAGTGCTGTGAACTATATTTTTTACGTGTACAGGATTCATCATCTACATGTTTACGCGATCAAAATTTGCAGATGGTAAATCTCGATTCTGCAGAATCGATTCTTTTTTACGATTCCAGTTCTACTACACGCACACTTCATTGCCCAATTTCGTTTGCTTGCAGGTACAATGCGTGATTCATGCAAATTATCTCGCATTCGTTGGGAATTAATTGTCAGGTCAGGAATATTAAATAAAAGTAAGATAAATAAATGGTCGCTAAAAAAATGTAACATTTATTAATACAGCTGATGGATATGCAAGCTTGTGTGCGATACATTATGAAGTTTCTACACATACTTATATGCGTAATACAATGAGCTGAATTTTGGAGCAAAGTTTGTTGCCGAGATCAAGATTCATTATATCTTACTTCATGGATTACACACGTATTATACTCTTCATATATCATAATCTCCATCGATAAATATATATATATATATATATATATATATTTATATTATCTCTCTATAGATATATTGATACTGGAATTATATTTGCTGGGAAATAACAGTCATATACTCCAAATAATTTAAGAAATAAACTTGTAAACTTTTACGCGCACACACACACGCATATATATGTATAGAACTAAACTGAATAACATTTTTAAGTTTGAATTAACAAACTGCCATAATCTCACTTCAACAATTCCATTGTCCAGAGATATAACGGTTTAACCACTTATATCTCCACGCCGTGCCCTTCGCTAAAGAAGATATAATTATGTACTGTCATTTATATAATATTAATTTCATTCATAATAATTCACCATTTTTCAAAAAGATGTTGCATAAATTAGATTACGTGATCGTAAGTGCACTTGCATACATTGGTGAAAAATATAGGTAAACATTGATTTACGAACATTATCAAATACAACAATAAAAACTTTAATGTGTATAATTAATCAACACTTCATTAGCCACAATATAAAATAAAGCGTTAATATTTTTAAAATATTTGCACTATGTCTTATTTATATATTGGTCAATTTGAAGCAGAATTATGAGGCTTATAACTTATTCTTGTAAGACTTGAAAAAACTTATGACTGAAATGTGTATAATTTTACAGATTACTTCTTGCTAGACGTAAGATTTATGAGAAATCATAGATACTTACGATTGATCGCCTTAAGCTCATTCTACAATTGCATAAGCGTTTTATAAGTTGTAAGTGATTGTAATTGTAAGAATCAATCACAGTCGAATGTTCTCCTCATATTATCTAATCAATTCTTACAACTATAATTACACACTTGAGGAGTAACTTTCAAATTACGTTTTGTCCAAAATTTTATTGTTTTAGTTAGAGATGTGGCGAAGTGTTGAATGATTATAAGCTACTCTGAGATAGAAAGTATTTTTTCAACGTTAATTTATATACTGAAAAAACATAGACATTTTGAAGTGCATTATGTTTTTTAATTAGAAACAAAACAAAATGCATTTATTTACATTTTTAGCAATTGTTAAATAATTTTGTTTAATATTTCATATCCTACTGATTGGCATATTGTTCTTTTTTGAAATGTATAGTTTTCTTGTGTGCGTAGTTTCTTTTTTTCTCGTTTTTTGAAGATTACAAATTTTGGACAAAACGCATTTTGAAAGTCGGCTCCTTAACTGTAGAATAGTTATGGTGTGCACAATATCCAACTTCAGTCAAAAATTCATACAAATCTTACAAAGAACAAGTAATAAGTCTTACGATTCTGCTTAAAATTTATCTATTAGTCATCTTTGTTTTTTTTTAATTTATTATTTAATTTTGAAATATTGTTATTTAAACACAATTAGTGTGCATGGCATATACTATAGTATAAATTAAAAAAAAATGTCATTTATACTAATGAACTGTAAAGATAATTCATGTGTATAAGTCAAATTATATAATATACATATATATGTTTATATAAAAAATATCTAAAAATATATATAAATATTAAATTTTAAATTGTCTCGTTCTGTGAAAATAATATATAATTAAGAATATCTTGAGATATAAATTTATCAAAAGTATATAAAGTATATAAAGTTATTGTCTTGTTTATAAATACATCAAGTTACATATGGAAGACCTATTAAAAATTATGTTAAAAAGATAATATTTTTTATATATCATTTCTTATGTAACAACATAGATATTGTAATATCATTATTGTCATAAAATACTTCAATTACATATTTGATCAAAAAATCGAATCGTTTCCATATAAATACCAAAATTTTAATATAATTGAAGATGTTTATACAAATTTGATTTGTAAATACACAAAATCTCTCTCCCATCTTCCTAGTTATGCACAAATGAATTTATGTTGGATTAGGCACTAATGGATTGCAGTGTTAATGCTAAACAGCATATAAAATTAGTCGTTGGTCAGAAATAAATGATTATGACAATACACACAGTCTTATGTCAGTATTACAAATGTCACTCCCACTATTTACATCGAAATTTACCTTACGCATTGCTTTGCTGGGCGATGCAGAAAGATTGCTCACGTATGTTAGTTTCAAATGAGATTTTATTCCTTTTAAAGAGCGATATTGGCTATTTGGCAATCGGCTGTTGGGATTGTTCCCAGTAAGATCGAGAATGGAAGGACCTAATGCTGCTCCAACCTATTATATATTGTATCAGTATATCAGTATATTATAGTATATTATTAATGAGTATGTGTACACGCACACACGCACACGCGCGCGCGCATATATAAAGATATATTACATAAAAGATTGAATAGAAAATGAAAGCAAAATATATTTACCGCTTCAAACACTGTCGGCGTATATTTCGGAGGAACAAATACATGATTCATTTTATTCACCCCATCGCGAATTCTGCCAGGTATTGTATTCACCAAACGACCAGAGTTATAATTACATTCTAAAGTATAGCTATGTATTAGACCAGTCATCTTATACACTGCTACACGCCCCGAACCTTCTCTGGACATACCATCTCGTTTGTCTCTATAAGAGTACATGTTCTCAACATTCTAGTTTCCAACAATGTAAAATTGAATATATAATTTCTGATGGCAGTAAACATACTTACATGATATACATGTTTCGTTCCGCGAAATTGCACGACGTGAAATGAAAGTGTGGATTATTAAGAGACATCAACTTGGGTAGTAGCATGCATGCGATAGTATCTTCTGGATCAGTAAAATGATTTCCATACATGAAAACGCCTTTCTTTGAAGCATGACCATGAAGATCAATATACAAATATAATCCAGAATTATCTGAAGATTTTGATATTTCGTCCATATCGACGGTTGTACATGTTAGTTTGCCACTTGTTTTAATTTCTGTAGTGTTATCACTTTTACTACTTTTTTCTTTAGATAAACTCTCACTTTCATCTATAACACAGGAAAAATTAAATGTGGAAACGCATAGCTGCATATAAAAAATGACTGACTTATTAGTGGCTCGCAGGTTGATTCCAATCGTCACCATGTATATTATATTCATCGTATACGAAGAGAAAATCTCATATATATGTTATATATATAATTATAAATATAAATGAAATATTTAAATACATAAAAATATTACTATTATTAAATAAAAAATATTACTATCATTAAATATTTGCATTGTGTGATCACAGTACTTATCTGCAGTTATCATTAATCAACAAATACTAAAGAAAATAGCGTATTCTTTTTATAAAGAGAAATTACGAGATATATTATTGAGACTTGATATAAAGTGAATATCAATACCAATAACTGTGGTGTCCAAATGTTCTAACATTGATAAATGTTTCTCGTTAGTATCCAAAGCACATCTGTTTTTTTCATCTAATGACATAAATGTTACCTGTTAAAAAAATAATAACGTTATATACAAGATGTTCCGAAATTCGAGAGTACATTGTAATATAAAATTTTGAAAAATTAAGTAGTAAAAAGTCATAACATAAAAAATCTTTAATTATAAGTGTTTAAAGTTTGACTAATTATAAACGTTAGTTAAAAAATCATTTGTCTGTATGATAACGTATATACAATGGCAATGTTTTGTTTAGTATTTAATACCATTGCACGCACATCATACGGACGAGTGACTTTTTAATTAACGTTTATGGTTAATCAAATCTTAAATGTTTTTACTTACAAAACTATTTTATGGAAATAGCTTACACTATTATTTATTACTTAATTTTTCATGAAATTTCATGTTGCAATAATGTTACCCTCGAATTTCGGGATACCCTGTATATGTAAAACAATAATATCACAGTTTGATGTAACGCAAAATATAATATTAACAATTATTCTTTAAAATTCTTTGATCTAATTTACAAATATAAACAAACGATCAGAAGAAATTCTGTAGGTTTTTGTCATACTTGTTGCAACAGTCTTGTAGTTGTGTCACGTACAGCGTTTGCTATTGGTGCAGTTGAATTTATAATGCTTACATTACTGTTCACAATTTCTAAATTTATGTTCGATAGATCAGTTAGTTCGCTCGGTAGTTGATAAGAATTGTGATAATATCTATAAGAAAAGTATGTAAAATTTCACTGTGTAATATACATTAAAATTGACTGCATAATATATAGACTGCATATTATGAAAAACATTGAAGTTGAATTAGAAATATAGGTGCCTTACTTTATTAAGTTTCTTGCAGCATATATTGTGGGATGCTCTATTTCAGAAGGGCTTAGATAAACTCTATTCAGATTTACTCCTTTAGTGTCCATTCGATAATGACCTTTAGCAACACCATCTGGATTGAGCATCGGTATCAATTTGAACACATATAGGCGACGTAAATTTATAGCAATATGATCTTCCCGATTCAGTAAAAAATTGAGGAAACCGTTCAGTACAAAGCTAGATGGTGTTTCACCTGGATGGACTCTGGCGCTAATAAAAATTACCTAAATAGACATAATTTTATACATATATATGTATATAAATCTATGTATATATATATATATATATATTTATTTATTCTTAAAGATCGCAATTTAATCCGACAATAAATCGACAGTTTATAAAACTGTAAGAATGTATTTAAGAATTTATATGAAAGTATTATTATTGGGAAACATTAAAATATATTATAACATATTATAATTAAAATATCTATTGTATTTTGTGTGTGTGTGTGTGTGTGTGTGTGTGTGTGTGTGTGTAAGATGCATCATTTTAAAGCGACGCACACTATAAAATATCTCTTGAACAGTGCATTTTAGAGAAAAATGTTTCAACAAAAGTTATATGGTTTAGAAGTGGACATAAAGAAGTTAATAATGACTTTTACGTGACCTTCAAACAACTTTCCAAGGTCAAACCAATAACCATCTTATGTTCTTCTCCAAACCATATAACTGTTGTCTGAAACATTTTTCTCTAAAATGTACTGTTCAAGAAATATTTTAGTGCGTCAATTAAAATGATACACCCTGTATATATAAATTTTGTTTTTAAAGATAAAAATCTTTATCGTTATAATAAAATACCTTCTTGTCTCGAAATTTGTAAGGCCTCTCCTCACTTTTCTCCGGAAACATATTACTCAGTCTATCTTCTCTCTCCGTTGATATGTTATGATAAGAACTTATTGTTAATATATCTAATCTACGATCCTCCAAAGATTTTATTGCACATTCTCTATGATAATAGATGTCATCTGTATATATTACACTTCTTTTTTCCATTCTCATATCAATTTTTCTCAAATAACTTTGTAAGTCTGTATATGAAAATGGATAAGTAAAAGCAAAATAAGTAATGGCTTTTGAATTTTCTGGAGTATAATAGAGGAACGATAAAGTAAAGTCGTTTCCTTTTTGATCAACCTGCAATGTTAAATAATACGCTATATGTTTACCACACAATTATTATACATGTTTATGATCTTGCTATATTCTTAGATACATATTCTTTTATATATATATAATATGCGTGTGTTGTATGTGTGTAAAATTGTGCTACAATTACAGTATATGTAGGTCTCTCGCGAATCCGTTCCCAGTGCAAGTGTCCTGGTACAATCTTAAAGACTGGACACATCCCTTGGCTGAACATCTTGACTTGCTTGTTCAAATTGACTATATTAAATCTGACTGAGACGCTCAAATGATTAGACTTGACACCGAAATAAAACCACGTCCTATTATTATTTTGGAATTGTGTACCGTGACAATCGTGTTTTGTCCATAAGTTGAATTCATAATCCAACGTGTCTTTGGAATTTAAATTGTTGGTTGTTTTGCCTTCAATCTCGTAGACATCTAAAAATAATAAAACCTGATATTATATCGTTAACATAAGAAGTACATTAGCAATCGGGTAACTCATTGCAATATGTTTAGATTCTCGAAAGAAATAACATCAGTTTTTTTTTTTAATCAATGAGTATAAGAAAAACAATTCTCCTATCCAGTAACATTTATGTTAATATAGGCATGAAAATGTACAAGATAGCCGAGAAGGAATAAACAAAATAAGACAAATATATATTTTACTACTTATTTTATTAATAAGAAATTAACATCACTTGTAGTGTACATTCTATCTTTATTGGAATAGTCACACAATGCTTGAATAGTAATTAATGAAATGTTATATTATTCTTTTTAGAGATGTATGTAACCAGATATCCGGCTAGTATCAGGTTTCTGTATATACAAACACACACACACACACACACACAAAAGATGTTCCAGAATAACCGCTAAATATTTTATGCACAGAGTGGACTAAACTGAGTCAAAAAATTCTCTAAGTCCTCTAAAAGTCATGTTGTAATTTTCGTAATAGTTAACAAGATATTAATTACTAAAAATCGCCGAATATTGGTTTTCAATTATTTTTAATCAATAAATACTTGATATATCTCATTAACCATTGCAAAAATTACAAAATGCTAAAGGACTTTTCGACTCAGTTTAGTCTGGTTTACTTATACATGAAATATTTGGCGGATAGTTTATTCTGCACCTTGTATATATGTGGCTGAAATTTTATATTGAAATGACATGATGTGAATACCCTGAAAACTTCTATTATCATTGACATATTTTTTTAAAATATAATACCGGATATCTGGCAAATATCCAGTACCTAGCCAGATATCAGTGATAATAAAAGTTTTCTGAATATTCAGACTGTGATGTAAGTCATTTCAATATAAAATTTCAATTGCATATATTGCAGGAAACCAGATACTAGATGAATATCCAGTTGTCTCCTTTTTTAATAGAGTACCTTTCAATTGCACATGCGTTATATAAATGATATTAGAGAAAATTTTCTTCCCATTTTATTTTTCAAAATTGCCATCTATTCTCATATAAAACATCAAGCAACATCTTTCCTCCTTATCCTCATTCTGCAATATTTAATAATCAGTATCATTATACTATATGCAGATATATATGAAAAAGCTGCGTAATGATAATGCAATAATCGAATTGATATTAAAAGTTTCAGAACCAGAATATTGATTAGTTTCCAAATTTTCAAGTTACATAAATTTCCTCCTGAAATATTTTTTAAACAATCAAAAGATGTTCTGTTAGAAGAATAGGATAATATTGCACTGTAGCTTGCAGTTACTACATTATTCAAGCATGAGCCTATTCCAAAAATAGAATCTGTATTAAAGACAAACATGGGCCAACTTCTTATTAATAAAATAAACAAGTAACATATTTTTTAAATGTTGATACATATTATTTTGCCTATTCCTCGTAGATCCATAAAAAGCATTCCTATATCAGGAGATAACTGTGTTACCTTTTTCGAAGTTTTCCGGAATCTTCACTGGTTCCACTTTGGCTAAATTTGCTGAGTCAAAGTTGTTGAGAAACACAAAGCCACCGCAAGTAATGTTTTCGGCCTTGCTCGCCATGATGCATCAGAGAGTTACGTCTACTGCCGAAAGACGAGATACAGATGACAACAAATTGCTGGTTCATGTGATATTGTTGTACATCCGCTTGTGGAAACGCAAAGCGCAATATAATTGCTGCTCGACTTTTTTCAGATATGATCGCGCTCGTTTGGCAACAGCATCTTCCTCATTCTTGCTGAGTGAATCGGTGAGATCTGATCGGATAGTTTCCTTAAACAATCATATGATCTCTATTTACGCCGTCGGCCATACACATACGGATCTACGGGTGTCATGCGCAAGAGGCTACAATTTTCAAGCTGTGATATGTATAAGTAATCGCGACTCATCCTCAGGCTCAGGCAATGTCGAAAATATAATTTTCTCTATTTTAATAAATTTTCGATCATCCTGTCACGAACGAATGAATAAACTTTTTAATGCAGCTACAGTTCACCGTACTAGCAGATGAACATTTTATTCGGAATTTTTACACAATAATTGAAATACTTTGCATGCGCACGCGCACGCGCACGCGCACACACACACACACACACACACACACATACGCAATTTAAATAATTTGCATCTTTTCTTAGAATTTTTCATAAATGAATTCTGAAATAAGATTTCTAATCTGTAATTTCTGTAATTTCTGATGAAATAATCTTGTAAAGTTTGATAAAATATGAGGTACTTTTTTAAGAAGTTTCTAAATAAAATCTTATAAAAATGAAAAAAAAAACCTTAAATGATTTTAAAATATTTTTATTTTTTAAATACATCTATGTGTATAATTTTCTAAACAAAAATGAAAAAAATACCTTAAATTTTTTTAAATTTTTAAATTTTATTAGAAATTTTAGAAATATCTTATTAATTTCAGAAGTTATATATATATAAAAAGAATTCTAGAAAAAAATGTTGGACTTTTCTAAAGTAATCCAATTTGCAAAAAAAAAACTGAGAAATTTTCTAAAACATAAAATTATTTAAAAGTTCTGAGAAATTACATGAAAAATTCAAAGAATAATTTTTACCGCAATGACATGTTATCCACGAAGTAAAGTCGGTTCTACATTAATTGTAAGCCGATCGCAAGTTTGTTGCGACAACCAATCTGAAACTTGCATTTTGAAATCAACACTTTATATTGGCTGTTGCAACAAGCTTGCAATCGGCTTACAATTAATGTAGAACCGACTTTACTTCGTGGATGACATGTGATTGCAGTAAAAATTTTTCTTTGAATTTTTCATCGGCTTGCAACTAGGGGTCGATTCTGGATATCGATTCTATATCTTGAAATGAGGTGAAAATTATAAAAGTGAGCGAATTTACTAGAATACTGATTATTTCATTGGCCAACACTAGTAAATTTGCTTGCTTTTGTAATTTTTATCTTCAAACAAAGGGGTCGATTCTGTATCTTCAAACAAGGTGAAAATTACAAAAATGAGTAATTTACTAGATGTTGACCAATGAAATTATCAGTATTCTAGTAAATTTGCTCACTTTTGTAATTTTCACCTTGTTTATCAAATAACTTTTTGAAAAGTTGTTAACATATTTTGCATGCTCGTATTTAGCTTTTTATTGTGTCGAGCAGTGTGTCATAGTTGGAACACTTTGTGTAAGACATAATGTTACACTCATCTATGTATGTTGTTAGAAAACACTCATAATCTAGTATTCTAGTAAATTCGTTCACTTTTAATTTTCACCTTATTTCAAGATATAGAATCGATCTCAAGGTGAAAATTACATAAGTGAGTAAATTTACTAAGCGTTAACCAATGAAATTATCAGTATTTTAGTAAATTCTAGACAATATTGAAGCGATTGCTAATTGGTTCCGCTATTAACAGTCAATTGACTGTTGTTAACTAGCGACAGCCAATGGCAGAATAATCCTGGAAAAAAGCGCGAATCTCATTGGCTGTTACTAGTTAACGATAGCGACAATTGTCGATAAAATATTGGGTCATCTAAAAAGTATCCGCGGTTTTTGTGTTGACCATCAACACCATCTAGTGACAAAAAACCGCGGATACTTTTTAGATGACCCAATATTTAGAGAATCCCGCAACAGCAATATAGATTAGTATACACATTATACAGTTATAAAATTTTATAGATAATTGCAAGACATATTGACACGCTGTCAGACATATTTTTGCTCGCTTGTACAATTCTATTCTACTCTATCTTTTATTTAGGATTATTTAAATAGTTTGAATTTAACTTTCTTGTCGCGTATAACAGCAAGTAATTATTTGAATTGCGCGGCAAACACGACGATACATTTCTGGTTTTGACTATTAATGGCAGACGGGCATGCGCGCGAATGCAGTGTCCAGACTCTGTTATAGAGATTCTACGCCATATAAACTATTCATTTCCGGCTTTAAAAGTGCCATTTTATGCGACGCTAAAATGCTTGATGCTCGTTTCGTTCGTGTTCACTTTATGTAATTTTATCTATGGTTGACGGTAAAAAGTTCGTTTCCATCCAACTTTCCAGCATTGGCGGGCCAATTCTTGTAATATAAAATTTATTTTGTGCATTTTTAATTAGAAATCATCATTTGTATGCCCTCTTATTTGACACGTTTAAACAAAATTGACATTCAAACATTATGTTAGTTGACGCTCTTAGTTATATTTATTTCCAATGCTTGTTTTTGTTCCCTTGTCATATTTTAACGTTCAATTTGAAATGACACCTATTTTGTACACCTAAGGACTTCGATTCTTTCCTTCGGTTACTTTTTTAAAACTCCCAGAAATTCAGGTTATTTCGTCTTTATGTCAAATTTAGTTGTAAATGGACGTAAAGTTTAGTCATGCACAAACATGCACGTTAATTGCGCACAAACTATGAGCATATTAATGAAAAGTGGTCATTTTTCAGTTTGTGAAAATTTCCGAGGGAAAGAATTGAAGTTCTTGGGTGTACCACCGACAGGAATGGTGTCTCCTAGCGTACATATACAATATCATATTCAGAATGATAGAAATTTAATATACAGTGTAAATAATGATATGATTTTGAATCGTTTCTGAGCTTCATTTTTTCCCATTGAGGTGAGTCATTTGATTTTATTATTTGAAATTTTTCTTCATAATGTTAAATTTGATGCAGTGTAATGAATGCTGTATTTCTGCACAAGGGATAAATTATGGGATGAAAACTCAGTTGAATCTCCCTTGTCAGAATGCAAAAGGAATGCGCATTCAACTGAATTATGACGTCACAAGTGAGAATTATCTGAGAATCGGTGTAAATGGAAAGCAACTATTATTGACGGAGTGTAATTTAAAAATGGATGCGCTTTGAAAGGATGCATGTTGGCTAGAATGTATAAATAATTTATTTATACAGATACAATAATTCATCTTAAATAAGGATACCGTTAACGATAATAAGTAACGTAAATCAAAGACTCGTCCGAAAATAATGTAATGGTAGAATGTGTTATACAACATGTATTATAATAGTATAAATTATTATAATGATGGCGAGTTCAGTATTCCTCTTCTTCCTCGGTGTTAACAGCATCTTCTTGCACCTCGCGATAATCGAGCTCCAAGGCGGCTAGATCTTCCCGGGCTTCCGAGAATTCACCTTCCTCCATGCCTTCCCCAACGAACCTGCAAAATTTAGTACATCGTGTTTTAATAATGCTTATTACTTTAATCTTGATTCAATTTAGTCTTTATCTTTTATCAATTTTAATTTAGTTTTAAATTATAAACAATGAAGATATATCGTTTCTTTACACCTTATGCATGTGTTATTAAGTTTAATGCTATTTAATTTGCTTAAGTATACATGAGCCTTAATTTATTGTTTCACAAGAAATTTTTATCAATTCATCCCTAATCTAATCTTTTTTTCTGTATGTTAGGCAACAAATGATGCTATCCTTCTTACCAATGTACGAAAGCTCGCTTGGCATACATGAGATCAAATTTGTGATCAAGTCGGGCCCATGCATCCACGATCGCTGTCGTGTTGCAGAGACAGCAAACAGCTCTTTCTACCCGCGCGAGATCTCCACCTGGTACAACGGTGGGTGGTTGATAATTTATTCCCACCTGTTAACATGGGAATACAGTGATACTTTACTGTAATCGACTTAAAAAATATGGAAAGATCAAATAAGAGGAGTTTATAAACATTCATTTTACATAACAACAAATTGCGAATCCTTAAAATACTTAACTTTCTAAATTTCTTGGAGTGAAATCTTATTCCAAAAGAGTGAAAATATTTGTATTTTTGAATAAGAATGGCACATTTTCATTCTTTTTTTAAAGTGAGATTTCTTTGGAGTGAATCTCACAAAAAAAAATCGGCGCGCAGTTCAAATAATTATAAGGATGTATCGTAAAATTATCGGATATCAGATATCCGAAAAGAACATCGGATATCCGGGAAGGTAATTTTTCGAGTTAGATATCCGATCGGATTCTGGGACAATGTCAACTTACGATTCGTAACAGAAAAAAGCTGAATAAAAAAAGAAAAAAGGGACTGTAAGGGAAAAATAATGATAACAATTATAATTTTAATGTTATCGTCCGAGTTTGATTATCAATAGAGATGATAACTGTAGAGAAAAATTGTAATTTACAAATTGTAATTTTGCAACAATATATAAGATATTATAACATTATAAATATGCATACTCTTATTTATAAAACGTTTGTATAATAAAAAATCAACAATTTAATGATATAAAATTTTAATCGGATACTATGATGATATCTGGATATCCGGTCGGATAATAAAAAAATGCCGAATAATACCAGATACCGGATACTTTTCGGATATCCAATGCATCCTTACAAATGAAATATAGTATAAATATAGTATATATGTATACACACATAGTATAATTATGCAAATTCACATGAAATTATTAAGCATTAAAGATCCAACTTCGACCGCGCATTATATATAGCCGTTATTTCCTATTTCTTATTGATTGTGCTGTCATATGTATGATAAGATTCTTTTGGATTTTTCTCATTTTTTGAATTCTTCTCCTTTCTAAAAAGAAGCTTTTGTAGTACCTTGAATCCCGTCGGGCACCATTCGACGAATTGCACATGCTTCTGGCGTTTTATCATCGCGATCGCCGCGTTCACATCTTTTGGTACCACATCGCCTCTGTAGAGCAAACATACTGCCATGTATTTTCCCATGCGCGGATCGCAATTCACCATTTGATGATTCGGTTCAAAGCAGGAGCTTGTTATTTCCGAGACGGTCACTCTCTCATGCCCAGCCTTCTCTGCTGACAGAACCGGAGCATACGTAGCCTGCATGATAATAAAACATAATACTTAATTAGCACATAATTATCGATTAAATAATCGTATGATTTTTTTTTCGATTTTTATGTTATAAACATTAAATTCATAAACTTTAACAAACGATGCTTACAAGTGGAAAGTGAATACGTGGATAAGGCACTAAATTCGTTTGGAATTCAGTGAGGTCGACATTCAGGGCACCATCGAATCGTAAACTGGCGGTGATGGATGAGACTATTTGTCCAATCAGTCGATTCAGATTCGTATAAGTCGGTCGATCAATATTTAAGTTCCTCCTGCATAACTCATAAATGGCCTATGGATATAATACACGCGATTGTAGTGACAGACTTCGCCATTACCACTCCGTGTAGAGCAGCGTATATAGTTACAACATTGTCCTGATAAACTTTATTTTAGACATATAAAATGTTGGGTAGAAAGCACGCAAGCTTTCTGCTAATAGAATCCATTTCTAAGAGAAATTGCCGTTTCGCAATCGATTTATCAATAATTGAGTTGTAAAAGCGTTCACGAAATTCAGACAATGTAATAAATTTTACAAATATAAGATTTATTATGTCGATTTTACATTCGACGTTATGCAAAAGTACACACCTGATTATCTACAATGAAAGCCACTTCGCTATGCTCTAACGTCGGATGAGTGTACAGAATTGCGTTGTAAGGTTCCACTACTGCAGTCGATACCTATGAAAAATGTAAATGCTTTCGTAATAAAGAAAACAATTAGATAGTCAAACAAATCGATAGTTTCGTAGCTTGTTGAGAAAGTAGACTATTCACTAAATAGTATCAAGGAAGCAAACAGAAATGTATATGTACATGTATACAGATTATATTATTATATCATTAAATTAAATTAAATTAAAATTAAATTATATCATTTGAATTTTTTTCAAAGAAATCAGAGTTCTTGAGCAAAAATCAAAATATTCCGAGTAGGGAGTATAATATTACCTGTGGGGCTGGATAGATACTAAAAGTCAGTTTACTTTTCTTCGGGTAATCTGCGGACAGTTGTTCCATAAGCAGACTCGAGAATCCGGAACCTGTGCCACCGCCGAAAGAATGGAAGATTAAGAAGCCTTGTAAGCCTTTGCACTGCTCTGTCAGTCTGCGTATTCTGTCCAAAGTAAGATCTATGATCTCTTTTCCTGAAAAATCGCAAGATCGATTAATAATACATGACTATCATTCCATTAAAAGACACATTTAATGATCTTTTCTTACAAAACTTACGAAGCTTACAGAATGAATTTATATAGAATATTTTTGACCAATCGCTTATACTTTATAATTAAGCTTCAACTTTCCTTTTTACAGATTTACAATTGTGACGGTAAATTGAAGTACCTATTGTATAATGGCCCCTGGCATAATTATTAGCTGCATCTTCCTTCCCGGTAATCATTTGTTCCGGATGGAATAATTGTCTGTAAGTACCCGTGCGCACTTCATCTAAAGTATTAAAAATATAATTCGTTATTATCTTCTTAACTCTATTAACCATTAATGTGTAATACACATATTTAAGAAAAATTTACAGTGATTAAATGATCAAAACGTCTCAGCAACGTAAAGTTAAAAATTTGTACCTTACAACTCAACAAGCAATATTTTTTTTAATAAATGAATTTTTCAATTATGATGCTCGGAAATCAATTATTCTTTCTAGGACACTTACCTACCACCGTTGGCTCGAGATCGACCAAAACCGCTCGCGGGACATGCTTCCCTGAACCAGTTTCGGAAAAGAACGCGTTAAAGGAATCATCTCCGGAGCCCACAGTAACATCGCTCGGCATTTGTCCGTCTGGATGGATACCATGCTCCAGACAATAAAGCTCCCAACAGGCGTTTCCCATTTGCACGCCCGCTTGTCCTATGTGAATGGATATGCATTCCCGCTGCGAATAAACGGGTAAATACTTGTGCAATATATCCCCATATATTTCATAAATCTATATACGCAATAAAATAACATAATTCGATCAAAATCCAAAAGAAATTATTTATAAAAATAATTCTCTCACTCTTTTTTCCTCTCATTCACTCATATTTTCGATTCTTTGTTACTTGATTGAAATAAATTCTTTCGCCTTTTCTCAAATAATGATATATAAATAAAAAAACGTTTTTACGTTTTTTTGATATATAAATAAATAATAGAAATAGTAAAAAAACTTATATCGATAATAGAAGAGTCTAGTTTAGTTTATTTTGCTATTCGTTATTTGCCACTGGAAAGAGCTTGATTGCATTAATTGGAATTTTGGTTGAAAATAAATAAATCAGAATTTTTTGATTGGATCTATTATTATAGTTCTACGATAAGATATTAAGATCTAGAATTCTGAATGATACATCAGATTATTTAAAGATTATGCTTGTGCCTTCAAGAAGCGATCATGATTGTATAATGTAATTATAATTACCACTGCAAAGAGATATTGTTTGTTATCGTAAATTTTTTTATTAAAGTTGAAATTGATGGAACAGTTCCTACTCTATGGGAGAAGAAAGAGAGGAGGGTATATTAAAGACAAAACCATTCCACTACAAGTCGCATAAATGGTCATATTCGCTACACCACACCTCATTTAAGTATTATTACCACCTTAGATATCGTTAAAAAATTCACGACAGCCTTTACTGTGTTCATAATTTCATAATACAACGCGAGTAAATCGTTATGGATGTATTATATATTTTCAAGATAATAAGAAAATTACAGAAAATTATTCTACTTTTAAATTGCATTTAAAAGTAATACAAAAAAAATTAGCAGCAGTTTAGAACTTGCATCAAAAGTTATTTCAATAAGAAATTAAAACTTTTTAGTTTTACTTTAATGAAAATAAAATAAATGTAATAAATTAACAGATAATAATTATAATATAAATATAATTCAGAAATGGTTCATATCAAAAGACAGAAACAGAGCTTAAATAGGCAAAATGACACGGAATCATTACCGGAATCTTATCTTCATATTATATTCACAATCTCTTTCCTCTACCTAGCTCTTTCCTTCTTTTTTTTCCTCACTCCTAATTTTTACCCTTTCCATACCAATGCAATATTTCTCTCTTTTAGTTTGACTCTCATATGACTCTTATTTGACAACAGTATTTTAGTAACGATCATCTCTATCGCATTTGCTTACACGTCAATCTTTATTTTATTTTATATGTTGACTCATCGTACTTTATTACGACTACATTTTATTATATATTTATTATATATTATTGCTTATTGCTTATTAAGGTATCAATTTTTATTATGTACACATTTCTCTTTTTACACTTTATATTTTAAATTATATAAACTTAATTTATTTTTCATTTTACTCAATACATTTCTGTATATTAACAGATTCTTCCATTTTTTTCGATTGACTACTTATAAAATTTTCGCTATGAACTATTTATTAGCGGTACCATATTTTATCATCCAATTTTGTGCTTCGCTTCTATTGACGTTACTATCATATCGTGTCATTCAATTTATACTGCGATTCTTCAGAAATTCTGACTAACAATGAATTATTACGTGTGAGGCTTTTACATCGAACCTTCCTTACACTTTCCTTATGGATTATTTATGGATCTTAATTGAAGTCTGTATAATTATGTATTTTTTTATGTATTTATTCTCGATCTTGGCTTCTCATCATTGTTATATTGTAACTATAATTAATAAACATTAATAATGACCTAAAGGAGATTGAAACGTCTATTTATATTCTCAATTGTTCTTGTATTACCTGTTAGTTTATTATATTAAATTTGAATTGTTTTGGCTCGTAACCCTTCATATTACATTTATTTTATTTAATATATTTTGAGCCATATAACATTATGTATTTTAATGGAAATGTATGAAAATGTTTTATAAAATAAAAACAAAAATCTCAATTTTTAATGTAAATATTGTTTAAAGTATAAAGTTAACATAAATTTAATGTAAAATTTCATTGTGATTCAGAGATTAATTATTCTATAAATAAATAAAATTGATTTATAGAACAACCATGTTGTGCTAAGATGATAAAACTTAAAGATTAATTTTTGTATAAGTACGAAAATGCTTATGAAAAGATTTTTTGAAGTCGCTGAAATATTGGGTCATCTAAAAAGTGTCCGCGGTTTTTTTTTCACTAGATGTGTGTTGATGGTCATATATCTAGTGACAAAGTACCGCGGATACTTTTTAGATGACCCAATATAACATAAAAAGCACATTACAAAAAAATCAATTTTGCAACAAATCGTTATAAATAAATTAAACAATTACAATTGAAATAGAACCTAAAAGAGAATAATTTCAATTAAGTATGAAGAATTTTTATTTTTGACCGAGAAGCAGATCTTAAATACTTCATTTATTTAATGGATTTATATATATTTCTGATTGCACATTCTACGTACCGAATTGCTTTTCTGTATAGAATCAGGATAATATCAAATCTTAAATTGTACAAGCAATTTAATAATTTTTTGTACTAATAAGCATCTGGTAAGGATATTCATTATTTTAAACTTGATTATTTAATTACTTTTCGAGTGTATTTTAGCCCTCTATAGATTATAATGAAACTTTGTATAAACCATTTTGAATATGTATCTACTTAAAGTAAATATTGTCTTATCAGAAAGTTCATGCCGTTTTTTTTAATACAAAATTATATTTACAATATCTTCATCAAAAAATAAGCGAAATTTAAATAAAAAACAGTTTTGAAGCTTGCAATCTCTGAAAGGTTACTATGTTTTTTGAGTTTCTTTGAATTTGGTAATTTTTACATACAAAAACCTACTGAAAAAGATGGAAAATTTTCTTCAAATTTCCCCAAAAAAATTTGCGAAAATTTTCGGATTCCAAAGCTTTTTTTTCCTACAAAATCGTTTTTTAAAAATATTTTTTCTAAGATTTTTTGTTATTAAGTTATCGCGAATTAAATAAAAAGAGCCTTTTGACTTTAATTGCTCATAACTTCGTTAAAAATCATCGTATCGCAATTTAAAAAACAAATTTTTAAAGCTAAAACTTTGCTTTATTGAATGGTATAATAATATATAATAATAATAACAAATATATATTCCATATATAATTTTGAATTAAAAAAAAACAGCATGAACTTTTTGACCAATCCAATATTTATACGAAAAAATTGAGATTTTGTCATTATTTTTTACATTTTAACATTATAAGAAAATAATAACAAATAAAGTAAATAAATTATAAAATATATTGTTCAATAAAAATAGAATGTTGTAAATATACCTTTTATATGTAATTTAAAAAAGTATAAATATAATAATAAGAATGGAATAAAACATCAATTGAATAAAGCAATAATAAAAAATAAAAAGAGCTAAGAGCCAACATTAGTTCTTGATAGCTAATATTTAATATCTTTCAAATTTTTAATCAATTTTTATTTCGTTCTTAAACTAGAACCTTTTCAATGTTAATACACAAAAACAATTCCTCTTACATAATAAATCAAATATTAAAAATGTTGAATATTACAAATTAATAATACAAATTAATAATAATATTAAAAATTAAAAATCTTCTAAGTATGTGGTGAATCTAATTTCCATGCTTCGTTGTCATTTCTTCATTAATCAATATATCATTAGATATTTCATTTCATTAGATATCAGTTATAATCAGTTAATCAATATATCATTAGATATTTCATTTCATTAGATATCAGTTATAATCTTATACTAAATATATAAACACATTTATAAAAATGAGTACAATACATCCTTAAAATATTGTTAAATATCAGAACTTGTGTTTTGTTATATTAATTACCTTCTTTGCCATTCTTAAAAAAGGTTTCGTTTCTGCGTTAACTGTTATAAATGAATACAGGATAATCGACAATGCACTTTCACAAAAAAATGTTTACAACAATCAATCATAAAGATGTTTAATTAATTCACATTAACCGATTTTATTAATCGTCTGTTTTCTTGCATTAAATATTCACTCAACGTAATTGAATCTCTTATGATCAGTTTTGCAACAATTTTTACTGTATTGATAATATTAAGTTCACTTAAAAAATTTCTACAGATTACATAGAGATTACATAGATTAGCTATTCTAAGGAAAATAAATAATTCAAAGAGTATTATAGAAAATTTGAACTTTGATTGAAGTAGATTCCATTTGTATCTATTCGTTATTTATTTCTATCCATTCATTTCTATCCTATCATTTTTACGTTGATAAAAAAAAAATTAAAATAATGAACCTTTTTTTTATATATAACTATAAATATATAAATAATTGTATCATTCCCACGTGATATAATTCACATATTTATACTGTCCCACAGTAAAATATCCTACCGCAAATGATACCAAGTTTCTGATTTAAAAAACACACGATTAGGTAAAGTCTGTCGAGCGAGCTTAACAAGCTTTAACGAGACTGAGCAAAAGAATACGAGCTATGCTTAACAAGGGATGATTACCGGTAGCCCAGACATCGTCAACTAAAGCAGTGTCTTTATCTGTCAACAAGGTCTGGTAGAAAAATACCACCTTGACCTAATGTGTCCCCCATGGATAATTCAGCCGTACCCTAAAAGTGAGCATCTATATTGGCGTGCCTATAGCCGGCCTACTTTCTGACTTACGGACGCACATGGGTGATGTGTCGTCTCTCGTGCAATACGATATTATACATTCTATATCTGCATGATATGTAAAAATCGATTTTTTACAGGTTGACACACTGTAACCATAGCAGCTTAATCGAATATCAAACTGCATACTCGCATATGACGCGATTGCATCGATTCAATCAAAAAGATTTCACTGTGATCTTACAATTAATAAACGTAAGAGATCACAAATTTGTCATTCAATATACAACTGAGTAACGCAGGCTTTATCGGTCTCAGATGAATCTTAGTGCTTAAATAATTATATAATTTGTAAAACGGGATATGTATATATAAATTCATGTAGACAATATTTTTTAAACCCTATATAAGATTCAAATCGATAAGGCCTTCGTTATACCATTATATATTCACATTTGCGATTTTAAAACATTTTATGCGATTTTAAAACGTTTATTTGTCGTTCAACTCTCATAAAACATTTGAGCCGAATGGAATCCATCCCTAAATCTTAAAAATATTATTCTCGCTTCAGAAAAAAATATTCGATACAAGTTATATAAATGCAAATTATATAAATATTATATAAATTGTTATATAAATATTTGGACATCCTAAATAATATGGTTATAACAATAATATAAGTTTTTCTAAAACTCATATTATTATTGTATCGAATATTTTTCTCTGAAGCGAGAATAATATTTTTTAGATTTAGGGATGAATTCCATTCGGCTCAAACGTTTCGCACTCTCAATTTTACTAATGCATATTTACTATGTTGATTGACATGCATTCAAAGTGTGGATCGATACTTCATAATTCACATTTCTCATGTAGTTGAAATATACAAGAAAATAAAAAATCTATATAATATCAATAAGATTGATATCTAAATTTCTTTTGATATTTCAAAAATATATTAATCATTTTTGAAAAATTTATGCATAACAATATTTAGCTTTGTTTAATTAACAGTAAGAAATCGTAACAGATTTAAACTAAAAGATTCTGTTAAAAAAAGCATTGCTTTCAATATTAAGAAAGTTATTACGTTTATTACCATAGAAATTTCTTTAATATTTTACGAAACATTATTTTCGGACAGAGGTCTTTTTCAATCGATCATTCCTCCTTGAGTTTCTTTCTCACTCATTTAATCTACTCGACTTTTAATTGACCTCATAAGCTCTAAGTGAACATTTAAAAGCATAACGTAATATTTTCCTGCTGTATACTTGGTGCATCTTATATGTATAGCATGCATATTACACGCAGGAACAGCGTTGCATAAAGACCTATAATTCTCATTATTAGGATGTTTACAAATATATATGCTTGTATAACAAATAGAAGAATTACATTAATACTAATATATATGAAGATAAAAATGACGCTAAATAAGTGACAGTATAAATAAGTGACAGTGTAATAATGCAATTTAAAAAAATTATGATTTTAAATATTGAATACGTTAGAAAAATGTTGAAAATATTTCGTTAAAACGACAAATAATGTCAGGCCTGCTACTTATACGATTTTTTATATAAATGCATGCAAAAAGCTCTATTCTAATTATTAATACAGAAACTAAGTAGAATAATAAGATAATAAGATAATATTTTATATAATTGTATCTTAATATTATCAAATATTACCAAATTTTCTTTATAAATTGAAGAGTAAAAATGATTTTGGAAGTAATTTCTTTTATAAAATCAGTCTGCTTCAATTATGAAATTAAACATTGTTTTTATTAAAATACAAAATACATACATATATACATTTTTCAAGGAAAAATATAATAGTTGAAAATATTCGATATTAATGAAAAAGATGTAATAGAGAAGCAAAGCTCACCATTTTTCCGATATCTGTTTATTCGTTTGCACTCGATAGCAAGCAGCGTGTCGGACCACGATTCGTTCACTGTCTGACTTTGCAGATAGTACGATCACTGCGCTTCGTCATTTAATAGCAGCGCTACATACAGTATCTGTCTATGAACCGGAGTTCATAAGCGACGCGAATCAACTTAAACTGCTATAGTATTCATGACAATTGCATATGCGGGTGCACATCTACAGACAAGGTACACTATCGGTCATTGTTTTCTCGGGAATGGTTCAAGGTACAAGAATGTTCTCTTTACACACAAACTCTGGTAAAGAGAAAGGTCAAAGATATCTTATACATACAAGAATAATTACCTTCATCATTATTTATAATTATAATAAAAATCTATATTTCTTAAAAAATATTCGCCACGAATAATCTTTTTACGCACTGATTAGTATTATCATGGTAAATATATAGAAAACGAGGCCTGCAATAACCTTGACATATGTTGTCAAGGTCGTGACCTTAAATAACCTCCAACAAGTTTTAACTGTCGCTCGTCTTATTCATTAAAAAGTTATTAACAAAAAAAATTTGAAAAAATAATGTCTCATTTCTGCTATACATATATATAGTGTGTTCCACTTAACGCCCAACATTCGCGAAATTATTTTATCTTTGTTGTTTATTAAATATTAAACAAGAATGAACGATGCTCGCGAGCGTTAGGTGAAACGTAGCCATACACTGCTCAAAAAAAAAATATGGTATAGAAATATTTTGGTCAATTTTCACCCCACCTCCCCCTTGTTTCATGGGATGCACGATTTTGGCAAGGAGGAAGGTGGGGTGGACCTCGCTTTGCACGGAAAGTCGTAATTTCTATTTCATATAATAGAAAAGAGACGTCATTTTTCAAATTTTTTTTGTTAATACAATAATCTCTCCATTAGGGTTTCTAAGTATTCGGATATTCGAAATCGATTCCGATCCGAGAACTGAAAACCGTATTATTCGCATAATCCGGATATTCGAATTATTCGGAATGCGGATCCGGAATCTGGAAAGAAAGAAAACATCGATGTATTTAATGAATTTTAACATAAGTTTCTTTTTAAATAAAAATTGAATTTTGATTTACATATATAATTTGAAGAAAAATAAAATTAAAAAATGTAAATATAGATTCACACAGAATTATACAAGCACTTAAAATTCAACTAATTGAATTTTAAGGCATTTGTTTCTATAGGTTGTGTTTCTCACATATATATCTTATTTAATATTATTATATTCGAGATTTAATATTATTTATAAATATAAATTTATAAATAATATTAAATCTCGAATATAATAATATTAAATAACCCAAAGTCAAATTGATAAGATCAGTACATAGATCTTTTTGAACCTTACAACTTTTGTCTGAACAATTTTTCTCAATAATGCCGTGTTTTCGAGATAAAAATTTGTAACGCTTTATTTTGAACAATCGGTATAGTTAAAAGTTATATAATAAATCTTAAAAGTCTATTTTTTACAAGCTATTTTTTCTTGAGTCCTTTTGGACTCGACAAAGTTATTAATTTTACTCTTCTAGGAGTTTTGTGACATATGATAGGAACATCAGACTTTGGCGGAGTATTTCTGGTTTTGATTTTGGTCATATCACTACTACTTTCTTCATTATACACCAATTTGATATCTTCTGTTTCTTCTTCATTCAATTTCTTGTCTATCTGTAAATTATTTTCTAGTATAATAATTTCGTTCATTTTCTGTTCATTAAGTTCTTCAGATCGATTCGTTATTGCATTAAGCGTGTTGCTTTCTATAAGTTCAACGTCCATCGCACAATCATCCACATCGAATGTTGGAACATTGTTTTTGTCTTTGATTGTACTGTATAAAGGTTTTTTACTAGAATTTTTGGATACTTCCTTTGTTATTGTACTCTCTTGTAAAGAATTGTCTTTCATCTTATAAATTTCCCCTAGTTCACCTTCTTCAAAGTGTATTATGGAACAGTAGCCATCACTCGAAGACGTGATTAAAATTTTGCCATCGCTAGACCTATAAAAAAAGACGCTAAGACTCGGAAATAATTTGAATAATAAATATACCATATTGGCAATGACGTACCACGAAAGATCATTTAATCTACCATAATGAATGAGCGACACCACACCGATCGGAGAAGTCTGCTGCGTATCATAGAGTAATATAGAACTCTGCGTTGCAACAGCAAATACCATTCTATAAGGCAACGGTACCAAAGCATCTGGACTATCCTGTCGCAATTCAAAATAGACAGGGCAACATCGTACTGCTATAGTACATTCATTTAATGTAGGTAAGATCATTATTGGTCTAAAAAAAAATCGATTTTATTATTATGATTGTTTTTTAAGCCAAGTTAGGGACTTGGAACTTTATTAGAGATTTAATACTGACTCTCTTATATCTTTTCTAGAGAAAACAATTACTGCATTTGATATAGTCTCTGTGGTCTCCTGCAACTCGATTATTCCAGATGGAACGAAAATTAGGGATCCATCAATCGAGAAGGTCAGCCTGCGGAAGAAAGATTTGAAAGTGTCGTCGTAAAATAGACGCACGAGTTTCCCCTGCAATGAGCTACCGGATGGTGTTGGAATTTTAGACTTGTAAACGCGCTGAACAACTTTTTTCGTGGCAATGCTTATTAAACGACAGTATCTGAAAATAATGAATTTGATTCACAATTAAAATTTAGCAGACGCTTTATCGTTTGCGTAACTTATAATTGAATAGTCAATACGCGAGAGCAGCTATACCAAAAAGTAAAAAACGAAATATTGCAAAATTTTCCTTAGCTTTATATATATATATATATAATTACGAATTGAATATAAATCCTACAAAATTAGAGGAGAAAGTGTCTCATTTTGAAAGAAGCCAAATCCTTAAATTCCTATTGTTGCAAATATAGTTACATCCATCAGTTATGTTTAATAAAAATGGCAGAGATTCGTTACAAAATCAATTAAAAGTTCTTTCTACTGCAAATCAGCTAGCTGCAAAATCAGTCATTTTAATAAATAGAAAATGTATTCCTTATTACACGTTTTGTTAACTAAAACTAATAGGTTTTTCTTAATTTTTTAATCTTATTGATAACTTGAATGAGAAAAATTATACAAACTTTTTTGTTCTCGCCGAAAAATTTCAAGTGGAAGTAATGATTTTTGTCAATATGCTGTTCAATTATGAATTACCTGTCTGTGCTGATAGTGCATACATATTGATTGCAAGGATCCCAAGATACTCCTTGAACAAAACCTTTGTGGTCCTGTAATATCGCAATTTTACGACCTTTCTGGATATCCCATAGTATAGCGGTATTATCAACAGATCCAGAGATTAAAAAATTGGAGTCTGGCGACCAACTAATATCATAAATGTCTTCGATGTGACCTTTCAGTACTTTCCAAGAAGTCCACTGTTCTTTATTTTCAGTATCGCCTAAAGGTGGAGAGAAGTCTCGTCCCTCCTTGACTTTCCACAAAATAATAATCGATTCTGTGTATTAAAATTAATTGTAGTCTAGGCAACTCTATTCCTTAACAAGATGGGAATAATAAGTAGTTAGTAAAATAATATCAAGTGGCCGAACCATCATCTCCTGATGCTAGAATTTCCCTCGATGAAGAAAATCTCACAACATTTACTGCTCTCTGATGACGATCCAAGTCTGCTACAAAACTCACAGTAGCTCCCCCACATTTGGTTGTTGTTAAATGCCAAATCTGTATACAAACAATCATTTAAATTGCGAAATCCTTGAATGTGTAATCGTAATTAGATCAAAACATTAAATGAATCCTTACTTCTCAAATATCTGACGACATTATTAAAATCATGTACAAATTTTATAGCATTATGTTCCATTAATATTATAAATATTATATATGCTATTTTTAGATTATTATTGTTATTAAAAATAATACACAATTATTTATTATATAAATATTATTTATATTTATAAATATAACTTGATTTTTTAATAAAAATTACACATTTTTGTGGTTTTCCTTATATATTTTCTTTGTTACCACACACATATAAAGAAAAATAAAAAAACTACTATTATTCTTTAACTTTATTCAAAGTAAATATCTAGTATAATTATATAACAATAAATGAAAAATCGGTTAATATATAAATAACACAAATAAGCGAAGAAGTGAATGTCTATGCGGTCAAAACAAATCTTGGTGCTTAATAATATTTTTGTACGAGTTTTTACAATTTACAATTTAATTATGTTACCAAAACATGGCAGTCCGCTCCTCCAGTCGCAACTCTCCAAAACGTATCTCCTTTCAGATCTTCGTACAAACCACTCTGTATATCGACACTCAGGACTGGATCGCGATTATGCCATGAGATTTCAGGAGTAATACACTTCATTTTGTCGATCAAGATCAACAGATATGCACGATATCGTAAAGCTGTAGATGGATACAAAACAGAGAGCGAGTCAGGAGTATACGAATTCTACTTGCTTCTAACCTTCAAGCTGTCACGTCATTCGCGCCAAGAATTTTGTCGATGATCAAGTTGTCATAGGTTGGGTTAGGTATCAGTTGTCATAGTAACCACTTGCGCGACAATCTGGACAATCTGGACAATCTGGCCGACTAGCGTTCCACATTTCACAAGCTTATGTATAAGGTCTGTTTTCTGAACCAGTGTACACTTTTAGAACTTAAAGTGAGATAGATATATGTTTGATATTTATCGAAAGTGAGAAAGAGAGTTCTACAATAAATAATCTAGTGCAGTAGGAACAGAAAACAGACTATTTTAGTTTATGTTTCATGAGGTTTCTTGTATGTACAAATAGGAACAAATAGTAAATGAGTTCCTTAAACACGAGGCAATACACGGTTATCGTAATCCTGCAATATGTTATATTGCTCTTTGACGTTTGCATAAATTCGTTCGCGAGCTTTGCCAGGCAGCATCCAACCGACCTGCTGGTACTTTATGTGTGCGTATAATAATTTTTTATAATTTTTGTCGTGCCTTTATTGTGACAATTCATTCATTGTTGTGGAATTGCGTTTAATCGATGCAACAATTTCAGGATTCAAGACTTTTGTCTCATCGTTGCTCTCACGTTGCTCTTAGTAAACTTCTTTTCTACTTACATCTTCCAGGTGAATCTCCTAATTCAAATTTATAGCCAGATGTTACCTTTTTTTTACATTTATGTATTTTCATGAATAGAATTTATTCCAAGAAGAGAAGTCTCGTCGCTCAAATTTTGTTCTTTTTTTTTTAAGTTTTTTTATGTCAGTAAGAAACTGATAACTTGATTATTCTCTACATATTCTCTGCTTTAAGTAATTAAAAGGCCAGATCCATTCTTGGAATGCCTAAATTGGCATAAGAATGCGAAACACATAGTCTTTATACAAACTGTTTTTTTATATAATTTAAATTATAGAGAATAATATATAAATAATAAATAGTTGTGTGACACACACACACACACACACACACACACACACACAAAATTTGTCTTTCTTTTTATATTAAACATAAAAAAAACCTTGAAATTAAGAGAAAAACAAGAATTGAGTGACAATTCTCTTTCTCGAAATATATGAAATTGCAGGAAAATCAGAGTAAGGAATGTTATACTGTAAATTTACAGCGTATTAATCTGTTAAAAATATATTTTACAAGTGAAGAACAGATTTTAAAAATACGCTTTGTCTGAAATTTACAATTTTCAGAAAACGATAAAGAAAACTAACACACTTTACAGAAAATAACAATATGCCAAATATGTAGGATGTTAAAAGTTAAAAAAACTAAAAATGCTAAAGGTAAAGGTTTCTGTAAAGAAATTTTGTTTGCTTTTAGTTAAAGGACATAATGCACTTGAATGTCTAGGCTCCTTTCAGTATAGAAATTGAGAATAAAAAAATGCTCTCTGAACATTTCAGATTAGCTTAAAATATAAATATTTTATCACTAAACACTACGTCATTTCTCTAACTCAGAAAATAAAATTTTGGACGAGATGGATTTTAAAAGTGCTCCTCAAATTGTCAAAGGAACTGAAAAATCGGATCCCAATGAAACGAGTTATATCAAGTCTACAATAGAAGTCATAGACGGTCGTGAGATTCGAGAAGCCGTAAAAAATTAATCAATTACAATCAATTATTCTTCTCATATTAAATTGCGATTAGTCAATTTTTCTAAATAAAATCCTACTACCATCTGCGACTTCTATTGTTGACCCCGCATTAGTTTTTACATATAATATAGCTTATAATGTAATAAATAAAAGATTCAATAATGGATATTTTTTTAGCTGTAGTATATCAAATATACTCTGTAAACACAAGTTTTACATTTTTGATACACCAAGCTCAAAAAACCTATTGAGCTTTGTGTCTATGATATCTATATCCATTGCATTATAAGGCTAATGTCATATGTGAAAATTAACTCATTTCACTCAATTTTCCATACAATTAGATAATGTGGAATTCCTTAGCAAAATGCCAGCAAAATTAGTATTGTAAAATATGATGGCAGACCAATCATGAAACCCAAGCAAAATTTGTCATTTTATAATCATTTAAATGATATTAGTAATCTACTATGCCGACAAACTTTGTTGGAATGCAAGCTTAATTTGCAACTGACATCTGCTACAATATTCTATTAAAGCTGGAATTACTAAATTATGTTTATTGATTGACAAGTTTTTATATCTCCATGTATCATGTATATTTGACAAAGATATGTAAACCAGGTTTCATTTTCAGGCAGGTTTGATACAGCTACTGTACACAAGATTCCGTATGACATTAATATTATGCATTATCTATATGATATTATCAATCAGTTTGCATACATGGCACATCAGTATACATTGGTCAATGCCGTTAAAACATTATTGGACAAAAGAATTTCACACTCTTTATTCTGCACATAGAACAGGTACAACATTAGAAAACTTAGAATATTATCTTAGAACGTTGATAAATAAATGATAATTCAGGATTTTTATAAAGTTGCAGTGCTGTATTATTACTTTTACAAAAGAGCCTCTCTGAGAATTGGTGATCCAAGATTCTACAAAAGTTCTGCTTGGGTACAAAAGCAATTGAGTATTCCGTGATTACACGTAAATAAAATTTTGATGAGACATAAAGGGTAATTGTAGCTCTGATAAAATATAGATGTAAGAATATATCTGTGTATTTCAAATTTACTATTTTAAGCTTTTTATACAATGTCTTTGTATTTATACAAATTTATATGATTATATTACATAAATGAAACGAAGTTGGTATATCCATAGATTAATTTCTAAATTCATATATTATACAAACATTGTACAATTTATATACATTGTATAAAAAAACTTTTATTACAAACTTTTTATATACATATTTTTATATTTGTACGTTCTATGTCTTTCGAGATCGAGGAAGAAATGATTTATGCATTAATGAAAAATGATTGTACCAATGCACACATTAATACATTAATGAAAAATAATTCATTACTCTACTTCTTATAGATTATCTTTTGTGTCACTTTGATTAGTCTCGAACAATTTATATATGTGATCATCACTCATATGAGGATGTTTCATAACTCTTAATTAATATTTCTGGGAGTGAAAGTGCATGAAATATTAAACTAAAGTTTCTTTCCCAAATTTTGGCTTAAACTATGTATAATCAATAAATGGGTAAGTTATTTATTTATCTATGTATTTATTTATTAATTAATATGAAAAATTACAATAAAATTTTAATCGGGGGAATGTACAGTAAGAACGAGGAACCCTATAGCATGCTGCGCTCCTGCGTATTCCAACTGGGCACAATCCGATTGATCAACTTTAATTGTTAATAATTCGATAAATAATGGTTTCAGTCAAAATTGGGAAAAAAATTTTTAGTTCAAAAATTTATCCTTTTTTATTCTCAGAAATATTAATTAAAAGTTATAGAACCCTGTATATAAGTTCACTGTGTGTATTGTACAAAGTTCCAATCATAATATCTGGCTGATGAATTTAATTGTATATCAGAATTTGTTAATAAATTTAAAATAATTAAAATTTAAGACAAATAATTGAGTAAATTTATTACATTTATCTGTGATCTAATATTGTCTTTATCTTTATATTAATATAAAATCAAAATTGAACTCTCAATAGCGTGAGATACATATACATAGAATATATATATTACAAATTTTCATAGTTTATTTTTCAGTGTAATGAGAAATAATTCCGATTATACATTCAACACTTTTTGATAATAAATGTTTATAGCAAATATAGCAATGCTGTTTGTTTATACATTTTAAACCAATAATAATATAAACAATGAAATGCAATTATATGTTATTGGATATTTTATCAAATTTATATTAAAAAGAAAAATATATAACGAATTTTCACACAATCCAGGGCAGTATTATATTAAAACATAAAATACATGAATGGTTAAAATATGAATAAGACTTTTTTGCAAAAAAAAAAAACAAATTAATATTGGTAGACATATTTACATTGAGTGATAGGTCTATAGGAATAGAACTGTCTATTTATGTCCTAACAATTGTAGACAATTGTTCGTGTACTCATTATAAAGTTTTGTTCATTTTTTAATCACCCTAAGGCTTGTTCTATAAAGTTGTAAGAAATTAACCAATCATAGTCGATTATTCTTCTCATATTAACTGTGATTGGCCAATTTCTCTCTCTCGGCTTGCGACTTGCGACCCTAATGTAGAACAGGCATTATAAAACATAATTTATTAATAGTTATTAATCGTAATAACTGCATTTTCTATACATGATTTTTTGTAACAAACAAACTTAGAATTGACCACAAACATTTGATCTTAATAGTTATCTTTCAATTTCATGTGAATCTGATGTATTGAAATATATAAAAGAGCGCTCCTACTTCTCGATCGAAAATCTAAAAACTTTTTATTGTGCAAAATATGAATATTTCAAATATATTCTTTTTAAGAAAATCTAGAAGTTTACGTAAAAATAATTTAGTAGTTCTACTAGAGAGATTTTTTTTCATATCGGCTTCTAATTATAAATTAAAAATTAAATTATGCAAAAACTCTCTTAACTCTCGCCTTATAAAACTATTACATTAGGTACGTTCCGAGTTATGCATGAAGTGCATAATGTATTATTTTATCTTTCTTTATTATTCGATGAACAATAGAGACAAATATTGCATGATACGTTACTCGAAACGCATTTTACGGCTTTTAAGTACTCACTCCAGCTATATTGAATCATGTCATAAGCCAGAAATGTGTTATAAGCGGCACGTTGATTTTTCTTGCATGTCATTTAATTAAATAAAGAGAATTTGGATGAAATGAAATGATGAGATCGCTTTAAATCACTTGTAAAAATGGACGAAAACTATCTTTGATAATACTATAAATGTTGTAAATAATCGTAAAGGCACGTAAACGCGTTTACTAGTTTTTACTCAATGCGTAGCCTATTTTCACTTCACGAGCTTTTTTCGACTATTAACTATCAGGGGAAATAAGAAGAGTCTTCGTCCATTTTTACAATGGTTTTAAAGCGATCTCATTTTTCATTTCATGTAATGAATAATATTTTTTTATTCACAAATGATATGCAAGAAAAATCAACACGTTATTTCTCGCTCATGATTTAATATGGCTGGAGTGACTACTCTTAGGAGCCTTAACCTCGTATTTCACTTATTAGATAATGACTAATAATTTTTATATCGAATCTTAGGAAAATGTCATATTCAATAAAAATAAAAACAAAATTGACATTTTTTGTATCTTAAATACTTACATAATACTTACATTGTATACAGAGTTAGAGAAAGTTATACAAAGAATTTACTTGCACATGTATGTCACTTTGGACTAAATTATTGCAAGTAAATTTGATATATTGTTCGTGAAAATATCCTGTATACCACAGCGAGATATTTTTCAGGCAGCATCTTGCAGGCTTAAAAACTTTTTTTACATCTGCATGGTATGATTACCATGTAAAAAGAGTAGTTTGTCAATCAGATGAGGCGGCAAAGTTGCCCGCTTTGTGTCATATTGAATCTGCACGTCTGGCGGAATGCGTGAAGGTGGTGCGCAACAAGCGGGCACACAATGATATCTGCTCACTAACTTTGCCAGATTCGGACATTTCGCTGACACCTTCGACCACCATTGCAGCGGACAATAATCGAGAGGCGCTGTAGGTTCCGACTGATATTGAACAATTTCGAGATCAGCTTTTTCCTCCGCGGGCATACCGGCCTTTGTAGTGCATAGGCCACCAAGTAAGAATTCCATACCTGTAATTAAGAATTGATCTAAAATATCTATTTCACGTTACTTGCATAATTGAAGATGTAATTATCTAAAAAAAAAAAATACCTGAGACTTTAGTTTTTTTACTTGGTACTGTCTCATCTTCGTTTTTTATCGAAACATCCCCAGATTCTTCTTGAATCAATTTCGTCAATCTTTCCTTTATAGGTGTGCTAACTACACTTTTATCTTCTTCAGTGACATATGGCATTGTTTTAAATCTATAATATAAAAGTACATAAATTAGATACATGTATATAATAAGATAATATGTTCCCAAAGTAAGTTACTTTAATTTTAGTAGGATGCTGCATGACTTACAATGAAATTCAGAAGTGGCCTTCATTGATTTCAATGAAACTTGGCAGGATTATAGTGCGTTCTCCTGAATATAATTATCATCTTTATTTGGGCGTAGACAGTCAACCATTTCTGAGATATTTCAATATTAAATTTAGTAGCAGCAATTCATTAGAATTTGTACGCGAGTTCATGATTTCAAAAATTTATAAACAATAAGAATTTTACTAGACCATACATTTGAAAATTCAACAATAAGAAATAGAAGTAATGACTGTAATGGTCAAAGCTAGATCTTTAATACTTAAATAAAGTGCGCAGTTCGAATGACTACAAATATCATATGTTATAAAATTTATTTTTATTAAAAAATTTATTTTTATTAAAAAATTTATTTTTATTAAAATCTTCATCCTAAAATTTGTAAAGGTAGAAATGTGTAATAGAAATAATTAATTTTTCTCAATAATTCTCAATAATTATTCTTATCATAAAACTTATATGCCAAAAAAATTAATTGCTAGTGAGGTTTAAATTCAAATCTATAAATTAAGAAACAATTATCATATCCACTACGCTACAACTATTCGAAATAAACGTTTTAATAAACTCTCGTGAAAACTATATACAGCTCCTAAATTTAATATTGAAATATTTCGGAAACGTGGTTGATTATATACCCAAATAAGGGTATAATTAGAGAAACACTTTATAATCCTGTCAAGTTTTATTGAAATTAATGAGGACTACTAAATCTTCTCTTGTCAGTGAATATAGTCGTTAAATTCAATTCCCGGTTCCAATCCCACGTATGTTTCAGTTTTATAAGTTCATTAAAGAGTTGAAAGTTAAGAGTGAAAGAGTATAAGATGTACAATGATAACCCGTTTCAAAATTAAATATTAGATGTATAAATAATTTTCGCGGACTTTTTTCAAAAATATATTTATTAATATATATAAAAGAAATGGTACAAATATTTCAAAATATTAATCTTTCGAATCTATCACTTTTTAACAATTTTTCAGACAATATATGAATGCCATAGTGAAGAAATACTTTGATACGCGTTTATCGTTTACATCTAAATCATAATTTAAAAATTTTTTAAATCTTGGTACGGTCTTTCAGATGCAATTTTCTCTCCATAAGGTTTGAAACATAACTGAAAAATACTGGCAATAGGAACAAGGAATAATAAATTTCAATCTACAAGAAATCATAAATACACAGTTTCTGATGAGTTGAAATCTATTGCCCTGTTCCTATTATCTGTATTTTTCAATCGTGCGTTAGGTTTACATCTCATAAATGATTCTGATTGCTTCAGTGACCGTTTTATCGCAAGGAAAATAGTAAAATATGCAATGGCAAATATGCACCTTTTTAGCGTTTATTTTCAATTTGAGGATGTATGATCGATTACTTGCGGGGTAGGAAGATGAGGAAGATACGCTATTGTTCTTCATTCAAAATTAACTCAATATATGAAAATTTTAATAATAAGAAAGGCTAATTTATGATTTATTAAAATTAAAAGATAACATTGATTGCTAATTTTTAATTATATTAGGTGTTGGAATTAATTCGTAGCGTTTTACAAGTGATGGGAAGTACTTTCATTAATGTATTTTTTAATGCTCATGTGAAATAAATAACATTCTTTCATTCAAAAACGCTACGAATTAATTCCAACACCTAATAAATCATAATATTAATATTCTATTATTAGGAAATGCAAGTAATTTAATGTTTTATGTTTGATGATTATCAATAACCTGGCAACGTTGCATTCTGAAAATGAGGTTGGCATTTTGAAACTGCTTGCGCACTAGTAATTGACAGTTAATTGAAGTTAAAATATTATTTTCATATACGTATTTTACACGAATTATTTTATACGAAGATGCTTCGTTATGAAGGCAAATTCATAACTAATTCATAACAAATTTATAACTAATTCTCATAATTAACTGATAACTATTTTATATTAAAAGAATGCTTTAATTTTAATATCGATTTATGTGATACAAATTATGTGATAAGAGTTATATGATAAGAGTCATATGATAAAAGTTATGTTTTAATATTTTAAAAGTTATAAGTATATTAAATTAACATTATTAATACATATTTATATTATTGTATCAATATCTTTAAATAAAAAACATCTCTGCGTATTTTTTTATTATAATGTTAAATAAAAATTTTAATATTTAATATAAGATTAGTGTTGTATTAAATAAAATTAATATTATACTGAATTAAAAAAAAAAAAATATCTTTTTATAAATCAATTTAAAATTAATTTACGAAGAGGATTACGTTCCTAGTTATATATTGAATAAATTTAGTGGATGACGTTATTTGTACATCAATACATGTACATTTATATATTAATATCGTTTTTTTTCATATATTTTAGTACAAATATTTTCAAATATATTTTACTGCATTTTTTGCAGTAACAGTTGCTGCAGCTTTCTTAAATTAAAAACATAACAATAAGTTATAAGCAAGAAACATATATTCAATCACACATGTGTCATAGGATGAAATTAGCCGCAATCTAACCTAAAGTCGGAAGTCAATAACGTTGCCAAGTTTTCTGCATATATTTCTTTAGATGCTTAAGGCATGCTTTCATTAGCTTTTTGCTTGTATACAAATAAATTACACAGTGAATAGAGTTAAAATTCTTACAAGGAAGTAAAAAAAAGATTTGTTCTAATTATTTATATAAATAATGTTTTTTATATAAATCGAAGTATTTTAAAAGTACGTAATTATGTAATATATTAGTCATTCAATGCATTTGCCACAAGATATCATGCATAAAATGATTTTAGCTAATTTTAGCTCTTTCTTTCCTAAAAATTACACGGTCAATCGATTTGAAATTTTAACATGGTATTATTTCGTTTTAAATAATATTCTGTAACTTTTAGATAGATTGAAGTATTTTGATTTTTCGATCGTACCTCCTTAACTAAAATAAAAACTGCAGTTAATCGTTCAACTACAAATTGTCATATAGTTTTTGAAATACAAATTGACTAATGGTATCAACTTTACATCACCGACGAGATATTATTGAAGACGGTCGGTCTTATTATATTATGAAGTTCACGTGTTAAAATTTAAGTGATTAAAAGTAAGAAACTAATAATACGGTACTAATTTCATAGACATGTATGTTTAAAACTTAATAATACTCGATTTTTATTTAAAACTGTGATTTTAATGTTATCATCATGAGTTTGATTATTAATAGAGATGATAATTGCAGAGAAAAAATTATAATTTTTCAGCAATATATAAGATTAGCATTAAAAGTATGCATACTTATTTATATAGCATTTATATAATAAAAAATCACGAATATTAAATGTATTATTGAAATATTCATGTTAATAGTCATAAATCTTTATTAATTGTCGATACCATCATCGTTCTTCAATTATGCCCAGAACCCATTGATAGTCATGAAAATTTATCCAAGGCCAAAACGGTTTTTAATAGTATCTCGTCAGTGACTTTACTAATGGAAAAATTAGGTACAGAAATTTAAACAACGTTGTTAACGCTATCTAAAGTTAATAGTAGAAGCTTATTCATACACTTAATATACATACAATATAGTCTGTTTTCTGTTTCTGAACTAGACTGCACTAAAATCTCTTACTTCTAGTAGGGACTCTATAGACTGCATTAGAATTCTCTTTCTCGCTTTCGACAAATATCAAATGTATCTCATCTATTTCACTTTAAGTTGCAAAAGTATACACTAATTCAGACATTAGTTCAGACAAAAAACAGACTTATTATTAACGCATTCACAAATAGAAAGCTCAGATACAATGGAAGGAATAAGGAATTTGCTCCTTCCATTGTATCTATTTAAGCCCTAAGGACTTTCACGTTAATATACCTGGGATCCAAAGTAGTTGCAATTTGTAGAAACAACGTGACATTGTAATCTGCATATCGTTCGAACAACATATCCGACAAGGATTCTTTAAAAGTCTTAGCTGTGTTACTATCTGATTCTTTCACTTTAAGATGCGAAGATACAAGTTGCCAGAGTAATGGTTTCAATAGGGATATTAGAGGCATTTTTTCTTCGCTCAATGTCATAATGGTAACTTTGAACGGCGCGAGAACATTGACAATATCTTCCATAATTTTCCACTGTTCATTGGATATTTCGAACATTTCATGATTTATCCCATCGGTACTTTCTAGTATAGAGACAATCATGTTACGACGCGCAATTATTTGTTCCAGCATCGTGTACGTAGATATCCATATGGCTGGATAATCTAGGAATATGGTATTTTCATCCAACTAGAATAATAAATATTAAATTTATAAAATTTCACTTACCAATTTTATACATACACGCTAGAAAAAAAATTTAGCCTTTAGCAAAACTGTTTAATTGAAACATCTTTTATTCAATAGTAATTAGATATCTTGTTTCATATGACAAAGATATTTTTAGTTGCTTCGGCGAAATAAATTTTGATTCTTTATAAATAATAAAAAATATTTGTTTATACTAATTAAACAGTTTTTTTTAACTGCTATATATTTTGTTGTAGAAAAGTTTTGGTTCACAAAACATTAAATCGTATATGCGTGTTAGGATAAAAATATTTTGTGGCAAATATATTAATTCATAGTATTACGAAAATACCTCTGACAATTGTTCTTGCATAGTCAAGGTTTCAAGTGCACGTGGATTACTTATGATAGCACCAATAACCGATCTGCATTTGGCTAACGTTTGAGATACTTCAGGACTCTCGAAACAAGCCTGCGCGCACATTTGCAGAGTATGAAGCAAGCATGGCACCACAGTGAAGCCACGATTAGTCAGCGCCGTGAGCAAATTTGTTTTTGAAGTACTAACAACCACTGCTGTTATTTTCTCTACTTTAAGCTCCCATTCACGTAAGAGAGACTCTATAACAGTTCCCCAATTGGATTCCTCCCAATCTAACGGTGCGTGAAAAGTGCTTAAAATCTTACATTCTAAAGTAGCCTCTTCATCATTTTGATAATAAACCGACATAGTAACGAAATTCTCATTGTTATTGGACTGCCACTCCTCAATGGTCAATGCCAATTCGGAGGCGATATAGGACAAGGAAGTTCTCACTGATTCCCGAAAGGTATCATATATTCCAGGTATTATCTCTTCTTCCAGCTTGTTCTTGCTGGGGATCTCGCAAGGTGAGCGTAGAGTTGCCACTAGTCTTTGGAAGCCACGTCCCTCTACGATTTCAGGCAATTGCAAATCCATAATTAGAAAGTCCGCAATAGCTTCTGATACAGTTTTTACATCAACCGACTGATTGACATTCTCCTCCATGAGAAACGCTACATTCTGGCCGTTACTGTTAATACCAGAACCACCCTTGATCATTACTCTCAATGGTTGACCAATAGTGATATCATCCTCTATGTTTGACAGACTTATGTTAGGATCTGTAACAAATTGTATATCACCATCTATCTGAACAGTACCATCTGCGTTAGTGGTATAGATATATTTAGCAGGGCTTAGGCCCTTGAGCAGCTTCTTCTGCATCTTTCGCTCCTTGTTGTCCAGCGAGAGGATCTGTTTTGTAGTCGGCAGATTGGAGGATTCGAGGTCCCTCAGTTCCTGAGCGTGCTTGTTTTGCAGATGCATGCGTAGGTTGCTGGTATTACGATTGTAGGCGATCTGTGTCTTGCACAGTATACAAACAATCTTTACCTTGGTGAGAATGTCGCCGTCGTCGGTAGCTGGAAATCCAAAGAATTTCCAATAAATACTTCGCATCGACGGCGGCACCACCAATTTCTTATACGTATACGTGTGCTTCTCCTCCATCATTTTCGCCAGTACCATTTGTATATCATCCTTGTTGTCGTCTGACGTACCTGGCTTCGCCGCCGGGTTATTCACCAATGTTTGTTTGTTATTCTCCATGCCGTACACTTAAGTACGTTCGACATGCGATCACCTGCAATCACCGATGTAGGCATGTAGGTAGTATCGTTTTATGGTCTATGGCAGGAGAGCCGAGAATTGAGAGCGAGTGTCCACCGACGAAAACTCCAATAATCGCTCACCCAATATTCCCAATAATCCTATTAAGTACAATCAATCAATCGGGATAAAATCCTGAATACAATTCATATCGCGTCTCGCGTGTCTCGCGTGCAGACTGCGAACTATGGAAGAAGGCATCGCCGCACGAGCATCGCGCGTCGCGCGTCGGTCGCTTCGCCGCGCCGGCGACGCGAGCAGACGCGAGCAGACGCGAGTGCGCTGTGCGAACTGCGAACTGCGAAGAGTTTTACCGCGAACGCACCGCTCCGATATATCTAATTTCTCCCCACGTATACACAATACACATACACTTCAGGACCGACGTCGTTCAGTTCCACACTCTTTTTCGCGGCTATCGAAGTTCAATTCAATCCCTCGCGTCGAAAGGCAACGATGGCCCCCGCGCGATCAGCTATCGACTTATTACTTGCGACGATGCGATATCGACTTTTGTACCCGTTCGTTTCGCGAGAGGAGTATCGTTTAATCGTTATATCTATAGACCTCTCGCCCCCGATCGATTCGAGTATTACACCGTAATGGCGGTAATGACGAATGAAACGTAACGGGACACGCTCGCTAACGAACATTCGAGCAACGACGCGCGACCAAAGACATATGTATATATACAATATATAGTGCGTACGTACGTATATGGTTATGGTCAAAGTCTCGCTACGAATGCTTTGAAGCGTTTGATGGACCAATTAGAAGAAAGAATCTTATCGACCAATTAAAAAATGCTTCAAAGAGTTTGTAGCATCGCGTTGACTGAACTCTATTATATCATACCCTGTATTCGTCTGCAGCGGTTAGCGCAAAAATATTACTCAAAACTTCCTCTTCGAAAAAAATTTTACTCGAAATATATAGTACACGTAACGTATATTATAGCGTAAGATATATAGAGTAAATCATAAATCGATTCTTATAAAGAACCATAGCATACAAAAAAACTTAAGTAGTAAAATATGGTAAGCCAATAAGGGAATTGACCAATCACAAAAGAATCAGTAAGGCCATAACATAAGTAACTAATCCAACATGTTGATTTCCTTAAGTCTGTTCTACAATATGGTCGCAAGCCATAAAAGTACAATTTTATGATGTCGCTTGTCGCAGCGATAAATGATTACGTGATTGAATTTTCCCTCAATTTATCTACTGTCTTGTCGCCAGCGACACTGTCCAACTTTTAGCGACATCGCTCTTATGCAAAGATTTATGCCCATATTCATAAGGCTGTGTTCCAAAATTGACTGCCAGTACTGAAAATCTATTATATGATGTTTACATTGTTTACTAGCCAATCACAGTCATTCCATTCTTCAGAGGAGTAGCTGTGATTGGCCAGTTTCATAACATTGATGTTATAACTTCGGCGTAAAGCGTGCTGTAACAAGGGTACAGTTAACGCAATGCTACAAACGCTTTGAAGCGATTTTTAATTGGTCAGTTTGTCAAATTCTTTCTTCTAATTGGTCCATCAAATGCTTTAAAGCATTTGTAGCGAGACTTTGACTACACCACAGAGATCTATAGTGCACGTTACGTAAACTGTAGCATTTTCAATGCTGGCAGTAATTTTGGAACACGGCCATAGTCAACAGGCTTTATATTTAAGGCTTCCTTAAATTTATCTTCAGATGCGAATTATTTCATTGGCTACTGAGCATTTAAAGATAAATTTAATAAAACCTCAAATACAAGGTCTGACTATGATTGATATTCATAATCGGTTTTTATTTTATGATCGTCTTAAGTAATGTTTTAAGATGTTAATACGGTCCTCTGATTGGCTTGTGACATGTTAAGACTGTACTTAAAATAATCTCAAATATAAGAATTGATGATATCTATGAATACTAGCCTATAAATACGAGCATTAAACATAGAACAGCAGGATGTAAATAAATAATAAGAGTAGTTACTTAATCTGTATTCCAAAATCCTTTCCGAGGAAAATTTTACTCGAAATATATAGGACATATAACATATACTACAATATTTCGAGTAAAATTTTCCTCGGAGAGAACTGTGGAATGTAGCCTTAGAATATGGATCGCAAAACTTGATAAAAATATACTTTCGATAGGTTTCTATTCGAAATGAGAAAATGTAGAAGAATTAAGTAGAAAAATGCGACAAACTTATAAAGCGATTATTCAGGTTAGGAAAAATAAGTTCTTTTTATCTGAATAATTATTAGAGCTATGTAATGTAAGAGTGCCGTCCCATAAGTTAGTCGCGTGACACGCGATATCCAATGATAGTATACCTTTGAATGAGAATATCAGTAAAGCTGTACATTCATTGGATATTGCGTGTTGGATTTGCGTGCGACGAACATCACTAATGTGCCGTAGGCATTAGAACTTTATTGTAGATCCGAAGTTATAGAAATTTTGTATGTGGCAGCCCTTAAACGCTTAAAGATAAATTTTCACAAATTACTCTAACCGGTTGTTTCAACGACAAAAAGATCACGTGATCAAAATAGACGCTTGATATTCGTCAATTTTGATGTGATCCTTTTTGTCACTAAAACAGTCAGTTAGCAGCTCGTGAAAATTTACTTTAAAGGTGCATTTTCATCAGCTGCTCAAACTGGCCGTTTCAGCAACAAAAAAGGACGATATTTTATTTATAAAAGGACATATTTTTGTCGTAAAATTATTAGACAATTTTATACATGAAAAAGGAGACATTTTATACAAGAAGCGTTAAATTTGATATTTGAGCGGCAGATTCGATATGTTGTTCGTATTTTCTATGTATCATTTGCAATAATATTAATACACTGAATTAAACAGTTATTAGATTATTCTGATTGCATCGAATCTTCTATCTGGATCAGCAATAAAAAAAAAGAATAAATTAGATTATGTACATCGCAGTGAACGGTGATCAACACGGTCGATACAGTGAAACTGTTCAAACTACAAAATTTCAGTCGCTGGATAACGAGCAATTAATCTGTCACTCCAATTGCTTATTTTAACAGCACGTGAAACTGTACTTTAATATTTAATATCTCGATTCGCGAGACAGCAATGCTTTTTCATACTTTTCTCAGCCAGATTCGTTCGTTTCGAAGGTACTTCGAACCAAAATGCGTTGAGTGAGTTTAATTTCATCAATTTCTGAAGTGACTTCTGAAGTAGCTGAACTGAACAGGTAATTTTACAGTTTAGCACAATCACTTCAAAAATCAATAAAATTAGGCTTATTCGATGCGTTTTTCGATGACATGAAAGAATCTGGCAGAAATAAGCGTTGCTGTGCCTCGCGAACCGAGATATTAAAGTTGACTACTATTGAGGTTAGGAAATCTGTCAGACAGAGGTCTATAATTGTACTGTTCCACATGAGTTTTGACTTTCCACGCGAAGCGACTCTCATCCTCCCTCCCTCCTGCAAAGGGGCACATGACTTCTATAATTGTACTGAGTTTCGATTTTGTAACAGTTACAGAAGTGCGCTCTTTTGGAAAATCGAAATCCATCGAACAGTACAATTTATTTAGATAATTATAGACCTTATTTTGTTTCTGTGATAGATTTCCTAACCTCAATAGTAGTCAATTTTAACATTTAATATTTTGGTATAATATAATATTTGAGCGACAGATTCGATATGTTGTTCGTATTTTCCATGTATCATTTGCAATAATATTAATACACTGAATTAAACAGTTATTAGATTATTCTGATTGCTTCGAATCCTCTATCTGGATCAGCAATAAAAAAAAAAAAATAAATTTAATATTTTTAATATATTTAATATTTTGGTATCGCGGAGCATAGCGACGCTTATTTCTGCCAGATTCTTTCATTTCATGCAAAAACGCATTGAATAAGCCTAATTTTATTAATTTTTGAGATGACTGTGCTAAACTGTATAATTATCACTTTAAACAATTACCTTTTTATTTGTTAGATTGAGAAAAGCTGGTTATTTATTCGCGGAAACGAGTTTCACGTGTGTAAAACTGAAGAAGCTTACGTATCCATTGCCAATGACACACTGATTCGAGACTGCCGATCTGAGATGCGTCTATCAAAAGAGTTTGGACTGCTACTGCTTCTGATATTATGGCGATTAATCAGCGTGATTGTGGTGCGGACTGCTCATGTGCCAGATGAGTACTGGCAGTCGTTGGAGGTGGCTCATCGTTTGGCGTTCGGTTATGGATACCTCACATGGGAATGGACAACAATGATTCGTAGTTACATGTATCCGTTTCTCATATCGATCCTTTATCGGATACTTGTCAAACTTTCCTTGGATTACATGCTGTTGTTGACGATGCTGCCCCGCGTCTTTCAAGCTATTCTCGTCGCCTATGCAGATTACAGATTTTACCAATGGACTAAAAACAAGTGGATGCTCATCTCCTTGTGCTTGAATCCATTCTGGTATTATTGTGCTACTAGGACACTGATAAATTCAGTGGAAACTGCATGTACTATTATAGCATTATCAATTCATCCGATACTAGGGAAAGCAATTTCTATACTAAGCTTAAAATATATGTGGATCGTAGGTTTTCTCTGTATGATAAGACCCACCACTGCAATCATGTGGCTTCCTTTGTGTTATATTCACATTAATTGTCTTCGTTATATTCGTTGTGATCCATTAGAAAAGAAATTACTGCTTGGTCGATGCGTTTTAATATGTTTTACTTGTGCCATAATTTCTATTTTAGTAGATTGTTACTGTTATGGAACGTTTGTTATAACCCCTTGGAAATTCTTCCAAACGAATGTACTTAGGAATGTTGGGAACACATATGGCATCAAGCACTGGTTATGGTATATTTATACTGCTTTACCTGTGCTGCTTGGGTTGCATTTCTTTCCATTCCTGGCTTGTTTCTACTCGATATATAAGCAACCTTTTTTTCTTGCTAAAGAAGGGATTATGCTAGGAATAATCTGTTGGACTTTACTCGTCTACTCGTCATTGTCTCATAAGGAATTTCGATTTATCTTACCACTTTTGCCATTGTTAATATGCACGAGTTTCACTAGTCTTAAACATTTGAACATTAACACTAATGTACGTAAAAGTATCATAACGATGTTCATGTGCAGCAATATCATAATTGGATTGTTCATTTCCATGATTCACCAACGTGGTACGTTAATGATAATGGCGAATCTGCGAAACGAAATTATTCATACAAATACTTCATTGACAGACACGTTGATTTTGACCCCGTGCCACAGCACACCATTGTACAGTCATTTACATGTAAACATATCAATAAGATTTTTGACATGCGAGCCTAATTTGAGCAATACTGAAAACTACATAGACGAAGCTGATCAGTTCTTTGCGAATGCAACAGTCTGGCTCAGAGATAATTACATTAACAATGCGAAAGTTATGTTACCGACTTATGTGATAGTATTTGATAAAGTTGCGAGTGAAATATCTGAATTTTTACGTACTTATAAGTTAATTGCCAAAGAATTTTATACATACACATCACTAACGGAGGGAAATTACGGAGAAAATATATTATTATATAAGCGTTTGTAATCATTTTGTATATTGTACAGTGAATGTACGTTCAAAAAGTAGGT